GTTTCCATCCATTATTCCTTGTCTGGCCTTCAGGTGCTTTGGAAAATATCTTGACCCTCTTCCTTTCTGTGGCAGCCCCTCAAATATTTGAAGATTGCTATCATGTCCCCCCTGGTCCTTCTCTTCACTAGACTAGCCATGCCCTGTTCCTGTAACCGTTCATCGTATATTTTAGCCTCCAGTCCCCTAATCATCCTGGTTGCTCTTCTCTGCACTCTTTCTAGCGTTTTAACATCTTTTTTTATAGTGTGGCGACCAATCACATGTTTAGTGCCTCACGTGAATTAGGTAATTGTGTGAAAACGTATTAAATTGCAATGTCTTAAAATAGAAGACTTCCATCATTTTTTTAAAAAAAAGTTTAGCAGTAAATTTCATTCCATAAAATATATATTTTTTTAAAAAAGCTTGGGGGGGGGTTAGGTTATTTGTAGCTCTTTTTTTTCCCTCAAGAAATATTTCAATTCAGATATGCTTTACACCAGCTAAAGAGAAACAGCATCCTGTTTGTCATTGACATAATGCACAGCTCGAGCCCTGATCGATTTTTAGGACAGGCGAGGAACTTCTGGAGAACTTTGCCACTTGAAATTTCCCAGATATTCCTCTCGGTTGACGTTTGCTCATTTTGATGGAGTGTGGACCCTGGAGGGCTGGCTGGAGGGCTGGCTAGGAAATGACGTTTGGACCGATCAGAAGTTTTTCTGACTGCTGTTTCTTCTCACTCTTAACAACAGGTGGCAGGGCTGTGATTGGGAACAGGTATGGAAACTCTGGATTATAAACAGCGGATGACTGGGGATTTTGTTTTTTGTTTTTTTAATTTCGTGCATCAGATCAGCCAGCACCTGTGGAACCCTGTTGCTTTGGGTTTATGAAGTGACTGGCGTTTTAAAATGATGGTCTTTGACATACGAATCTGTGCTTTACCTTGTTGGGAATGGAAAACAAATGACAGGCACAGGATGTGGTTTCCCATCTGTGGTTGAGAGACGCACAAAATAAAACAGGAGCAATCCTCCATCTGCCGCGGTAGACTTCGTTGCCTTCTAGCATACACCGAAGTTATAAACATCAATATTGGAGGACATAAAAGTTTAAGAAAAAAAAAGAGAAGAGAAAATTATCTCCAGCGATAAAGCTGGAGAATTCTATAGGGGGTGATTCAATCTCCACCATCCCTTCATCTAATATTGATATGGCCTCTTAACAGTTTTGAAATCATTTTGTCTTCTGATTGCTTAGTGGCCCAGCTTCCTTCAATTAATAATGGGACTGTTCTGAAATCATTTGTAACTCAGAAGTGTTGAGGGTAAAACTGCCCTCTGCAAAATGGTGCAACGGACCAGACAGCGAATAGATACGTTGCTTAGCAAAACACACAGATATTCACAGACTCTGAACGTTTAAAGAAAAATAAACAGTCTTGTAGTAAAAAAAAACAAACTTGGCTTCTCAAAACAAAGATAACCCTTCTTCAAATAATCACGGTTCAACACAAAAACATAGTTTGCTTACAATTCCAGTTCTCTTCAGTAACACAGACACAGTTCCTTTCAGCAGTTCAACCTTTTAATAGCAGGAGCAGAAGTGAATGAACTTCCTGCCTTCTTTTATGTCTGCTTAGCACAGCCAATTAGTCATCTTGTAGCAGTTAAAGTTACAGAACATAGTTTTCTATATATTACCTACCCAACCGTAGGATAAGCATCCAACAAGAAGAATCTTCCCAATTTGGAAATACTTCCACTGGTTGCTTTTATCAGCTGCACAACGTATTTAATATGTACAATACTCTACTTTTTATAGCAATAGCACTTAGACTTATATACCGCTTCACACTGCTTTACAGCCGTCTCTAAGCGGTTTTACAGAGTCAGCCTCTTGCCCCCAACAGTCTGGATCCTCATTTTACTGACCTCGGAAGGATGGAAGGCTGAGTCGACCTTTTTTTTTTTTTTTTGTAAACAAGTTTTGTTAAAATTTTTCTTTCATTATACATATTTTATGAACAGAATGTTGACCGGGTCACATCTTATACATCGCTTTTTCCATATTCATCTCCTTTTATATAAGTCTTTATCACAAATCTATCATTTTTCACCGTGTCTTGTTATTTCATCTCTCCTCCCCCCTCCCCCCGAATTTTTTTTTTTTTTTACATATTTCCAATTTTGGCCATAATATTCTTTCCATATTTCTTTATCTTATCCTAATCTCTTCTTAATACATAATACATCAACCGTATCACTATCCACCCTTTAACACCTAATTTCTTACAATAACATCAATTAATTGTCTTGTTTCTCCATTTGCTAAATATATTTCTCAAAATTCCCCATTTTTCAACTATACACAATATATGTCATCATGTTCAATTCTTACATTAAAACATTAAAATTTAACATAATTAGCTATCCACATCTTATCTTACTCTCTTCTTAATACATAATACATAAACAGTATCATTATCTCCCTTGATTCCTAATTTCTTACAATAACATCAATTAATTATCTTATTTCTTCATTTACAGCATATATTTTTGAAAACCCCCATCCCACTTTTTAACATTTCAATTTTAATTTATCTTGTCTTCATAATTAAACCCAATTACCACTTCATATTTCATCTGCTAGTCTGTTTTACTATAAGCAATATACATCATCATATTGACTTCTTACATTAAAATTGTTTAACTTAATTGACTTCCACAATTAATAATATTAATACAATTCCCTTAAATCTTTCTCCTTTCCACTATTCTTCCCCTCTTTAACAATTTTCTCTTGGTCTCTCCAAAATTCCACTTCTTAGTAATTTCCTCCTTTTATCCCGTTCTTTTAACTTCTCCTTCTTCTTTTTTTTATTTTTATATTTATTATGTCTTTTCTCCTGAATCCTTTTTCTCACTTTTAAATATATTACTCGAATAATTCTCCCCAAGTTTTCTCCTACTCTTTCTACTTTTTCCTTCTTTTCCCTTTGTTTGATTCTTTTTGGGGGAATATTCCCCCCTATCCACTCTTTTTTTGCCACTGTTAATCCCAGTGAAATCATTTAATTGCTTTTTGCTTTCAATTCCTTTTCTTTCAGTATTATTTTCTTGCTCCTCACTTATACTCTCTTTTTCCTGCTCTGTAAGTTCCAGCAAAATTTCTAACTTTTTATTACCCTTTAGTGATTCACACATATTTTTAAACATCTCAATTAATTCTTCACACATCCAAGATGTCAATTGGATGTGTGAATTGACAATATTGACTCCATATTGTCAATTAAAAAAATTAACAGTTTTACTTTATATTTAATTGAAATTCTAAAGTCCATATAGTCTCTTTTTAATTCCAAATAGTATTCAATTCAAATATTTATCCAATCCACTCCAAATTAAAGCTTTGTTATTTTCCACAATTGTTGAGAGTCGAAACCAAGCAGTTCAGAAAAATAGATACTCCTTAAAAGTTCTCACAGTTTCCAGATTAAATCACAGTCATAGCTGGGTTTTTTTCTTGTCTTCCCACCAATATTGCAGTACTCACTTTCCACCAGCAGATGTCTCTTTCAAATCCACAATATTCTCAGAGCAACTAAGTATCCAAGCTGTCAAAAATATTTTAAATCCACATAAAGAGTTCTTTTCCTCGGATTTCTTTTTCTTTTGTTGTTTCTCCAAATTCAATTTTAAATCCAGATAAACAAATTTCTTTTTTGGGCTTTAGTATTTTAACTTTCTCTTTGTTCTTCTCCCTCCATTAACTTTCCCAAGTGCCAATTAGCTGCTCATTTCCGCTCTGGGACACCTTTTAAAGTTTTTAAAAATTTTCTTTTTTACCTGTGAGTTGGTCAATCACTCACCCAGTACCAGCACTCCTTTCAGACACCACTCCTGCACAAACAACTTAGTCCGGTTGCCCCAGCTTCAAAGCGGTCATTTTTCAATGGGCACCACCAATTCGAAGAACAGCCTCCAACCTTTCGAGGAACTTGCCTGTTCCTCTTGGTTGTCCAAGACACCTCTCCTTCTTCACTGTCCGTACAGGACGGTTCCAGTCCAAACACACACACACACACCCCAACAGCAGTTTGTCCGGCTGGATTTTTGTGGGACTCGTCGAAGCCTGCTATTTCTCCAGCCAATCTTGCCGTGATGCTTCCGGTTTCTCGGGCTGAGTCAACCTTGAGCATATATATATATATTCTGTTTTTAAGGTATAGTTCTATACACGTTTACACAAAAAAAAGATAAATCACTCAGTTTGCAAATGATGCTGTGTCAAAACCAAACAAACCACATTGAAATACAAGTAGTCCTTGTTTAGTGACTGCCTCATTTAGTAACTGCCTCATTTAGTGACCGTTTGAAGTTATGACAGTGATGAAAAAGTAACTTTATGAACAATCCTCGCATTTACCACCTGGGCAGATCTGGAAAAGCTGAAATAAGATCATAAGCAGAGTTGCATTTCACTTTGTTATTGCTTTGCTTAAATAACCAAGTTGCCAGTTCCAATTGCAGACACTAAACAAGGACTAGTATGGTTTACACAAACCCAGCCAATTGTGGCTTATTACTGAAAACTGAAACAAATAAATTACATTGTGGTGGCACAAGCTCAGCCCCTTAATTCTGCAGGATAATGACGCTGTTTGGATCCAATACGAATCTAGAAATTGACTTCATTTAATGGAAAAGGTATTGGTACAATGACTGTTCTCTAAAATGCCTTAAATATATTAAATTTCAAGTGTAGATAAAATTATTTCCTTGTTGCAATCTACATTGTAGAAACTGAGAATGAGAAAGAAGCACAGATTTTCTAAGGCTGATCCACTTCTTCAGGGGGGAAAAATAGTGCAATTTATCTCAGGCTGACTTCAAAGCAGATCAAGAGCGCTGCACAGCACATGGATGTGTATACTAGTATAAAATATAAATGGATGAAAAATCTAAAGCAGCTAACTGTGTGTATCGAATGAAAAGACTAACTTTCTCTTATAGGTTGTGGCTGTTTATGGAACATTGTCTGATTTGCTTTCTGTCGCAAGCAATAAGCTCGGAATAAAAGCAACCAGTGTCTACAATGGAAGAGGTGGACTTATTGACGACATTGCCTTAATTAGGTAAGATTATTACCTTATATTGGAAATGTGTTCATTAGAGCCCTTTTGAATAAGCCTAATAGGCACGAGAAGTGCTTGGAAGTTGGAATAAAAGCTGATTCAGGAATGCCATATTTGTTGTACTACAGTAGAGTACAATGTATTGATATTGAAATGGCCATGAACCCCTTTCCTACAAAGCCATCAACAGGGATTCTTTTATAGAGAATATATTACAGCTCCATCTTCTTCTGTAACAGATGGAAGACTACCAAAGAGAGTTCCAACCTAGAACCTAAGGAGAAATGTTCTGACAATCAGAATTAACCAATGGAATAACTTGCCTTCAGAAGTTGTGCTCCATAACTGGAGGTTTTCAAGAAGAGACTTGTGGTATAGGGCCTTCTGCCTGAGCAGGGGGTTGGACTAGAAAACCTCCAAGGTCCCCTCCAACTCTGTTATTCTGTATTCTTCCATTTCCACTCTCCTCCCCCCCTCCCCAATCCCTTCTTGCTTATGTCATATGGCCAATTTGCAGACCTCAATCCTGAAAAACATTAAGTATTGCCTTTAGCAACCAAAATGTTGCCCACCCCGGTTTAAAAAACAGTTTGTTGGGCATGTCAAGGTGTCCCATTTCACACACAATATTCAGCAATATAATGTGGTTGCTAAGCTATCCTGGCTTAATTGAATGCCATACCCAAGGCCAAATCTAAATAATCCACGATGGTGGCTTAGCCATAAAGCATGGGTCTATTCTAACATCTGAAAAGCCCACTCTGCAAATCATAACCCCCAGCCCCATTCAAGCCATGATTTGATTCTGATTTAGAAATGACCCAAGATTAGCTTAAAAAAAGTCAGTGAAGAATTCAAAATTATTGTGAACTAAGAGTAAGCAACCTGATGTCTTCCAGATGTTCCAGAAGTATAATTTTCATGCTGGTTGGACATGGTGAGAGCTGTAGTCCAAAGCATCTGGAGGGCATCAAGCATTTATCCTTGTTGCACACTCTGATTACAATAAATGAAAAAAACAGAGGAAGGAAAAGCCTGAGCTTCAGTCAAATTATATGATTTATATAGCTTCTCATCTGGGACAGGATTGTATGTGGATTCCATTGTGTAAGGGTTACAAATAGGTTTGCATTCCATCTCTCATGGCCAGAGAATTAATATCCCATCCTATAGTTTGCCTTCTAACAAATTATTTCTACTAAAAGGGTTTGCTTGTTCTATGCTTATTGGGTTTGTTGGGAAGTATACTGTAAACAGAGCCTCATTACCAGAGTATCTTTGCATAAATATGAATCTGACTCTCCAGCTTGACTTCTTAACTTTCCAACTTTCCCAAACATGAATGTCATTGCATTTAAGGAATTTGGATCAAAACCATCTGCAAAAACAATTGGATTTAGAGCATGGAGAGATTGTTAATTTATCAATGTATTTTTTTTTCCTGACACTAAGGCAGTGGAGTGCAGGAAAACAAAAATCAAACTCTGAAAAGGGATGGTTTTAGATAATGGTGCTCATTTCCTCTTTAAACAAAAAAAAAAAACAGTCTTGGTGATTTCACATGTTTTCTTGCTCAGACACTGCATTTCAAAGCAAGTCTGACATACAGATGACCCACAAATGACTATTGCATAAAAGGACTAGCTCAAACTCCTTCATATGAAGCCACTTAACATGGTTGAATTGTTATCTAGATCTTCAGCACTTAAACCATTACCATAATGTAATAGGATTGATTTTAGCATCTCTAAAGCTTGGAATCTGGAATTAACAACTACTGTTTTCCAAAACATTTGTCCGGCTTATTCTGAATCCCTGGTTTTCTTTCTCATTTCCTTCAATCTATAGAGATGATGATGTTCTTTTTGTATGTGAAGATGAGCCATTCATTGGTAAGTACACCAAGTTGTTTTCCTCCTGAAGAACAGGAAGTCTAAAGTTGTTACTGTATGTTGATATGCTTTCCATGTTCATAGATCCCCAGAATGACATCAGCTCTCTAGAAACATTAACAGGATCTCATTCAGATTGGATAACACTCAATGTAGGAGGACGGTACTTCACAACTACCCGGTATGAGTCTGTTTCCTTATTGGAAACTTTGGAAAGATAATATTGCTAAGGGTTAAATGTTTGATTGAGATCGGCATATGTGGGACTGATTGGGGTAGATTGTAGGGGTGATACAGAAATATAATTTTATCGTATTTTATTTATATATTAAATTATTGTATTTTATTCCAATTTCATTTTAAACTGTGTTTTATTCCAATTTTGTTTTAAATTGTATTTTATCCAATTACATTTTAAACTATTTTTATCAGATTTTAGTAATAATTTGTGTCTGGAACTCTGCACTTCGATATGGCCCAAGGGCTAATCAATAAACTAAGCTAAGCTAAACTAAGCTAAAGGTTAAATGCATTGTTTATTAATAAAGCTGTTGACAACTTTTGGGTACAGTGGTCTGATTCAGGCTTCATGCTAAACTGTAGGGCTGTTCATGTAGCATGATATGTGAAGGCAGTTGTTAGTAGTTATTTTGGAAGAAATATCCTTCTGGGTTCTGCTCCAAGTGGGGAAAAAGACACTGGAAACATGGAGACTGCTTGGAAAGATGGTTTAATGGTGGACAGGATCACATGGTTTGAGTTCCTGAACAGAAAAGGGCAGATACAGTGAGTCTTCGGGTTTTATGCTCTCTTTGGCTTTGAACTTCCTGGGGCCCAGAAAGAGTATCCTGACTGGTTGTCAGACTTCCAGGGGGTGGGGGTCTTAGCTAGCCCTGCTGGCTGATGTAATCTTCCCAGGTGCCATGTGGTGAGTTTCTGTCCTAGATGGGTCCCATTGTCTTGCAGATGAGGTCCATTGACAAAGATTGAGTTTCTGCCTCTGGCCCATTAACAAAAGGGTGGGGGCAGGAAGGTGGGAGCTGCTTTGTCTTTAAAACATGCTTCTCCATTTCTCATCCAGGGAAACATAATATTCTGCCTTTTTAATATTTCCCAAAATATTTCATTCTTCTAGGAAAGGGGTGGGTGCTAACTTCCTACATGATGATGATGATGATGATGTACAACCCAGACCAAATGATTTTTCAACCATTCATGATTTTAGAATGCTGGTTTAATATGATATTGTCTTGGCTTTCTCTAATTTTTTTTTTAAATTAAGCAATTCCATAAATTAAAGGTTCCACCAACATTTCTCAATCTGGTGTAGAACCACATTTCCCATTACTTAAGTCAACATTGGGACCCAACTTGCTTGTAAAGATAAGATAACCTTTATTGTCACTTCTTTCTGCGGACATAAAAAGAAAATAAACAAACATAAAATAGAAATGAATAATGAATAAGCCATATCTGTTTTTTTAATCCCCACCTGAATGCTACTCCACATGCCAAAGTGGCCAATTTATTCATTAATTTGTCTATATTTCTTTCTTAGGAGCACTTTGGTTAGTAAAGAACCCGATAGCATGCTGGCTCACATGTTTAAAGATAAAGGTTGGTATGAGATACATATGTGAAAGTTCTATCCAGTACTCAGTTTGCAAATCCATGTCATGTAAATAGAATAGAATAGAATTCTTTATTGGCCAAGTGTGATCGGACACACAAGGAATTTGTTTTAGGTGTATATGCTCTCAGTATACATAAGGAGAATAAAATACATTCATCAAGAATAAAAAGATACAACACTTAGTGATAGTCAAGGTTACTAATAAGCTATCAAATCATACTAGGAAACAAGTAAAAACAATATAAATTGAAAGATTCAAGCACATGGTTATAGTAATAAGTGGGAAGAGATAGATACTAGTAAGGAAGAGAAGAATAATAGTAATACAGTCTGAATTATTTGACAGTGTTGTGAGAATTAGTTGTTAAGCAGAGTGATGGCATTTGGGGAAAAACTGTCCTTGTGTCTAGTTGTTCTGATGTGCAGTGCTCTATAGCGTTGTTTTGAGGGTAGAAGTTGAAACAATATATGTCCAGGATGTGAGGGGTCTGTAGATATTTTCACAGCCCTCTTTTTGACTCCTGCAGTATACAGGTCCTCAATGGATGGCAGGTTGGTAGCCATTGTTTTTTCTGCAGTTTTAATTATCCGTTGTAGTCTGTGTTTGTTTTGTTGGGTTGCAGAGCCAAACCAGACAGTTATGGAGGTGCAGATGACAGACTCAATAATTCCTCTGTAGAACTGAATCAGCAGCTCTTTGGACAGTTTGAGCTTTTTGAGTTGGCGCAGAAAGAACATTCTTTGTTGTGCTTTTTTGATGACGTTTTTGATGTTAGGTGTCCATTTTAAGTCTTGAGATATGATAGAACCTAGAAACTTGAAGGACTTTACTGTTGATACTGTGTTGTCTAGTATTGTAAGAGGTGGTAGCATAGGAGGTTTTCTTCTAAAATCCACTATTTCTATGGTTTTGAGTGTATTTAGTTCAAGATTGTTCTGGTTGCACCACAAGGCTAGTTGTTCAACCTCCCATCTGTATGCAGATTCATCGTTGTCTTGAATGAGACCAATCACTGTTGTATCATCTGCAAACTTCAGTATTTTAACAGAGGCATCTTTTGAGATGTTCTTTGTTGCAAAGTAAGGCTTGATGTAGATGATTCTGAGGAAACTGCACAGACACAAATCTAAAGTGGCACACTTTAGATTTGTGTCTATTAACAAGGATGAGAGTTTGGGCTTGCAGCATTGTCTAGCTAGCTCTTCTTGAGGAGCATGTCCAAAGGTGCACGAAGAAGAAAAGAGCAGTTTAACAGTTCATTTAAGTCAGGAGTAAGGAATGATTTTCAGGCTACTTTGTTGGCCATGGGCTACAGAAGTGCCACAAAAGAAGAACATAGTTACTAATATCTTTACATATATAAACAAGTTTGGGGCTCTTTCCTGGATCATGCAGAGTGGAGCAACCTGAAGCTCTCTGGATGATGCCAGACTACATCTTCCAACATTCTTGTTGAAAGCTATGCCAAGTTCTGGAAATATAATTCAACTATATTTTAGATTAGTCTTTCCCAACAGGTGGCCCTCCACATAAGTGGGCTTCAATTCCCCGAATTCTTAGCCATCTCCACGCTCAGGGGAGAGTTCTAGAAATTGAAGTCCACCCATATGGAGATACTCAAAGCAGAAAAGAAAGTTTTGGTCAGATTATAAGTAGTGTGTTAGAACCTTTTCTGCAGCCTCCAGAGCACCTGTTCGGACTGGGGCCAAAAATGTTATCCCATTGCATGGAATTGGAGGAGTATTAAGTTCACTTCTTAAAACCATGACTACCATCTCGTTACCCTGGTCCTGCCTGCTTTTAGAAGGTAAATGTAGTAGAACCCCCAGCAAGCCAACAGAACATGCATTTCCAGTTTAGACGATGTCCTTTCCTCCTTATTTACTATGTCCCCGTTCTAAATTTGTGGTGGCAATCAGTGGCACTTAAGTCTAATTTCTAATCTTGGCTATGGATGATCCATTTTAGCTGCTGGGGACAGATGGAGATGAGGAGGGAGAGAGATGGACTTATCTCAGGACAGGTGAAGGAAAGTTTGTTTGTTTGTTTGTTTGTTTGTTTGTTTTTAATGTGTCCATCTGCAACAGATGCTTGGGGAAACAAGAGAGATCACAGCGGAGCTTTTCTGATTGACCGAAGTCCGGAGTACTTTGAACCGATCTTAAACTATTTGCGGCATGGACAACTAATTGTGAACGATGGCATTAATTTGTTAGGTATGTATTAGGACGTATAAAACATTTTGTTGCCTTTGTTATAACTATGCTTGTTCTCGGACAGTTCTAAAGCCAAGCTTCCTGAATAGAACCAAGGTTGTGAAAATCTCACGCAAACTTTTGGCGTTTGGTACAATCTGAGGGATGCAGCGGCTCAGTGGCTAAGACACTGAGCTTGTCGATCAAAAGGTCGGCAGTTCAGCAGTTCGAATCCCTAGTGTCACGTAAGGGGATGAGCTCCCGTTACTTGTCCCAGCTTCTGCCAATATAGCAGTTTGAAAGCACCTAAAAAATGCAAGTAGAAAAATAGGGACCACCTTTGGTGGGAAGGTAACAGCGTTCCGTGCGCCTTTGGCGTTGAGTCATGCCGGCCACACGACCACGGAGATGTCTTCGGACAGCAGTGGCTCCGTTTCTTAAAAATGGAGATGAGCACCGCCCCCTAGAGTTGGGAACGACTAGTGCGAAGGGAACCTTTACCTTTACAATCTTGGATTTCTCCAGTCCTAGTCCCACGCCGTAACCAATACACTATACTACACTCGTTCAAGTCACTGAATGATTTGGGCTAGTCATTCTTTCTCTGCCCAAATGATAGGATTGCTGTTGTGGGGCAAAATTGGAGGAACAAGTATTAAGTAAATAGCCTTTTGAGCTCTTCAGAGGAAAGGTAGGATTAATCCATCAGTCAACAATTGGGTAAACAGAGGTGGTGGGATTTTTAATCAAACAGATCTGGAAAAGGGATTTAAGATTAAGATGACTAGATAGCTTTTGTTGTTAACATGTTGATGCTGACCTGGTTTGCAACAAAACAGCATACTGCATGAAGCTGGGGGAGTGGTGCAGTGGCCTAGAGGTGGAGCTCTTGCTTCACAATCAGGAGGCTGTGAGTTCGATCCTAGGTAGAGGCAGATATTTCTGTCGCTGGGCACACTGGGAATATATCTGCCGAAAAAAACTCCACATTGGTGACAGGAAGGGCATCCAGCCAGTAAACACTCAGCTCCATTCAGGTGCCCAGACTCCACCCCTCAAGGGGTCGTTAAATGAGGATGATGATGAGTCCATGAAGCTGGGGAATTGCGGCTTACAATTCATCTTCAAACCATTGTTTCTCTTAAGTACTAAATCATGGTTGATATCGGGTGAAATGCTCCCAGTTTGGACCGGATCGCCCAATCCGGTAGCAATGGCTGTGGGTGGTTTGGAGATCCGGTAGGAAAAATCCCTGCCCCCCCCCCATGCCCAGCTGAGCCACGCGATCATCAGAGGCTTTTTTTTTACTTTTAAAAGCATTTTTTCTTCGGCCGAAAAAATGCTTTTAAAAGTTAAAAAAAAAAGCCTCTGATGATCGCGCGGCTCAGCTGGGATTGTCAGAGGCTTTTCAAAGCATTTTTTCTACAACTTCTTCGGCTGAAGTGGTTATTTAAATAATGCTTTTAAAAGGCTCTGAGGATCCCAGCTGAGTTGCCTGATCGTTAGAGGCTTTTTTTTTCTTTTAAAAGCAAAAAAAAATGCTTTTAAAAGAAAACAAAAGCCTCTGATGATCAGGCAACTCAGCTGGGATCATCAGAGCCTTTTAAAAGCATTTTTTTTTACAACCTCTTCAGCCGAAGAGGTTGTAGAAAAAATGCTTTTAAAAGTTTTTTTTTAAAAAAAGTTGGCCACACCCACCCAGTCATATTATCCCACCACCACCAAGCCACGCCCACAGAACCGGGAGTAACAAATTTTACATTTCACCCCTGGTTGATATTTAATATTAATTGTGATTGAAACCAGTACTGGCAAAGGATCTTGGCCCAATGAAACTTCCTATAACAGTGTTTCTCAACCTTGGAAGCTTGAAGATGGGCGGACTTCAACTCCCAGAATCCCCCAGCCAGCGCTGCTGGCTGGGGGATTCTGGGAATTGAAGTCCGCCCATCTTCAAGCTACCAAGGTTGAGAAACACTGTCCTATAACCTGCATTAGAGAGCAGGAAGGTTGAGTAGTGAATTTTATCATCATTCCTAATCATTCCTAGCTTTTATTGTATCGCTCCCCTTATGCTAGGTATCTTAGAGGAAGCGAGGTTCTTTGGAATTGACTCACTAATCGAACACCTTGAAATGGCGATTAAGGTAATGCTAATTTTTATATCTCCTTCCTTTCTGAGCATTCGCCTTTGTTTTGGTTTTTCTGTTACATTTTGGTTTTTACGTTACCTTGTGTCATGGAAATGTTTCTTTTTCTTAAAAACAAAACCAAAAAACATTCTGAAGACATTTTTTTTCAGAAAAAGAAATATTTCCTTTTTTTGCACTTTGTATTTTTTGCCTTTCTTTTTGATATTACATAGTATATTATCTTTTAGCATTGTTAGAATCCCTAATTTAAAAAAACTATGAAAAGGTGAACAAAAGCCAGTAACTTTTTTTAAAAAAAAATTATTATTATTTTTCTTTCAAAACAAAAACAAAAGAAAAACTTCCATTTTACAACAGTTCCGTATCGGTATATATCCACAGTTTATGTTTCCCTGCCCCCCCACATATTCACATACTTATTTTTGTGGTTCCCTTATTTCTTATATATTATAAATACTATTCCTTAGTTATTATACAAACTATTATATCTATATGTTACTTTACACATACTATATATTTAATATTTTATTAATGCTTCCTGATTTATAGATCATCTTTATTATATATTTTCTTGTTTGTTATTCCTGTCCTCTAACCATTTGTACCATTTTCCCCATATTAAGTAATATTCCGTTTCATCTTTTCCTTTTATTTCAGCCAGTAACATTTTTTTTAATTTTAAAAACAAAACTTTATTAAACATCCTTCTTGAAAATGCCTCAAAAATCCCCCACACTGCTGTATATCGCCCGACGTGAGCTATTCCATCTTGTATTGTTTGGGCCTAAGCGCTTCTTCCCTTCCTTGACAGAATTCCCAACCTGCAGAGGACCACTCCCCGATTTCCCGAAAGGAATTTGTCAGATTCCTCCTTGCAACCTCAACCAAGTCTGAGCTACGCTGTCAGGTACCATGATTTGTCACTGAAATAAGAAATCAGGGTGTCTTTTTGGAGCCGTTTTGCACAACTTGTAAAGAGAAAAGGTCCCTCCGATTTATTAAAAATCATCACAGGCTCATTGCAGCCCTGGATAGCTAGTGATGCGGGCCCCACAAGATAATAAAAATGTTGAAAAAGTAAGGCAGTTTGCTTATATACATTAACTATGCTTTATGTTTTATACGCAGCCCATTCCACTTCGTTCGATGCAACCAAGGGGAACAAAAAGTTAGACAACCTGCTTTAGAGCAGTGGCCCCCAACCTTTTGGGGAACAGGGACCACTTCCGTGGAGAGAGGTTTTTCCGAGGGCCGGAGGGAGGCATGTTTTTTTTGGGTTTTTTTTTGCTTTAAATTATATGCCGCCCTTCTCCGGAGACTCAGGGCAACTTACAATGCGATTTTGCCTTGCTTAGATGGGCAAAATGATGGGGCTTCCCTTGTTTGTGTGAACTGGTTGATGGCATCCCAAGGACCGGAGTTGGTCCATGATCCCCTGCTTTAGAGGAACCTGGATCACATGTTCTTGTGTATCTTGAATGGGATGTTTTTATTGTTTTAAAAATGTTTTTATAAGATGTTGAGACACTAGAAAGAATGCAGAGAAGAGCAACCAGGATGATTAGGGGACTGGAGGCTAAAACATTGCAGGATAAACAGTTGCAGGAACTGGGCATGGCTAGTCTAGTGAAGGGAAGGGAAGGACCAGGGGAGACATGATAGCAGTCTTCCAATATTTGAGGGGCTGCCACAGAGAGGAAGGGGGTCAAGCTATTTTCCAAGGCACCTGAAGGCCAGACAAGGAATAATGGATGGAAACTGATCCAAGAGAGATTCAACCTAGAAATAAGGAGAAATTTTCTGACAGGGAGAGCAATCAGCCAATGGAACAGAAGTTGTCTTTGGAAGTTGTGGGAGCTTCATCCCTGGAGGCTTTCAAGAAGAGACTGGACTGCCATCTGTCAGAAATGATGTAGGCAGGGTATCCTACTTGGGCGGGGGGTTGGACTAGATGACCTACAAGATCCCTTCCAACTCTGTTAATCTATAATCATATTTTTAATTGCTAAAAACGTTCCGAAGTGTAAACCACCCAGAGTCATTCACTGAGATGGGAGACACTAGGAATTGAACAAATAAATGTTGAATGCACTCCTCCTTTGGGCTAGGTTAAACACTTTGTCTCCTAAGCAATTGCATTTGGGTTTCTGAGCTGGATTTTGCCATCGTTGCTACAAAATGTAGATAACAAGGGTGACCCCAAAGTTTCCCTTTCAGAAGGCTTGTTTTGAGCTTGGTCTAACCATGCCAGAATTGCAACAGTTGTTTTGAACTCAAGATTCTTTGTGGATTAGGTAACCTGACCACTGCTCTCTTCTTCTCCAGGGGTTAAATTTTAGCGGAGCAGACCTCTCTCGTTTAGATCTCCGGTATATCAACTTCAAGATGGCCAACTTGAGCCGGTGCAACCTGGCCCACGCGAACCTCTGCTGCGCAAATCTTGAACGGGCTGATCTTTCCGGATCTGTTCTAGATGTGGGTGTTATTTGGATACGGATTAACCACTCCATCTGATGGCTGGTTAGCTTTGTCCCGTAGCGGTGTGCCTAAAGTAGTTAGCACCTCCTTTGAAAAAGACTTAAGATACGACTAGTAATGACACTTGTCAATCACAGCAAATGCCCTATCTATCCGTGTGAACAATGCTATGTCTCGCATAACTAGAACAACGTCTAGTTCAGGGGTCAGCAACCTGTGGCTCTGGAGCCGCATGTGGCTCTTTCACCCCTCTGCTGTGGCTCCCTGTCACTCAAAATATGTGTCACAACCGTCAATGTGTGACACCCACCGGCACGCGATTCCTTGAGCTTTTCAACCCCCGATAGGCCAAGCATGGATAAATCCAAGAAAAGAAAAGTTTCAGAAGAAAACAGAACATTTAATTCAACTACATATGCTAGTTTTGTGGCCGCTCAAGAAATAGTCAGGCACGGGAAGGGTTTTGTGGCTCCCGGTGTTTTCTTTTCTGTGGGAAACGGCTCCAAATGGCTCTTTGAGTGTTTAAGGCTGCAGACCCCTGCTCTAGTTATCTACCTGGTGACAGCTTCTAGGTCCATGCCTCTACTAATTTGGAATTATTTGCAAAGAAGTACCAAGAAACAAAAGAGATGGAACATACTGTACTTCAGGGGTGTCATACTCAAGGCCCATGAGGCTACAGCGAAGGACTGGCCCGTGGTGCCTCTGCCAGCGAAAATGGAGCTAGGGAAGGGCCGCACACAGCTCTTCCAGGCTCTGTTTTCAGCCAGGATGGCCTGCAGCAGGGCTCAGAGAGGCTGTGGTCCATTTTTGCTGACAGAGGGCTGCAGGAGACTGTCCCGGGCAAAAACGGGGCCTGGGGTAGGGGAGGCTGCTCTGTTTTAGTTGGCAGAGAGCTGCAGGAGGCTGCAGAGGGCTCCACCCTGGCCATGCTCCCCCGACCCTCCCAAGCATGATGCAGCCCTCAATGAAATCGAGTTTGACACCCTGCTGTATTTGATCAGGACTTGGTACGATGGACTTGGAAAAAATGAAAGAGATGATTAACCATGAAATGAAGCAAGAGGCAAAGTTTTCAGAGTTTAGATCAGGGGTCAGCAACCTGCAGCTCTGGAGCCCCATGTGGCTCTTTTACCCCTCTGCTGCAGCTCCCCGTCACTCAAAATATGCGTCGCAACTGCCAATGTGTGACACCTGCCGGCAGGCGATTTATTGAGCTTTTCAACCTCTGGTAGGCCAACCATGGATAAATCCATGAAAAGAAAAGTTTCAGAAGAAAATGAAACATTTCATTCAACTACATATGCTAGTTTTGTGGCCGCTCAAGAAATAGTCAGGCACGGGAAGGGTTTTGTGGCTCCCGGTGTTTTCTTTTCTGTGGGAAATGGGTCCAAATGGCTCTTGGAGTGTTTAAGGTTGGCAGACCCCTGGTTTAGGTAAAGGTGAAGTCCTTTAGGTTTAAGGAAAGATAAAGCTCTTTATCTAAAGTTCTTTACCTGAAGAGTTTAGATAAAGGCAAAGCCCTTTAGGTAAAGCACTGTGGTTTGACACCTGCAGATTCCGCTAACGAAGGCTGTGGAATTTTCTTCATGGGAGCATTTTAAGCCAATATGATCAGCCCAGCATCTGTCAAACGTAGCCTGCAGATTTCTAGATCAGAAGAAACGTGGCCTCTTTTTCATCTGAGATCTTTGTCTCCTTCTTTCTTTGACAGTATGCCAACCTCCAAGGTGTAAAGATGTTGTGCTCAAATGCAGAGGGAGCATCCTTGAAAAGCTGCAATTTTGAAGATCCTTCTGGCCTTAAAGCTAATTTGGAAGGTAAACTCCACCCACCCATCCAGCCTTTTCTTTTTCTTTTTCTTTTAATTTGATTTATATGCCACCCTTCTCCGGAGACTCAGGGCGGCTTACAGTGCGTTAAGTACCTTTTATGTAATGCAGTCAGTATCGTTCAGGAAATGACTGAATGTGTCTTTTTGATCATTCAAAGTTGGTGGTTAAAATTGAAAGGAAATATTAATTAAATTAAATTAAATATTAATCAGATCAACAGATAACATGATGAAGAAAAGTTGCTTTCAGGAGAAATAACTCCCAACATCTGCCTATGTAGACAAAAGGTCCGGTTTAAATCAGCAGGAAGCAGAGAAGGAAAACAAGGCTAGTTGAAATCCAAAACAGCTTACACACCTTTAACAATTAAATGATGACTGAGCATGTTGCATGGTATACAGTTTGGTTACCACAATTGCTCGGCTTTCGTGGCTCTGCCCCACTTCGTGGCTCTGCCCAGGAATAAGTAGATTTGAAAAAAATAAAAATAAATATGATAAAATCCAATTCACAAAAATTGATTAAACATCCAGCCAGCATAACATGTACTGTTGCAATTCATAGCCTCTTCAACCATTTCTGAATGGCTGTGACTTCCATTACTTATATACTTGCACTTTGATTAATAGTAAGGCAGGACCTGGAGACTGCAGAAGAGAAGAGAAGGAACTGGAGCAGATAATAAAACATAAAGACTTCCAAATAGAAATAGAACGACTATGGCAAAAGCAAAGCAAAGATAGTACTAGTAGTCATAGGCACCTTGGGTACAATCCTAAACCAACTGGAGCACAACCTGAACACTATCGGCATTGACAAATTCACCATCCATCAATTGCAAAAGGCAGCTATACTCAAAACAGCTTACATCCTGCGGCGATATCTGTAACGCCATCAAACATCCACACAGGCCATCCCAGGTCCTTGGGAAGGACTTGATAGGTAGGCAAAAATGCTACCGTATTTTTTGGAGTATAAGATGCACCTTTCCCCCCCCTAAAAGAGGCTGAAAATTTGGGTGCGTCTTATACTCCGAATGTAGCTTTTTCGAAGCTTTTTTTCACGAGGCACTAGCAAGCAACTCTCCGCTGTGCTTTAACGCGCTAGTGAGTGAACGATCTCCCTGCTTTGCTCTGACTCTCAGCTCTTCTTTAGAAGCTTTTTTTCAGCCCTAGCTAGGCGCTAGCCAAGTGCAGTGATCTCCCCGTGCTTTGCTGTTTTTCTCATTGCTGCTTCCTCTCAGCTGTACCTTAGAAGCTGTTTTTTATCCCCAAGCAAGGGATAAGAAACCAGCAAACTAATGTGCTGAAGCTGACCAGACTAAGGACGCTAGCCAGATGAATACCTGGTAGGCAGATTTTTTTTCCCTCCCCAAAAACTAAGCTGCGTCTTATGATCCGGTGCGTCTTATACTCCGAAAAATACGGTAAATCCAGTTTGAGCATCGATCTGACTAAGCAATGAACAATAATAATACTAACAATATCAGCCTATCCCAGCTCTTGGGAAGGACTTGATAGGTGAATAAAAATGCCAAATCCAATCCAAACATCTGGCTGACTATCCGACCAACTATAATAATTGACTAAATTTGTATGCCATCTGGCTCTCAATGACTGGATGGCTCACAACATTAAGTAAAGAAATTACAATAAAATAAATAAAACAGAAACATAAAATATGGCAAACTTTTATAGTTGGAGGCCTTTGTTAATGAATAATGGTGTCCTAAGGTTTTTATGATTGTTGTTTACTGGAAAAGGAAGAAGAGCATGACAGAATTTAGCTTGTGTATAATATTTCCAATGGTTCAATCAACATCAAAGTCAGTATCTTTTGCTATATCTTGTAATAGGATGTTAAAGGGACTAGTGAGAGAGAATGGAAGCTCTACCTCTTTTTTTGATGGGCTTGGACTTTGTGGCTACAGGTGCTAACTTGAAAGGTGTTGATATGGAAGGAAGTCAGATGACTGGCATCAATCTCCGAGTTGCAACTCTGAAGAATGCAAAATTGAAAAACTGCAATTTGAGAGGAGCAACCTTGGCAGGAACTGATTTGGAGGTGAGATCTCCCATCTTCCGATTTTTGATGGACCCCAGAGAGTTAAAAGCAAGGGTTCCATTGGGAGTTTCCTTCAACTTTAAAAGCCACGCTGCTTTGTAGGGCGAGTCATCCAATATCTGGACCTCTGCTAATAACTTCCTCTGTTGTTTCAGAACTGTGACCTGTCAGGCTGTGATCTACAAGAGGCCAACCTGAGGGGGTCGAATGTGAAAGGAGCCATCTTCGAAGAGATGCTGACACCACTGCACATGTCTCAGAGCGTCAGATAGGTTGCCCTGCTGAAGACTCTTGGTGCTCCAATGAGGGAATGACGTTCCTTCCACAGCACGTTTTTCTCAGTGGTGTCTGAGAAGCTGCTGCTGGATGGAGAGAAGGACCTTCTCTTGTCTTAGGTATAGGAATAGCTATTGAATCCAGTTGGGACAAGAAGCTTGCTCATCACTCCCAAAGACATTGCTATCTTGGCTCTACCTTGCTTTAGAACGCTCCTCTAGAAAAAATATTTATGAAAGCACAATATATGCAATTTATATTTATTCAACTTCCAATGAGGGTTTTTAAAACATGACCAGTTCATACACAGTAGCAAACTCTCAGGCTTTCAGCCCGGATTGGTGAACTTTTATTTGCAGTGGCTTATGAAATGTGGGAGGGGGAGGAATTGAAAAGTCGGAAGGGATCCAGATTTGACTCTCCTTGGCAAAACAGAAATACCGTATTTTTCAGAGTATAAGACGCACCAGACTATAAGACATACTTATCTTTTTTGGTGAGGAAAACAAGAAAAATAAATCTGCCTCTGCCTCGTTGTAGCAAACAGCAAACAGCCTGCTTTACTTTCATTTTCGTTTTCAGCATAGCTTGATTAGCACAAGGGGAAAAAAATCAGCTCTAATTTACCTCCTTGCAGCAAGCAGCAGAGGCCTGTGCAAAACAGCTGAGAGCAAAACAGCTGAGAGTCAGGTGTCCGATCCAATGAACTTGTTCTAATTAGGCTGTGCTGAAGCTGAAAGGAGCTGTTTCTTCTTGCTGCTTGCTGCAAGGAGGTAAATTGCTGGGAGGCAGAGGCCAAAGGGTGGGGGCCAGTGGGTAGGCAGGGCTACATTTGGTGTATAAGACGCACCTAAATTTTCACCTTCTTTTAGGGGGGGGGGGAAAGGTGCATCTTATACTCCAAAAAATACGGTAGCTATATTTCTTAAAAAGAGTCATCAAGGATAATTTGGGGTCTTATTTTAAGCCTGTTGTGTACTACTAATTTAAAATAGCTGGGCTGGGAATACTATGCATGGGTTCCTTGACTTAGGACAATGTCGTAAGTATTAATTGCAAAAGGGGAACACTCAGTGGTCCATTTTACTAATAATCAGGAATTGAAGGTGCAAATGTAATACAGAGGCTCCTGTGAGCCCTGAATTGCTAAGTTGTACTTTTTTTTTTATTATTGTCACTGGACCTACAAGCCTTGTGGACTAGAAACATTAGAAGTGAGCCAATTGCTCTTGGGGAAGTACATCCTGAACATTTTAATAGGCTGGTATTATTACAGGCTTCCATGACAGTGAATACTGCCCCAATTCTCTTGGTCAAAAGTTGAGCGATATACCCTGGGGATCCTGGATAAAAATAGAGAGCAATCAGAAATAGTTCAAGTTACTTTACATAGTGATTTAAACCTAGTTTGGTAATGAAACCTCAGTAAGATTACAGCCAAGCTCAGAAAGCATCAAGGACCACACAGTTAGTATTCTCTTCTGTCAGTGCTAGGAAATAAAGCGCTAGGAACATACACAGCCAAAGATGCCCAGAAAATCTTGAAATGGTATGGAAAAAAAGGAAAGTCCCTATAATTCACATACTGTATTGTTGCACATCACACTTGCATTTCTTTTTTAATGGAAAAATAATTCTACAAAGTCTCCAAAAACGGTCGAAACTTTCAGCTCTTGTCATTCCAGTTATGCCAATACGAAACAAGGAACACCTCGGCAGCCCTCCATGCCAAGAAACAAAATGGGGTTAACTTTATTTAACCCAATCCAGATATCACCGTGTTAAGATTTGATCTTAAAGGTACTTCCCTACCTCACCCCCAATCCTTTTCATGTGCCTTGGCAAATAAAAATATGAACCACCTTCATAGTTTTATAGGGGTGGGGGGGAAATTGAGGAGTAAGGCTTGTTTAAAATTGCAAATGGAAGCTGATGTTTCATCAGCCTATAAATCTGGAACTGGTGTTACATGCTCAGGTTGCCGGTCTCATCATTCATTGTCATTAGCCAATTCAGTGGGTCTTTTGGGAAAGGTAATTTAATACCACCTATATAAATCTGGCCTCATAGATAAACAAGTTTCAGCTGCAACAGAAATAAGATTCCAGCTATATTTTTTCCTGCTAGAATATAATTAGGGAATCTGATCTCTCTGGATACCTTGGACTGTAACTCTCATCAGCTCCACAGCAGCATGTGGCTGTATGCAAACCCTTAACCTGTGCACATTTCTAGCTGAGTTACAGAAACAGAAGTAGTGGATCTTCCTGTTTAAAAGTAACCAGAGCAAACATGATTTAAATGGGCTTAGAAAATGCGATTGGGGCCACAAATCATGTTAAGCTGTGGGCTTGTAATTCAGCTCGAATTGGAGAATTTGTATAACGCACACCAGATCGTGGCTTACAAATTTTGTCAGTGCAGAAGATTTCAACACTCTGTGCCTGTGGGCCTATAGCCAGATTATGCACACCCAGATATAAATGAAACTGGGTGAGCACTTACCTTAGACTCAGAGCTACAATCAACATCAAAATGTAGAGATTGAAGGGAATTTCCGATGAATGAGATAAGGGCTCCAGAATTACATCCTAAGGGGCTAAAATCTATACTTTGTCAAGTTTCCGAAAGATGCCCTAATTAATTCATGAGCCATGATCCAAACTTCAAAGGAAATAAAGTCATTTATTAGGAGCAACATTCCGGCAATACTCGGATGCAGTTAGGACTGATCCCACGTAGATTTACATTCCCCTATGACCCTGTCTCTCCCCTCCTCTCTGGCCATGTCATAAATCACATTCCCCAATTAACCACTTTGGCTGGCTGGAAACCTAACACCCTCCTCCTGATTGCGGTCAGGAAGAATGTATGGAATTCACTTCAGTTCTCCCTCCCTCCTGCTCATGGCAACTTGGAAGCTTTGCAAGTTGACATACTTCTCCACTGTAGTTGCATTTGGAGGGATTGACCTATCAGTTCCTGGCTGGGTGAGGCTCATGGACACTGTAGTCATCTGGTCTGGACTTCATTTGATACATGCCTGCAGGAAGAATCCATTGTACTTAACACAGTTTTTCATTCAGCTTGAAAGGGAACCGTGTTGGGGAGCATGGGAGTACTCTAGGCAAACAGAATCAAGAGGTTGAAATAGACACGGACTTTTCATCACATGGTTACATGGGGGGCAGGGGAGTGTTTGCCTTATTTAGGCATGCATTAAAAAATTATGGGAAAAGCTTGTGTTATCCGATGATGGGAGTGTGTATAAACTCTTAGTCCTTTCTTTTTCATACTAAGCCACAAATGGAAGCTGACTGGATGGTCCATGCTGAATGATGCCTCTCATCCAATTTTCCCCCCAAAAAGGGATGATTAAATTGGTAGGGCTTAGAGCAGAGATGTCAAACTCGCATCGTCACTTGACGTATCACAACTTTTTCCCCCTTCGCTAAAATGGGTGGGCGTGGCCAGAGTGATGCATCTGGCCCACGGGCCGCGAGTTTGGCACCCTTGACTTAGACGAACTGTACTTTTGTGACCCTTGAATGAAAAGCTAATAGCAAAGGGTCTATTGCGAATTCTCAGTCTTCCATATAGTGGAAACTTCGTTTTAGTCAATTTTGAGTGGTTTTTTTGAACTGGGTTGGTCTGGCTACTTGGATATAGGATATTGTAACAACAGCAACAAAACCCTGGTGCTTATAATTTCACCAAAGTTTTTAAAAAGGAGCGTGGGGAGAGAAAGAATGACATTGAAGGATACCAAACTAATTTATGCAAGAATATATAATGAGGATTTTCAAGTTTGAAGAAAGCAGATTTATGGTGATGTGATATTGATTAATGCTAAATTGATGAAACCGATTTAGCTATATTTCTCCTCCCCCGCCTTTCTATTAAACACATATATCTCAGAAAGGAATAAGATCTTCTATTGCAGAATTCTATTTTCTTAATTCTCTGTGTGTAAGTTCTAGCCGTTTTGTTGAAGCTTGTTTGTCTTAAATAATCACAATATGTTCACCTATGCATAAGAGACCTTCACGACTTCCTTGATCAAACCATGGAATACACTCAGTATAAATAAAGAACATCAGAAACTTGCAAGCGTTTGTCTATGAATTTGGAAAGTAATGCTATTTAGGCTGAGGTTGGGAAGTTTAATCCATTAATCCTTGGATATAAAAGTAATTGGATATTTTGCAATTAAGGGTGTTGAAGGGGGGTTCCTGGAATTACAAAACCTGGCAACAGTTTCCTCTGATTTTGCAAATAAGTCCAATCTTCCAATATAAAAATTCAAAATGTATGTATTCTTTTTACTCCAGTTTCTCAAACATTTCCAGTATCTCATTCAAATTTTAGTTATTTTTAAATTGTATTTATCCAAGTGTGTTGGATGTGTTCACCGCCTTGAGTTATTTGTTAAAAATAAGTAAATAAAGGCAGGATATAAGCAAACTGTCAGCACTTCAAACTGCATTTACTCTAGTGCTGACATAAGAAGGAGAAGCGGACCATCTGGAAAGGGACGTTTGACTTTTCACCTACTTATTTTCCCTGGAGATAATATCCCCTAGGAGATGGGATGGGAGGGGGGAAATTCCTTTGAGTTGGAGCAGTAGATTAGGAGTAGAGTGATTTGGAAGATGGCCAATGAGTGCAGGGGGGTGGGGAACGGAAAGGGAGGGTTTTGGGTCTGGAAGTCAGTGTTGGCTGCGAATGAGTTCGGATTTAGAATGTCGTGCTTAATAAATGGGAGTTTTTCTTCAAAGACTTTGTTTGAAATGCAATTTATTTGAGACGACCTCGAAACCTGACACAAACAACTTATAAATCTATATGATTGAGATCTCATCTTGAGGACCCCTTCAGCAATGGAATGAAGCAAACAAATGTAGCCAGAGTTATCATTGGATAACTCACCCGGCCATCCAACCCATTCAGCCAAAATACACATAGAGCATTATGCAACAAATATCCAACTTGCTTACGACAGCCCCACTTTTCTTTTAATTGCAAATAAACGTCTTTCACAGCTTGAATTTTCGCTGTCCCTGTAAGAGTTCTACAGGAGTCCTTGCCAACGCAGTGAAATTGAAGGAAAAAATACATTAACCTTTAACAAATCCTCATGAAATATTTTCTGCAAATTACCCTTATCCGTTAACACCCCTAGGAAACAGGAGGGAAACGCTGAAGTAAATTACAGTAAACCCTTATAAAATCCTGGAGGCGTGGAGTGTAATAGCCTTGTTCACATCTAAGACGCAGATGACAATATTTTAAAAGCTAATTCTCTTGAACACTCTACCGTAGTTGATTATAGCTCCATTACTTTTTCATTTATTTGTTATTTCACACCTGGCACGATGGACCAAATATCTTTTGGAAGACTTAAATCTTTAGCTTCTTCTAGAAGGTGGCCAGGGTTGGGACTGTCCTGACTTCAAAGCAGTTTAACCTCAATATGGCACTTTGCTCTTTTGATGATAGATGCATTCTCATTTACAGTATGCTTTTGCCTATCACACAGGGGTGCTATTCAGCAGATTCTGACAGGTTCCGGAGAACTGGTAGCGGAAATTTTGAGTAGTTCGGCGAACCAGCAAATACCACCTCTGGCTGGCCCCAGAGTGGAGTGGGAATAGAGATTTTGCAATATCCTTCTCCTGCCATGCCCACCAAGCCATGCCCACAGAACCAGTAGTAAAAAAAATTGAATTCCACCACAGCTATCACAGTGATTGTCAAAGTAAGGTCTGGGGAAGTCATATAAATAAATATGCTGGCCCACCCGCTATTTCTGCTACTGATTTGCCTGAACCGATCCAAACCAGCTAAATACCACCTCTGAATATAGGAATGAGAAAAGGTAGAGTATAAATCATGCAACAGATATAAAAATACAACACATTTATAAGATAAGAACAGAAGATGATGGTAGGATCTTTGAGAATGCTTCTGTGAAAGTTTTTCTCCTGCACCCCTGGACTCAAAGGTTCTATTTTTGATACCCAACAGTGAAAGCACAACTGCAGCTATCGTTCCTTCCCAATCTTCTAAACAGATAGAGGAGAAGACCAAGACTTTTGAAACCAACCAGTTGCTCCTTAAAATAGCTTCCCCATTAAACTACTAAAATCGCCTGGATTTAGCCCGTTTTCAGTTTGCCTGCCATCCCTCAGGAAACCTTATCTGTGAAGATTCTCAGTCATCTAGGTAGAGTTGTCTGGAAGTTGAACCAGTCTGAAGAAGTTACTTGGATAAGCAGTGAAACGCTTCAAACCGAAAGAGAAAAGAAGTCCAGTTGCCATGACTCATTTTCCAGACTCAAGAAAAGTTGTTAGGCTTTTAAAGAGAAAAGATCAACGTCGTTTTACCAGCTAGCCAGGAAGGACATCCAAATCCTTTCTTCTCGTTATGACTTAAATAAGGCCACAATTACAGTCAGCGTGAGACAAGTTATGAATGGGGCTTCCTGAGGCAAATGCGTCAAGGATGAGGAAGCAGTATATTTATAAGGCAAGGAAGCACATTATCCCACACCTAAGAAGGTCTCAGAGGAACCACTTCCATCATTGACCATCAAGCAGGTAACATATCTATAGGATATGCACAATGCATATTGGCATCTTCCACAATAACTGTTCAGAGAAACATGTTAAGATTTTTCTTTATTTCTTCTCCATTAGCAGAGTTCCTCCTTGGTCTCCAGATTGTGACAAAATGCAGAAGATAAGCTTCTTTCTGTTGCTCATCTCTTTATCAACATGCTTTGCCCAACATTGGTCATATGGCTTCCAACCTGGTGGGAAGAGAAATGTGGAAAACCTAAGAGACTCCTTCCAAGAGGTAAGTTGGCTTTTGGTCATTTCAATCACATTATGATGTGACATTTTGCCATTTATGGTGGTCTTGTGACAAAGCAAAGAAATGTTGGAGTAGGATTTGCATCTTAATACAGAAGATTCTTAAAGTGAATATAAAGATAAATCCAGAGACATTTCTTTTAGGCTTAATGGATAAAGAACTTGGGGGGAAAAATCCTGGCACTTTGATGTTATATATACAGACAGCAGCTGGAATACTTTGTGCACAAAAATGGAAGGATATTTTGATTCCCACAATGGATGAATGGGCTGCAAAAGTTGATGGAGTTAGCACAGATGGCTTAATTGACTGCTTTGGTTAAAGGAAATTAATGCAATTCATTTTGTTTCCAATTGGAAACCCCTTTTGGACTTTGTGATTGAGGTGGGAAAAAAAATGAAACATTGATTTTGGGTTTTGCCAGTTAGATAGATTTGTTGTTATAGAAATGACTAGTATATATTATTATGTAAAAGTAAAAAGTCAAGGTTGTATGTTATTACCTTATTCTACTACAGTATGTCAAAAGGAGTCAGAAGTCGATGCTTTTTTTTACTTTTTTTTTTTTTTAAATTTGATTTATATGCCTCCCTTCTCCGGAGACTCAGGGCGGCTTACAATGTGCTAAGCAATAGCCTTCATTCTTTTGTATATTTATACAAAGTCAGCTTATTGCCCCCACAAACCGGGTCCTCAATTTATCTACCTTAGAAAGGATGGAAGGCTGAGTCAACCTTGAGCCTTGGCGAGATTCAAACCTGCAGTAATTGCAGGCAGCTGGTCTTAATAACCAGCTTAAAAACAGGGTTCCTTAGACCACTGTACTACCAAGGCTCTACACTTTTCCCTACACTTCCCCTTTTCCCTACACTTTTTTCCTCTTCCCCCTTTCCTCCCCTATTTTCCCATTATTTTTATTTTTATTTGTATTTCTATACTTTATATTTTGATAAACTAATAAAAATATTTGAACCACGTTATGCGATACGTTGGACCCATCGCATGATAAAATTGGATTGTTTCTGTTCCCTGAAGCTCAGGGGAGTTTCAGGTACTAATTTATAAGGATCAGAACTATCGCTGGAGGGGGCAACTAACAATGAGAGCCAGTTTTCCCCATCTAGGAATATCTCTGTGGTCAGTTTCTGGAATAGGGCGACTAAACACCGACTTTCTTCTATAAGTTTTTTTCCTTTGGAAATTCTGTCAGGACCAGAGGTGGGTTTCAGCAGATTCTGACCAGTTCTGGAGAACTGGTAGCAGACATTTTGAGTAGTTTGGAGAACTGGTAAATACCGCCTCTGGCTGGCCCCGTCCCCATCTATTCTCTTGCCTCCTGAGTCCCAGCTGATTGGGAGGAAATGGGGATTTTGCAGTAACCTTCCCCTGGAGTGGGAATGGAGATTTTACAGTATCCTTCCCTGCCATGCCCACCAAGCCATGCCACGCCCACTAAGCTACGCCCACAGAACTGGTAGTAAAAAATTTTCAATCCTACCACTGGTCAGGACAGGAGATGTTTCTTACATGCTACTGTTGGAAGGTACTTGGAGCACCAGAGTACATGTCCCACTCAGTGGTGGGTTTCAAAAATTTTTACTACCAGTTCTGTGGGTGTGGCTTGGTGGGCGTGGCATGGCTTGGTGGGTGTGGCTTGGTGGGCATGGCAGGGGAAGTATACTGTAAAATCCCCATTTCCTCCCGATCAGCTGGGACTTGGGAGGCAGAGAATAGATGGGGGTGGGGCCAGTCAGAATTTTTACTACCGGTTCTCCGAACTACTCAAAATTTCCGCTACCAGTTCTCCAGAACTGGTCAGAACCTGCTGAAACCCACCTCTGGTCCCACTGATTATTCTCCAAATGTGCCGAAGACACTAAACAATTCCACTGCACAGCCTATGAAGTTTCCAACCCAAAACTGACTTTCCATCATTTCAAACCATCACATGAGTCTTTTTTTTTTTTTCTCCAACGCAGATTGAAAACGAGATGGACAAAACGGGGGAACTGCAGCCCTTTGAATGCAGCGTGCCACGCCAGCGTTTCACTCTCAGAGGACTGAAAGGTGTTCTTAACAGGTGAGCTCTCTTTTAAATGCTATTTTCAACTTTGCGGTATTTCCCTGTTCCGGTGATTTAACCACGGCAGAATGTAATTGTCAGCCCCGTCAGGTCGATCAGGCCAGGAAATCACTACCACAGGAAGGCTAAAACTGCCTTTATTGAGATAGACGGTAGAAACTGTATCCTTGCAAAATCTGATTATGTTGTATCCTCTCTCCTTCTTATACTCTTGTGAAATAGTGAGATGCATGTCTGAATCTCTTCTGAATATTTTCTGTTTGTTAGAGAAGCTGTCAGGTTTTTCCTTTTTGTTGTTTTGCTTATGGAGTTAGTTTCTCTCCATCAAGATCACCTTCCTTGCGCTCTACAGCAGGGGTCTCCAACCTTGGCAACTTTAAGACTTGTGGACTTTGCAAAGCTGGCTGAGGAATTCTGGGAATTGAAGTCCACAAGTCTTAAAGTTGCCAAGGTTGGAGACCCCTGCTCTATAGTAAGCTGAAACTGAAAATATTGCTAAGGAGAACGCTAATTAAATCTTTTATAAGGTGGATGGGAAAACTAGAGGTTGTCTTTTATTTTAAAAAAGGTGGATTGAAATATTTTAGATTCAGGGGAGGGCCGCTGAATAGCCCACTTTTCATAATGATCTTCCTGCAGCAATTTGGGCATTTCCCCCCTTCGATAGCTACCGTATTTAATAGTTTTAATATCTTTCACTGTTTTGCTCCTGAAAAACAAAGTTTGCAGAAGTCCCCTCGGTTAATATGGCTGGATGCATATATCTCACTAAGCAATAGCTGGTTTTATTGTTTAGTGGGCTATATGCATCCAGCCATATATCTGGATGTAGTTCACTGAGCAAATCAGTGGTCTGAGTTTACGCTTAACATTACATTTATTGTAAATGATTTTGAACAAGCTGGCATCTCCGCTTTGGAATCAGACAGTGGTGGGTTCCTCCCAGTTCGGCGAAAAACGGGCCTCCTGGAAGTTCTGGAAGTCTGGAAACGGGCCCATTTCCAGCCTCCAGAGGGCCTCCGGAGCCTGGGAGTGGTCGTTTTTGCCTCCCAGAGGCTCGAGGAAAGCCTCCAGAGTCTTCTTTGAAAACGCCCCCACCCCAACTGGGCAGAGAACCGGTTGCTAAAATTTTGAATCCCATTCCTGTTCGAGACCCAAGCACCATGTGATGGGGTGAAGTCCTGTTCTTGCCCCAATTCCTGCCAACCTATCAGTTCATACGCATGCAAATGCAAATAAATAAATAGGTACCACCAGGAAAGGTAACAGAATTCTGTGCATCTTCAGCATGTAGTCATGCCAGCTACATGACCACGGAAGCTTCTTCGGACAATGCTGGCTCCCTCGGCTAGGAAAGAGGATGAGCACCACATCCTAGAGTCGGACAAAACTAGGCAGCGGAAACCTTTACCTTTTTTTAAAACAGTTCTTCAAAGTAACCACTGCGAATGATGGGACAATTACAGACTAACGTGAAAAATGATGATTCTTTCAAAGGTCAAAAAAATACTTTTTTTTTTTATTCTGCCTCCTAAGGATTCTGTAAAAAAGACAGACCAATCTGGACATTATGTCAGACAGAGAAGGAAATGCTATTGCCTGATTTGCTTTTTATTTCCCTGTTACTTCTTCTCCTTCCTTTTTTTGCATCTGTTTCTGTTTTGAGTCTGTCAACACCGAGCTGTAATAGCTTTACAATACTGAGAAAACCGTTGGTACTTCACACAAGTATTAAAAGTTCAAAACGATGTCCTTCAATTAAAATAATGTTGAAATGTTGAATGGGCGTTGGGAAAAAAGATTTTGAAAGTTTAAAAGATTTTAAAATGTATCTCTCTTAAATTATCATCAATGTGTATTTCAGGCAAGCCTAATTGAAGGAGAAAACGGGCCAAGGAAGATCTAAAACTACCCAAATCCAAATGAAAAATAAAGCAGAATGGAATCTTTGCAAAGCAAACATCTAAATGCAACATCTGATTTACGTATGTGGTAAACCAAACCAAGAGGAGTGCAGGGGAATCTAGTTTGCCATTGTGTTATTGAGCTTCAAATAAAATGTCCTTAAGCTATCTGCCAACAGACTGCAATTCTCTCTTGGGAAATGTAAACACACCTATGCTGATTTGGTTGAGTCAAGCATGCTTATGATTGCTTGCAGATTACTTCCCTTATTTGATCTAGGACAGGGGCCTGCAACCTTGACAACTTTACAACTTGTGGACTTCAACTCCCAGAATTCCTCAGCCAGCGCATGCTGGCTGAGGAATTCTGCTTGATATATGGTAACATGGGAAAAACATGGATTCGGGCTGCTCGCTGCACAGTCAACAACTTTTGGCCACTGTCTTCCAACATCTTTGAAGTAGTTCAATTTCACTTGATAGCAGCCCATACCTGTTAATATTCATTCAGTAACAGTAACAGAGTTGGATGGGACCTTGGAGGTCATCTAGTCCGGGGGTTGGTAACCTTAAACACTCAAAAGAGCCATTTGGACCCGTTTCCTACAGAAAAGGAAACACCGGGAGCCACAAAACCCTTCCCGTGCTTGACTATTTCTTGAGCGGCCACAAAACTAGGATATATAGTTGAATTAAACATTCTGTTTTCCTCTGAAACTTTTCTTGGATTTATCCATGGTTGGCCTACTGGGGTAGAAAAGCTCAATAAATCGTGTGCTGGTGGATGTCACACATTGGCGGTTGTGATGCACATTTTGAGTGACAGGGAGCCGCAGCAGAGGGATGAAAGAGCCACATGCGGCTCCAGAGCCGCGGGTTGCTGACCCCTGATCTAGTCCAACCCCCTGCTCACGCAGGAGACCCGTGCTAGGGATTCGAACCGCCGAACTTTCTGATCGACAAGCTCAGTGTCTTAGCCACTGAGCCACCTAATCAGGCTTTGGATTGCTTCTCTCACTCAAGAATGCAACTGATATAGCAATGGCAGGTCAATTCAGCAACAGTCCCCACTTTTTTCTCACATTCTTAATTAGTTGAAGAGTTTTAATAAATCAAAAAAACTTATTAGGTTGCCTAATACAGTGTTTCTCAACCTTGGAAGCTTGAAGATGGGTGGACTTCAACTCCCAGAATCCCCCAGCCAGCAGCGCTGGCTAGGGGATCCTAGGAGTTGAAGTCCACCCATCTTCAAGCTACCAAGGTTGAGAAACACTGGCCTAATAAAAGGATGTTGCCTTTGTGGATTTTTTCCCCCCAGGATTAGCAATGTTAACTTTGCACATAGATTGTTCTCCCTTTAAGACCTCTTAATCATATTCCCTAGAATCCTCATTCTCATTCAGGCATTTAAGAATGACTGCTTAAACTCAAATTCTAGATTATTATTTTTTTTAAAAAAAATCACTCCCTTTAATGCTGAGTTGTCTTGAAACGAGAAAAGCAATAGCAATAGCACTTAGACTTATATACTGCTTCACAGTGCTTTTACAGCCCTCTGTAAGCGGTTTACAGAGTCAGCCTCTTGCCCCCAACAATCTGGGTCCTCATTTTACCGACCTCGGGAGGAAGGAAGGAAGGTTACGTCAACCTTGAGCCTGGTGAGATTTGATCTGCAAAACTGCTGGCAGCCAGTGATCAGCAGAAGTAGCCTGCACTCTAACCACTGCACCACCGCAGCTCTTTTATGCAATAGACAAAATTTGGAAGGAAGCATACTATTTAAAAATTTTAACCTTCAGAATCGTACAGTTTTGATTCGTGCAACTATCACATAATAGCTGCATCATAACAGAAAGCAGGGTTTGTTTTTTTTTTATAAAAAAGGCCAAGTTAGAACTTTTTTTTTTTTTTAAATATCAGGTCCAAAACTGATAGATACATCACTTGCTGCTTCCAGATTTGGCATGAACTATAAGAAAAAAAGATATTCCGCCTAAAACAGTTACTCTACTTTCACCAATCGTTGCTTCCTTATTAAAAGAATATGCTGACACATGCAATTCTACAATAAATTTTAAATTTTGATATGGATTTTAAATTGATAAATTTTAAACTATGGGCCAAATTTAATTATTTTAAGTCTATTTTTAATCTTACTTTATGTATAAATGTTTTATTTTGGCTGTTCACCGCCCTGAGTCCGAAAGGAGAAGGGTGGTATAGAAATTTAAATAATAAATAAATAAATAAATAAATAAATAAATAAATAAATAAATAAATAAATAAATAAATAAATAGATCATTTGAATGGAGATGTATACCTATACAAAGACAGGCAAACAAAGATAGAATCATATATTTTTTTAATATTTCCATTTACAATTATAAAAATAAATAAGGCAATAAATCCTGTACTGAAAATAACATTTTAATGTAGTGGTCAATCGATAGGCACAACAATGTCAGATCTACAATCTCATGCTTCAAACATTACCAAATCTTTGGATGTGCCCTTTTGGATCGCAGAAAAAAACTTTTCCTCTTAAGGAAGCTGTTACCTAACAACCATTCATCTTCCACACTAACTCTTTGTGTGTAGAATTATTGTCTATGTTGCCAAACGTAGACCACAAATACAACAGTTCAGGAGGTAATATGCACCTACAGGGAGCCAGGTTCGAGAAAGGCTTTAGTGATGCTCTCGGACTTGGGATACAAAAGGAGTGTAGGCTTATCAGTCGAACGCTGCAGAGATCAGCTGCTTGCACAGAGATTATTTTCCTACGTAGTTGTTAAACTATCAACAGGATAAAACCGAGCGCAGCTGGCATATATAAATTTCAGCTGTTCCCTGGAGAACTATATTTTAAAACTTTATTCGTGTCCTCTTAGAAAGCTCAGGCATGAGTTCCTAGGTGGTTATCTAACCAGATCATAACCGACAAAAAACCCTTTTTATTAAGTTACTGTGAATTCTTCTCATTCACATCCAGCAACGTCTTTCAAGAGAGAATTTGGAGTCACAGACCTTATCTGGCTTGGAGAGCTGCCAGGCCGATATCTTCAAAACTTGGCAAGGAGTCACAGAGAGTCACAAACCAATTAAGCAAACTAATTCGCTTCGAACAAATTTAATAAATAAATAAAATAAATTGTCTCCTGCAAACTCCACTCCCTTTCACTCCTCTTTATTCCCTACGGGAGGGGCCATTTTCCGTCCACCTGTGGTTTTACTCCTGAGTCGACCCTTGTTCCTTAGCTGTTCCCTTCTCCTGGCAGCTCTGCGCATGTGCACACTAGGAACAGGCTCCAGCAGTTCTTCTGCCCCACTGATGTCCGACTCCGAAGTCTGCTTCATCATTGGCCTGAGACCCTGTCTTGCCAGATTTTGCTCATGCTTTTGGTTAGTCTAGTGCAGTGGTTCTCAAGCTTTTCTTCACCATGGACCCCCTTTTAAATACCTCTTGTGACCACAGACCAGGATCCCCAAGACTTAACTCAAGATTTAAATCATAACATTTCTTCAAGCCTTGATGGACCCTCTGTGACGATATCATGCCCCCCCCCCCCAGATTTAACCACAGGTTGAGAACCGCTGGTGCCTTATCATACAGAGGGAACATGGGTAAAAGAATTGGAAGTGGCTGCTCTACCCAGATTAGCCATTTTCTCCTGCCCATTTTGGGAGTACTTGACGTTACCCATAGAAATCCCAGAAGACAACCATCCAAAAACAGATGGTTTTTAAGTCACAAAACATTCATCTCCAGGCAGAAGCAATCAGGAGCTGGTATCATCTTCCAGGAACCCTAAAAGGGAGGAGAATGAAAGTTGTTCCAGAAGAGTTCACCATGTCTTCCTGGGATGGGCAGAGAGGGAAATCAGAGCCTTTAAGGCATTTGTATCTTCATTAGTAACTGGCACAGAGGGAAGTGGACGTCTGTGTAAAGCTGAGAATTTTTTTCCACAGTGAGATTCAAATATCCCCACCCAGATTTCCCACCCAACCCATCTAGCCTTCTCAGTGCATAGACAATCTGTTTTCCGAAGCCAACTGGCAGCAGAAGACAGGCAGAATTTGTTTCAAATTCAGAGGAAAACTGGCAAAGAGAGGAGATGCCAAGCTCAATCAGGGAGATGATTCTGCAAAAAACACTGCCATCTTACGGCTTCAGATAGATCAACATTTTACAGAAAAAGGAGATGAACACTGAGAAGAGCCTGTAGTACAGTGGACTAAAGCACTGTTATTAACATCTGCTGCTTGCAATTACTGCAAGTTCAAATCTCACCAGGCTCAAGGTTGACTCAGCCTTCCGTCCTTTCAAAGGTAGGTGAAATGAAGACCCAGATTGTGGGGGGAATAAGCTGACTTTGTATAAATATACAAAAGTATGAAGGCTATTGCTTAACACATTGTAAGCCGCCCTGAGTCTCCGGAGAAGGCGGCATATAAATTAAAACAAAAAACAACAACAACAACACTTCATTTTGTAGCCAAAGGGAAAAATAATCTGGATATATATTTTTGCACAACAAAAAAAAGGGACAACAAATGGTTTGCTCCAAATATGAAAAATGAATGCACCGATTTAACATATAGGTAGTCCTCCACTTACAACAATTCATGTAGTGACTGTTCAATGGCACTGAAAAAAGTGACTTACAACTGTTTTTCACCTTTACGACTGTTACAGCATCCCCATGATCACGTGATCAAAATTCAGATGCTTGGCAACTGAGTCATATTTATGACGGCTACAGTGTCCTGGAGTCATGTGATCTCCTTCTGCGACCTTTCAAAAAGCAAAGTCCAGATTCGCTTAACAATTGTGTTATTAACTTAAGAACTGCAGTGATTTACTGAACAACTAACCTGTGGTAAGAAAGGGCATTAAAATGGGGCAACATTCACTTAACAGCAAAAAGTTTGGGCTCAATTGTGATTGTAAGTCAAGGACTACCTGCATACAGCGTGGTGTGCTGGAAATAGTAGGAGCATCAACTTCATAATTGGCCATGATATTCAGGCAACTTGGTTCAGCAAACTTGGATGGCCACAGGTTCTCTATTTATTTTATTTATTTATTTATTATTTAAATTTGTATGCCGCCCTTCTCCTGAAGGACTCAGGGCGGTGCACAGCCAAAATTAAATACATACAATACAAAATTTAAAATAATTTAAAAGCAGAATTAAATCGAATTGGCTTCCCAAAACATTAAAACCCATTACCCTTAAAATAACCCATTAAAATTTTAAGCCAGCCCAGTTTGCTGAAATAGGAAGGTCTACAAAGCTCGATGGAAGGTCCGGAGGTCCGGGATTAGTCGTATTCCTGGGGGTAGCTCGTTCCAGAGGGCGGGTGCCCCCACAGAGAAGGCTCTCCCCCTGGGGGTCGTCAGTCGGCATTGCTTGACCGACGGCACCCTAAGGAGGCCCTCTCTGTGGGACCGAGTTGGCCGGTGGGAAGTTATCGGTGGCAGAAGGTGATCTCGCAAATAACCGGGCCCTAAGCCATGGAGCGCTTTAAAGGTGAGAACCAATACCTTGAAGCGCACCCGGAAGACCACCGGAAGCCAGTGCAGCTCGCGCAGGCAAGGTGTCACATGGGAGCGCCAAGTCGCCCCCATAATTACCCACGTGGCCGCATTCTGGACCAGCTGGAGCTTCCGAGTGCTCCTCAAGGGGAGTTGAACTGGATTGAATAACTGTACAGCTGTACAACAATATTCATAAATGCACTTGCTCGTTCATTATCAATGAAAAGATTTCAAATATATGTCATCAGAAAGAAATGACAAAACGCTCCATTCAATTGTCTTAAGACATAAATCAGTTCTAAATGGGAAATAGCCGAGTTGCTCAAATTCTCGTAACCTCAACTCTCTCATTTCAATAGACCTTCCTAAAATAACTGTGATTTGTGCCTGAGACGAGGATTACCTATGACCCAGGCAGCTTTCCAAGAGGCTGAATCTAATTCCAGCACCTCAACTATTATTGCCCATTTAGAAATGGGATATTCTATTAGGACACAGAAATGTCAATGGAGATTCTCAGTCATCCTGGTCATGGTTGTCCCAAAGGTGCTATTTCAAAAGGACTTTGTTTTTCCTTGAAGATGTTTCACTTCTCATCCAAGAAGCTCCTTCAGTTCTGACTGAAGTGTCTTCAAGGAAAAACAAAGAAAACCCAGTTGCCTTTTGAAAAAGCACCTTTGGGGGCAAGGACACCGAAAGTTGCTTCTCCATCTAGTCTATTATGGTCTACACTCTACAAGGATTCAACTCTTGATCTCAAGCTCCATCATCTGCAGAACTTGGTTCTGCAAAATGGTGAGACCAGAAGCTGAACGTGGTAACTTGCAAATTTGCCACTAAGCTTATGGCTAGGACATCGGGAGTTGTGTTTCTCCACTACTTTGTCCTGGAGATCAGTAATTCATTCAGAATTATGTAAGGACAACAATGTAGATAAAACTAAGAAATCAATGCCAAACATGTCAGGAGTACTTTTAACGCCATAGCTATAGCAACAGAATCTTGCAATGTATTTTCCCCTCTCTCACTTTGTGTGAAATAAGGCTCAAGCCCCTTATCTGACTATTGTCTTGGTAGGGGCCCTTCTTTCTGTCTTTCAGAGCCATCCCGTATTCTTCTACAAAACTCCTGTGCGAGCTGCACTGGCTCCCGGTGGTCTTCTGGGTGCGCTTCAAGGTTTTGGTTACCACCTTTAAAGCGCTCCATGGCTCAGGACCTGGGTACTTGCGGGACTGCCTACTACCACCAATAGCCTCCCACCGGCCGGTACGCTCCCATAGAGAGGGGCTCCTCCGGGTGCCAACGGCCAAACATTGCCAACTGGCGGCCCCCAGGGGGAGAGCCTTCTCTGTGGGGGCACCTACTATTGGAACGAGCTCCCCCCGGAGATACGGAGGATCCCGGATCTGCGCACCTTCCGCCGTTCTCCAAAGACCTTATTATTTCACCAGGCGGGCCTGGCCTAATTTTCTCCCTCTTTTATAAAAGATTTTTAATTTTTAAATATCTTTTAGTATTTTATATATTCAAATTTTAAAATTGGTTTTAAATAGTTTGGGGTTTTAATTTGTCTGGGCCAAAACTATTTAATTTGATTTTAATTCTACTTTTAAATTTTGTATGTATGTGTTTTATTGTTTGGCTGTGCACCGTCCTGAGTCCTTCGGGAGTAGGGCGGTATAGAAATCAAATCAAATAAATAAATAAATAAAATAAAACACTGTGGACCGAATCTCTGACCATCTACAGGCAAAGTGTGTTTTATCTCTGAAGGACAGCTGCTTTGTGAACAAGTCAAACAAGCTTCTTTCGAATGCTTTCTCCCCCCTCTGTATTGGCCAATTAAGCAGTTTGGATCCACACAATAATGTTAATCTTTTGGCAATCAGACTCAAACAAAGCAAACAAATTTCAACAGCTTTAATGCAATGACTTGGCCTTCCATGGGCTGCATTGTTGGGAGGAGGGAGACAGAGTCATCCCAGAACCTTGCTTATACTATAAATAGGGTTTGATTCTTACTCTTGACAGTTGCCCAAATAAGGGATTTCTTAGTTCTTGCAACAAACATCCTCACAAAGAACTGTATTCTTGAATCACTGCCTGTGAAGCTTCTAGTTGGAGCATTGGCTAAGAGAGGCTTGATAACTTTTGAGCGTTGCTAGTCATAAAAATGAGGAAATCTTTTAACTGCGTACACTAAGAGTCTTTGTCAACCTGGAATGCTAAGAAATAGTAGAAAATTATCCGAGAGCAATGATGGTCAAAAATAAAAGTAGAACTCATAAGATGAGGCAGAGGGTTTTTTAAAGAAGAAAAGAACTATGTACAACATTAAAATGTGAACCTCAGCTTTCTGGCTAGACATTTTGCCTAAGGCAAATGCACCTGAATTACTGAGATGCTGTTAAGATATATACAAAACGCTGGGTTCAGTAATCAAAGTTAGCTTTACCGCTGCGCGCATTAAATTTCTGCTGGTGGTTTCTTTGAACAGACAGTGCATAAGTTTGAGGAATGACAAACAGAGCCATGCATTTCTCTATAAATGCATCTTTTCTCTTGTGTATCAATTAAATAGTTTGGATCCACCCTATAATGTTAATCCACAGGCTAAACTCAACAGCTGTAATCTGCTAATTCAAAGACTGTGGATGCCTCTCAGGCTCCCCACCCCACATCATAGATATTCTACATCCTTTAAAGAAAAACCACCCTATAAACTTTCTACTTTGAAGGCATGATGCAACCTTAAGGGTTAATGTCAATGAATATCTTCTGAAGCACTTGGACAGGTGGCCATTTGGGTTCATGCGCCAAGCTAAGCCATAATACAGTAAGTTGGTATTTGGCTAAACCTCTTATGTGGTCAAACATAGTGGTTTGGAAATAATTGTTAAAGCAAAGCATGGCATCGTGATATGTAAACCTAGCCCATAACTTCAGTCCATAACTGAAGATGGACAGAGATAGCACCATCCAATTATGGGAACTATCTCTGAGATAAATTTGAGTCCCGTGGGGGCTGAGCCCTGAGTTTCTGTTATAAACAAGTAAACACAGAGGCAGCATTTAACAATAAGACATACAAAGGGAGATACAGTAAGAATCTAGAATTCAATGGGCAACTATACACCCACTTGCATTTTAGCAAAGAGTTCAATAAGACATTTAAGTTGCTGTCCAGTCTCAGTTTATCAGTTCTTGTTGGGAAGCACTTTCAATATGCAGTCCATTCTTCAAATTTTCAAGGATAATTACACCTTTATGTATTATCAACACATTATTGCATAAAGAAAAAAAATACATCCAGAATTCAGTTAAAGGAGTCTCCAAAAGTACAGTAGTATAGGCCACTCCGTTTGTATTGAAAACTTTGGAACAGTGGCAACAACAGAAGGAATTAGTGGTGTATTGGATAGTGTTTGCACACGCTTGAAAGAAGAGGAGACCCTAAGACTTTCAAGGACACAGTTGGTCAACTATGGGAATAGAGAGATGCCGGTTTTCTTTCTTTTTTAATTCACCTTCATATAGCTGGAAAAGCAAAGTACATAGAACCTCTGGTCACGAATGCTTCCGACCACGACTAAATTGGGTTCCGACCAAAGAAATTCTCATTTTTTTCCCCCACGGCTGATTTCCCCTTCTGTGCCATTTTTTTGTAAGCGCAAAATTTTCAAAATTAGGTTCGGTTAGGTTCACAACCAAATCTGTTTGCGACCAAACCGATGGAACGAATGATGGTGGTGACCAGAAGTTCTACTGTATGTAGATATAAAGTAATACTTCAGCATTATGGAGTCTACAGGTCTGTCCAAGGCTTTGGGCTGTCATATACAAATCCATATATTAGATTAACTTAGCTTTATTGATTAGCCTATCGGCCCTATCAAAAAATCCATATATTCCAACATAGGCCCTGGGAATTAGGTTTTTGTTCCAAGTTTGGAATAAATAGGCAAAGAGTGCCTATGCTAAGCAGGCCAAAGAATCCTTCCTCTTATACCAGGCTTATCCCATTCCAAGGTCTCTACTGCTGGCCAGTGAGACTGATGGAAACCATATCCTCAATTGTCCAAGTGCAACAAAGTGGGTTTGAATTGGTCATAAATATCCACTGTAGCGGCAAGTGTGTATTTTCACAGTGTGGCGCTTAGCTGTTTCAAGACCAAGGAAGATCTTAGTTGTTTGGAGATCTATTCCCCTGAGAGAATTTCCGCAGTGCTGGTGTTTTATCAGTGGTGGAACAAGGACTGATGGATGACAGAATTTGGTTTCTTTAGCCTTGCAGAAGCCCTGATATGCCATAGATGATCAGAAGATACCTCTTGGGACGTCAATAGAGGACTCAAGCCAGGAAAGCCAAAGTAGCAGCTTTGCCGAAAATTTCTAGCAGCTGGTTTTTTGTTCACATCCCCAAACTTTGTGCAGGAATGGAAGGTGAAGCTGTCCAGCAGGAAGAAGCCAATCCTGAGACGCTCTGGAGAACTAGATACGTCCACAAAGCACCAGATGGTCAGTTCCAAATGCAAGGAGACAACATGATGTAGAGTCCTCATTGTAGTTCTGGTTCTAAAGAAAGGACACCGGATTTCCTAGTTTTAGGAGGAGGAGGCGGCGGCCTGGTTTCTCGCCTGGTGGGTAGAGGTGGAGCTACCTACAATAATGCATAGAAAGAGACAGTTGGACTCATATGTAAAATGCAATTCCAGTGATACAGAGAATGGGAAGTGCGGGAGCTACAATAATCTCTTTTAGAGCAGGATCAGTGATATCATCTGACAGCCTGCCAAGGCAACTGGCGGGTTCCAGGGATGTCACAAAGAGGCTTTTGTGTTGTTAACATCTGTGACAGACTTTGCATTGAGGAAGACCCCTGGGCAAAAAGCTCCAGATTTAAAGACACAAGACACAAAGCTAGATAAAATTCTTCTCTTTAATTAAAACACTCAGTCTGGCCTTTTTTTTTTTTTTTTTGCTCCAAACTGGGTGGGATGAAACTTTGTTTTTACGTTTTGATGATTGGAATAGTTTTGTGATTATACAGATGGCTTGAAAGGTTGTGAGATGTAAAGCAAAAAGTTGAGGCTGCATTATATACAGTATTTGTATATTACTGCACTGAAAAATTCCAAAAGACACCATTCCCCACTACCCGTCTGCTCTTTTCTCTCTCTTTTTTTTTTTTAGTTTTCTAACTTTTATTTTTTATGCATTTTTACCTTATAATTTCGATACTGCCTTCTATCGCATAGCTCCCAGAGACCGGTAAGATCCCACAGAGTTGGTTTCCTCCGGGTCCCGTCAGCTAAACAATGCCAGCTGGCGGGCCCACGGGGGAGGGCCTTCTCTGTGGCGGCCCCAGCTCTCTGGAACCAGTTACCTCCGGACCATCCCCACCCTTTTGGCCTTCCGAAAAGCGGTGAAGACCTGGCTTTTCCGGCAGGCCTGGGGCCGTTGATCTCACTCTTGCGATCTGGTGAGATCTGGCCATGAATGGTATGAATGGGTTTTAATGTTTTTAATTTTTAAATGTTTTTTATTAGGGTTTTAAATGTATTGTGAGCCGCCCTGAGTCTTCGGAGAGGGGCGGCATATAAATTGAATTAAATTGAAATAATAAAATGCAATAAAGTTTATAAACAAACAAACAAAAGATTTATAAAAAAAAAACAAAAAGGAGCCAGAGCCAGGAAGTCGGCCCCAACAGCCGCATATTTCATGAGAAGAAGAAGAAGGAGAATTTTACATTATCTCTGCATTGTATCCCCCTCCCTCCCCGCTTTCATTTAGGGAGGGAGGGAGGGAGGGGAGAAAATGGTTTCAGGGAGAAAGCCATTAAACTAACCAAATACTTTAAAAAAAACCCAACAACAACAACCAGGTACAACCCTGAAAAGCCCCTGAGAATCTTTGCAATGGTGCTCCTGTCTCGGGTAATAGGATCCAAATGTCACCTCTGTACCTCTGTGGAGTTTCTGGAGCTGTTATTCTCATAGGGCTTGCATTTGGGCGGTGGTGCGGGAGGAGAATTCTGCAGGTTAACGGTTGTTAATCCATCTGCTTGCAAGGAAGGGAAACCTGGTGTGGTAGAGACAAGAAGAAAGACAGATGGTGGCCATGGTTAGGGAGGGGGAAGCAGTTTCTAACAGAAGCATACTTGCATCATCACTACTTTGGGGCATGCCTGTTTCTTTTAGCGGTTGATTGTGAACAGATGTGTCAAACTGGAATCCCACTTGCCGTTCCCCAGGCCCTGTTATCGCAGAAGCTTCGTCCACGCACAGCAAATGAACCTAAGCACATGTGAAAAACGCACGCTTGGGGGACCAGGAAAAACAAAATCCAGAATGACACCAGACAGGCTCAGTGGGCTTTGCTTTCACGTTGGACTTTTATCCGTTGCAATCTCCAGAACTCTCTTATGATAGGAGGAGGAAAGCCACCCAAACTTCTCATGAACTTGGAGGTGAACTGCCTTAGCATTAACAGAGAAATATAAACCAGCCCTGTTTCAATTTCCTTTCAGTATGGATGTTTCTTTTAAAATTACATTTGGAATATATCTGTCACTCAGTCTTCGTGAAGGATCTGGCCAGACGCAGTGTTGGAGAATCCATGATCAACTTTCCTAATTCCCTGTTGTTGTTGAAAAGTGTAAAATTTGTTCCAAGGTCAATTTCCATTTGAAAATGTGTGCGTAGACATGGGTATCTGTTTCTCTCTATATGGGTGCACGCACACATATACTGTATGTCTAAACCCCTAGATAACTGAAAGAAACAATATTCATACTTTAAATTTCAGCCAGAAATAAGCAAAGCCATCTTTTATAAACTCTCAATTAAAATGAAACATTCAGCTTTATTTATAACATATTCGGGAAAGTAGGCTTGAACTGGATCCAGATAAATCCCGATAGATTCTAAGAAACACTGAGATACATACAAGACTTACTACTTTGGATCAATTAAAATGTCCAATATTAATATAATCTACTCACACAGGAGAGATATTTATCTTCTCCTACTTGACTAAAGCTGTTTTTACCAAACCCTCCAGAACTGCCATTTTATGGACTATCACTAAGTTTGGTCAAATTATGTTGAATTTGGAGAATGGTGGGATTTCAAAGAAAAATGTATTATGAAATTCCAAGTTGGCAGGTTTTCTGGCAGGTATCTCCACCCATCCTGAGGATGGAAATTTGGTGAAGGCTGGACTAACTTTTTCTGTCAATACTTTAAAACAGATCTGGGCATTTATGCCCCCTGGGCCATATCCAGCCCAGTGGTGAAATCTGAACCGGTTTACCACCGGTTCCCTAGCCGCGTATGCGCAAATGCAGTGCGCACCAAATGCGAGCACCAAAAGGAGGCTTGAGAAGGTGAGTCGAACAGAGTGGATGATTAGCTGTGGTGCACATGGGAACCTTTTAAAAAACTTTTTAAAAGAATTTTTTACTACCAGCTCAGGCGAATAGGTAGTAAAAAATGCTTTAAAAAAGTAAAAAAAAAAAAGGTTCTGATGATCGCACAGCAGAGCTGTGATCGTCGGAGTCTCTTTTTTAAAAACTTTTTAAGCATTTTTTTACTACCGATTTGGCAAGCCAGTAGCATTTTTTACTACCGGTTCAGGTGAACCGGCCTGAACCGGTAGCGTATCACCCCTGATCCAGCCTTTTGGCTGTCCCTGTCTGGCCCATGTGAGGTCAATCAGAAATTAGAAATTAAATGTAAATAAGTGTGCCACATGGAATAGAAGAAGAAGCTGAGTTGTCTATGGAGATTCTAGGTCAGTGTTTCTCAACCTTGGAAGCTTGAAGATGGGTGGACTTCAACTCCCAGCAGCGCTGGCTGGGGGATTCTGGGAGTTGAAGTCCACCCATCTTCAAACTTCCAAGGTTGAGAAACACTGTTTTAGGTCACCAAGGTCATCGTTGTCCCAAAGCTGCTTTTTCAAGAGGCAAATGAACTCTTGTTTTTTTCGGAAGATGTTTCACTTCTCATCCAAGAGGCTCCACACCTATTTGTACTACTCAGGCAACCCTGAGGATACAGATAAACTTCCAAGTGGCCTCAACAACTCTCTAAAAAGGATGCAAAGGACCAGCTGTCTGCAAGCAATATAAATCCTTCCATATCCCATCATCCCAGTGAGAGCTGAAGAAGCTTCTTGGATGAGAAGCAAAAAGTCTTCAAAGAAAAACAAGAAAGTCCAGTAGCCTCTTGGAAAAAGCATCTTTGGAACAAGAAGCTGAGTTGGGTCTGGCTCTGTGTGACTGTTGTGTGCTCCTTCAATTGGCTGGCGGCAGCTGGGGGTTCGCAGGGGTTCGGGAGAACCTCTAGCTAAGATTCTGTGCAGTTCGGAGAACCCCAAATCCCACTCCTGGCTGGCCCCGCCTGCCCCACCCCTCCCAGGAGTCCCCATGCCACCTGTTTTGGATGCAGATAAATGCAGGGTGCGCGCAGAAGCTTGGTGAAAAATGGGCCTATCGGAAGTTTGAGAAGGCCGGAAATGGGCCAGTTCCTACCCCCCCAGAGGGCCTCTGCTGCCTGGGGAGGCTGTTTTCGCCTTCCCGGAGGCTCGAGTAAAGCCTCCAGAGCCCGGGGAGGACAAAAACGCCCCCCCCCCCTGTGGTAGTGGAGGCTGACTAGGCCACGCCCACCATGGCCACGCCCACCCAGCAATGGGGCAGCGAACCTGTGGCTAAAGGATCTGAAGCCCATCCCTGCTTACGACCATTGCAGCATCTCTATCGTCATGTGATCAAAATCGGGATGCTTGGCAATTGGTTCATATTTATGACGGTTGCAGGGTCCCGGGGTCATGTGATCCCCTTTTGTGACCTTCTAACAAGCAAAGCCAAGGGGGACACCAGATCCACTTAACAACTGGATCCAATTTAACGAGTGCAGTGATTCACTGAACAACTGTGGCAAGATGGGGCATAAAATGGGGCTAAACGTACTTAACAACAGAAATTGTGGGCTCAATTATAGTCATAGGTTGAGGACTACCTGTATTAGCCACTCAACAGTAACGGTGGTATAAAAAACCCTAGAAAAACCCCTTGCTAAAATTTTTGAAGCCCACCTCTGGGTTACATTGGCTTGGTCCTCCACCACAACTCAATAAATACTCAATAAATGGAATACTTCAGCAAAGATTAATTGTTTGGGAGTCCAAGTTATTTGAGATGACATCGAAACCTGACAGGCAGTTTCTCTTGGGAAAATTAACTGCCCCCCCCTTGCTTTAAAAAGAATAGGAAGAAGCAGAAGTTGCTCAACATACTTTGTGTTCTCGGTGTTTTGGGAGTGATTGGTGGTGGGTTGAGCGCTCCGGCTTGGTGAAGTGATGAGTTCTGAAGCAGAGTTAGTTTGCTTTCTCCCAGTTGCAGGCTCTTCGGCCTCGGTGCTTTTCCTGTTGCGTTCTGTACAGCAGAAAAGGAACAAACCCTGACTGAAGTGATTCGTGATGCCACCCTGGACATTACCTTCTCTGCCTTCTCTGTGGGGGCACCTACTATCTGGAACAAGCTCCCCCCGGAGATACGGAGGATCCCGGATCTGCGTACCTTCCGCCGCGCTCTAAAGACCTTATTATTTCACCAGGCGGGCCTGGCCTAATTTTCTCCCTCTTTTATAAAAGATTTTTAATTTTTTAATATCTTTTAGTGTTTTATATAGTCAAATTTTAAAATTGGTTTTAAATAGTTTGGGGTTTTAATTTGTCTGGGCCAAAACTATTTAATTTGATTTTAATTCTACTTTTAAATTTTGTATGTATGTGTTTTATTATTTGGCTGTGCACCGCCCTGAGTCCCTCGGGAGTAGGGCGGTATAGAAATCAAATCAAATCAATCAATAAATAAATAAATTACGCTGTAAATCAGCTACGGTACTTTCCTGAAAATTTAACTAAAGCACTTTGAGAAGCGTTTTGTGTAGGAAAAATACCCTCAAACAATGAAACAAAACAGGCCTTCAATGAAAGACGTGGATATGAAGGAGTATTAAAGCCCATCATCTTTTAGGGAAGCCCTCGCCAATCTGATAGTCCAGGGATGGCTAAAATTTTTGTAGACGGGTGCCCAAAGTGTGTGCGTGCAAATGTGTGTGCATGTGAACTAGGGGTGGGTTCTAAATTTTTTTACTACTGGTTCTGTGGGCGTGGCTTATTTTGTGGGCGTGGCTCGATGGTCATGTGACAATTCTTTAGGATTTAGCAGAGGTACTGGTCTACCAGGCTTTTAACTGCTTGCAGAGCTGTACCGGTCTACTCATTCGTTTTTGGAGGCACCGGTCTACCACCACACTGCCTTTTAACACTGATCAGCTGTAGGGCGGCCCTTTGAAGCCCCATGGCAAGAGTTTAAACAGTTTTTTTCCTTCTAGCCGATCAGCTGGGACTCGGGAGGTAGCAATAGATTGGGATGGGGCCAAATAAAAGGTAAGAATAACGTGGGGGGTGGGTGGGTGGGAGGGCCCAGCTCCCGAACAAAGAGAACCAGTTTGGTGACGTCATATCGTCACCGCTACCGGCTTGGCCGAACCGGGCCAAACCAGGAGGAACCCACCACTGATGTGAACCCCCAAAATGCAATGCGAGCGACCCCTACGCATGCGCCCCCGTGCCCCATTTTGGATTCCAGGTTGGCGCAGGAGGCCTTCCAGGCCCAAAAGGGGTGCAGAGGGGGGCACACACACAAACCCCCAAAATACAATGCGAGCACTCCTGCACATGCACCCTGGACCCCCATGCATACGTGCACACATCCCTGTATGCATCTCACCCCTGCGCATGCGTGGCAGAGACCCGAAGAGCAGATGGCCGGTGGGAGGTGCGTGCGCATGTGCGGTGGAGCTGGGCTGGGGTGACAGCTGGCGTGCCCCTAGAGAAGACTCTGCATGCCACCTGTAGCACACATGCCATAGGTTCACTATTACGGTAATAGCCTCTTGTTGATTATACTATAATTCTCTCCTATGCTACTGGGATTGATGACAGATGCAGTCCAACCCAAAGGGAGGCCCAATTCAAACTCTAAAACGTAAATGGGTTTAACAATAGGATGATTAGTAGACGAGATTTAGACAGACTCGGAGCGTGGATGACGATTATAGTTGCAACTGAGAGCTCGGAGGAATTAACAAGAGGTCAACTTAGATCGACACAGATACCCCTTGAGGTGATGATCAAATGTTCTGCTAGTTGAATCCCTCCCAACGTCTCTTTTAACAAGGATGAGAATAAGCTTGCAGAGCTAGGAGAAAAATGACATAAGTTCCCAGGGGAAATTCATCACTCTGATGCATTTATTACCGTTTTGGAAGCCTCTGGCTCCTTCTCTACAATAACCTGAGATTTACTGAGGCTCCAGTCTTTCCGACGGAATTTATTAGCTCGGTTGTCTGCATCATCTTTGGTAGGCTGCTCTTCCATCCTAAGGGCTGCCGAACTTCTCCTCTCCATCAACGGCTCAAGAATAGATCTGTAGCCCACACAGAAATACCGTCATAAAGAATTATACCCTGCCTCTTCTGGTCAGCCTGAAAAAAATAATATTTCTTGTTTTCTGGAGACGTGAAGGAATCTGACAAGAGATCATTTTCTCCGTGATTGCCTCCTATTATTTATTTGTTTCGTTGACTTTGCAGGCAGTCCTTGACTCACAACCATTCGTTTAGTGACCGTTCAAAGTTATATCACAGGCACTGAAAAAAGTGACTTATGACAGTTTTTTGTACTTACGACCAGGGATGGGTTCCTGGGGGTTCGGCAGGGTTTGGGCGATCCTCTAGCTAAGGATTGCCGGGGTTCAGTGAACCCCCAAATGCCACCCTGGCTGGCCACGCCCACCCCGCTCTTCCCAGGAGTCTCCACGTGGCTCGTTCATCATTCCAGGTAAGTGCAGGGTCCAGGCGGAGGGGCTGGGAGGGCAAAAAACGGGCCTACTGGAGGTTCTGGAAGTCCGGAAACGAGCCTGTTTCCAGCCTCCGGAGGGCCGCCGGAGTCCAGGGGAAGCTGTTTTCATCCTCCCAGAGGCTCGAGAAAAGCCTCCAGAGCCAGGGGAGGGTGAAAAATGCCTCCCCCACTGTGGTGCAGGCAGCTGACTAGGCCATGCCCACCATGGCCATGCCCACCCAGCAATGGGGCAGCGAACCTGTGGCTAAAGGATCTGAAGCCCATTCCTGCTTACGACCATTGCAGTATCTCTATCATCATGTGATCAAAATTGGAATGCTTGGCAATTGGTTCATATTTATGACATTCGCAGGATCCCGGGATCATGTGATTCCCCTTTTGTGACCTTCTAACAAGCAAAGACACCAGATCCACTGAACAACTGTGTTACTAGTTTAACAAGTGCAGTGATCCACTGAACAACTGTGGCAAGAGAGGGGGTAAAAGGGAGCAAAACTCACTTAACAACAGAAATTGTGGGCTCAATTATAGTCATAGGTTGAGGACTACCTGTATTAGCCACTCAACAGTAACGGTGGTATAAAAAAACCTATAAAAATATCAGATAGTTCAAAGGGAATAGAAATTCTCCTCTCTGCATTTCCCTCACTGACTCCTTTCTATCAAAAATCCCTTTCCATCCCTTCCCATCAACTTACCCATCAGATCCTGGTCTGGAGGAAACACTGTCAGATGATGTAGACGAAGTTGATCCAACTGAAGAAGTGACAGAAGTAACTGACAGCCTTCTCAACGTGGAGGACATAATGTATGGCAAAACCACTGAACCAGATCTGCTCTGCTTTCTCTCCGTCAGCGAGGAAGGCTATTGTTAGAATACAAAGAAGGTTGTGAAAGAAATGCAAGGTAATTGTTCATCCGGAGAAGAACATCTACATCTTCTGAAACTTTAGTGGTTCTCCTCCCAAACCATTTTTGAAGACAGGCAAGTTCTGAAATTTCTTTTTAAGTCCCCACCCTCTGTAGCTCTGGAATAAGGTCATGTAGCTCTGGAATAAGGAGCCTGATTGAGCAATAGGGTCTGATCTGGTGACCTCCATAGTTTCAGGAGGACCTTTGCTCGTTTTCAGTCATCCGTCTGGCTGAAGGTCTTTTGACTACATTAAAGGTGACCATTAGCTCCAAGCCAGGTTCCGTATAAACCCTAGAAACAAATTATTCGGCAAATTGCTTTTTCCAGTATAGGCTCATGCGATAGCTAAAAGTGGGAGAATGTGAGTTATCTCATCATTAGTATATTGTTATCTGGGATTCACTTGGAAAAAACGGGTGAGGACACCCTTTAAAATTTTAGTGAGTGGACTAAATATGGGTGCCACTGGTTGGGTTTTTATTCCTTCCTTCCTTCCTTCCTTCCTTCCTTCCTTCCTTCCTTCCTTCCTTCCTTCCTTCCTTCCTTCCTCCCTTCCCTTCCCTTCCCTTCCCTTCCCTTCCCTTCCCTTCCTTCCGCAACAATACAAAAGTTAAAATACATAGCAGCTGAGAAAATATCATATCCCATAATCACTAATAAAACCAAAAAAAGGGTCCCCCCCACCCCCCACATGTGGGGCTTTAGGTCTGGGCACAAAGCCAGATAGGTATGAACTTTCGCTTTCCAATTTCTTCCTTGTCTGGTGTTTTCATTTGTGGTTGTATATGCTTTCAAGATATTCTAGGATCAAGAAAATGCCAGTTTTTCATTAAACTAGAACAATTGTTTCCCACCATAGCTGATCACATCACCACAGGAGAAAAATTGGCTGAATTTCTTCACCTAACTTAAAACAACCAATTATGTAGTTGGTTTGTCTTTGCCAACTCCCAATATTTAAAACAAAACATAATTCTCCTTTGAAATTCCCAGTTCCTCAAAGTTTGCAATGCAGTTTGACAAAAAGAAATGTTTATATATACACACACACACACACATACATACATACACACATACATGGAAAAGTCTCTAGTGTATTAGTGAATACACTCATGAAAATCATAAAAATGTGCCTTGCATTTGGAACACGGTTTTGCAAAAAGTGCATGCATTAATTAGACGTACATAGAGAAATGCTTACTTTTGGAGGAATATGCATTTAATTTCATTAAATGCTTTAATTTAATTTTTTAAAAAAAATCAATTTGGATAACTAGAACTTTGGCATATTCATCCAAATGAGAAACTGGAAGAAATGAAAATTCACAGATTTGCTTCTCCCCTTGCCCTTGCTATAATGATCTAATTCCTAGTGCCTTTTCTTTCTTTCTTTTTTTAATTTTTATTTTTTAAGACAAACAAACATTTAGTACATCATTCATTTCTTCCATGTGACATTTCGGTGTTATCTTCAAAAGTTTCTTCTCTTCTCTACCTCTTCTGTCTTCAATCTCACCAAATCCATTACAAAGATTTTCCACTAATATATTATTCTAATTACAACCAATTTTTTTCCAATCACTTTTAAAAACTTATTTGTATCTCTTTTCTAACCAATAGTAAAATTTATTCCATATCTTAAAATATTCTGTATCTTCTCTTTCCTTTATCATCATAGTTAATCTATTCATTTCTGCACAACCTAAGATTTTTTTAATTACTTCTCCCTCCGAAGGTATATTCTCTGCTTTCCACTTTTGTGGATAAACAATCCTTGCTGCTGTTATTACATGTATAATCAAATATATATTATCTTTACTAGTTTTCTCTGGTAAGATGCCCAATAGGAATAGCTCTGGTTTTAAATCTATACGTTGTTGTATCATTACAATGTCGACTGGCGGCCCCTAGGGGGAGAGCCTTCTCTGTGGGGGCACCTACGATCTGGAACGAGCTCCCCCCGGAGATACGGAGGATCCCGGATCTGCGCACCTTCTATCGCGCGCTTAAAACGTTTTTATTTCATCAAGCTGGCCTGGCCTAAATCTTCTCCCCTTTTAAATATAAATTTTAAATACAAATTTTAATCTGTTTAAATTATGGGGTATTTTAAATTCAGCCAAATTATTTAATTCGTTTTTAATCTATTTTAAATTTTTGTATCTCTGTGTTTTATCTTCTGGCTGTTCACCGCCCTGAGTCCTTCGGGAGAAGGGCGGTATAGAAATTTAATAAAATAAATAAATAAAATAAAATTACCTCCATCCATAACTTAATTTTATTCCAATAGTTTTTCGCTTCAGGACATGTCCACCACATAATGGTAATATGAACCTGGTAACTGGTGACATTTTCAACATTTAGCTGATTTATCTTTAAACATTTTTGCCAGTTTCTCAGGGGGTACATGCCATCTATAAAACATTTTATATAGATTTTCCTTATATGCAGTGGATATTGTTAATTCATAATTTCTTTCCCATAATTGTTGCCATTTATCTAATTCAATTGAATATCCAAAGTTTTTTGCCCAGGCTATCATTTTTTTCTTTTACTTGTTCTAATTCCTAGTGACTTTTCATAAGTGAGATTCAGTGTGTATATATATATATATATTGCTCCTAGAAGCACGAAGCCGAGAACACCAGCCTGAAGATGACGAATGAGACTTCGTCGAAATGTTGCCAAGAAACCTCCAATTTTACGCGGGAGAAAACCCGAATAACCAAAGATATATATATATATATATATAAGCACGAAGCCGAGAACACCAGCCTGAAGATGACGAATGAGACTTCGTCGAAACGTTGCCAAGAAACCTCCAATTTTATGCGGGAGAAAACCCGAATAACCAAAGAACATTGCTCCTAGAAGCACGAAGCTGAGAACACCAGCCTGAAGATGACGAATGAGACTTCGTCGAAATGTTGCCAAGAAACCTCCAATTTTACGCGGGAGAAAACCCGAATAACCAAAGACCTACATACAAACACTCGCGAAAACCTCAGAAAACAAATATATATATATATATACATACCAGGGTGATCACGCCGTAGAGCTTCTCCACTTTCTCTCTCAGCTCCTTGAAGCAAGAGGTTAGCCTGTCATGAAGAGGCTTCAATTGCTCAGTCAGTTTCTTCCCATGGATTCTAATCCCTTCAGCCAGCAAAGGCATCTGCAAGAGGCAAGCCAGATCAGAAGGTTAAGGAAGCACAGAGATAGACAGTTGATACCTTGGCACTGGACTGCTTCAAAACTCATTGAATTCATCATTCAACTCATTTTGAAGCAGAAATCTTGTCTTAGCACTCATCTTTCTCCCGGTAATCAACACACAAGGAAGAACTTGCTGATGTCGATTGCCTCGTGACTCGTTATTTCTTTTGGCCAAAATGGCAGGTCATGTGGTAAATCATGGGGGGTTTCTCGCTACTCGTTGGTTTAGTATTAGGCAAGTCTTCTGGAATAAATTCTAAAGACCTTTTTATTTCACCAGGCGGGCCTGGCCTAACTTTCTCCCTCTTTTTGAACATTTTTAATTTTTTAATATTTTTTAGTATTTTTAATATTCAAAGTTTAAATTTGTTTTAAATTGATTGGGGTTTTAAATTTGTCTGGGTCAAACTATTTAATTCGGTTTTATCTCTGCTTTTTAAATTTTGTATATATGTATTTTATTGTTGGCTGTTCACCGCCCTGAGTCCTTCGGGAGTAGGGCGGTATATAAATCAAATAAAAGAAAAGAAAGAAAGAAATTGCCGATGGGTACTGAGGTACCATCGTTTCAATGGTAGTTTCAAATGTAATTTGGAAAACAAGAAGGCTCACCTTGGGCATTTCTTGGCTTAGCTTACTAACAAGGCCAAGCCAGGTTTAGACATATCTAGATTATACATCATGCTTATTTGGGTAAACTTAAATCAACTGGAGTCCTTGATGCTCTCTGAGCTTGGTTGTTTTATTGCAGACATTTTATTACCCACCTAGGTAATCTCATCAGTGCTGGGAGTGGGGTTTGCTCTCTGTTTACATACAAGTGGCTTGTCTTGTTAATGTTGATGGGATTGTTCTTATATCTCACCTTACTTCCAGCTCAAGTGAATTTATCTAGCAGTCTTCTTCCATGTTTTCTCTCATATTTCCATGGTTGAAGATGGGCTTGAATTTCAATGCCATTTCAACTCTTTTTTTTTTTTTTTTTTGGTCACAATCCTGATCTATGGTTTCATGTTTTGTTTGTTGATTTGCATCCTGGTTGGGAGTTATGTTTAACCGAGGGGTTATTTTTTTTTATTCATTTTTATATGCCACCCTTCTCCGGAGACTCAGGGCGGCTTACAATGCGTTAAGCAATAGCCTTCATACTTTTGTATATGTTATGTTTAACCATGAGCAAGATAAAAAGAGCCTTGGTAGTACAGTGGTCTAAAGCACCCTGTTATTAAGACCAGCTGCCTGCAATTACTGCTGGTTCGAATCTCTCCAAGGCTCAAGGTTGACTCAGCCTTCCATCCTTTCTAAGGTAGGTGAAATGAGGACCCAGTTTGTGGGGGCAATAAGCTGACTTTGTATAAATATACAAAAGGATGAAGGCTATTGCTTAACGCATTGTAAGCCGCCCTGAGTCTCCGGAGAAGGGCGGCATATAAATCAAATTAAAAAAACAAGTGATCTAAATAAACATCAATGAAGCATAATTGTCTGAATTTACACAACATGAGGAGCTCTAGTCTAGACCACAGCTTATGGCTGGTTTGCAATTTATAAGTCAAACCCAAACAAACTTCATTGGGGCTTAATGTGATATGAATCAAATGTCTGATTTAGTCTGTTGGTCAGCAGACTGTAGATGTCTTCATGTTTGTTTTTTTTCCCCCTAAGTGAAAAGGTTAGGCATTGTTGGACATAACTAGCACTTTAACCACAAATCACCAAGATATATTAGACTGGGAATAAAGAAGAATCTTAGAGAAAGCCAATGTTGAACCACTTTGTATCACTGTTAACACAGACATGCTTATATAGTCCCTATCAAGAATCAAACATCTTAAATGTTTACTTTTACCTTGCTGCCTAGGTTTCTAAGTTAGTGCTGCTGGTTATTAGTAGCACTAATAACCAGCAGCACTAACTTCAGCACTGCTTCAAGGCAGCGGTGAAATCCCAATTTTTTTTACTACTGGTTCTGGGGACGTGGCTTGGTGGGCATGGCAGGGGAAGGATACTGCAAAATCCCCATTTCCACCCCGCTCCTGGGGGAAGGATATTGCAAAATCCCCATTCCCACACCACTCTGGGGCCAGCCAGAGGTGGTATTTGCCGGTTCTCCAAACTGCTCAAAATTTCCGCTACCGGTTCTCCAGAACCTGTCAGAACCTGCTGGATTTCACCCCTGCTTCAAGGATCTGTGAGGGTGTGAATACAGCAGGTGTCTGCAACTCCTTAAACTTAGCTGGATTGCATAATTCTGAAAAAAAAAAAAACCAATTGGTTTAAGAAGCTGCACACAAGAGATATGTGCATGCCCCCATTTATTTCAAAGCACCTTTGGTCTATGAATTTGAAACACTTCTATTAGTCAGAACTTAAAATATTCTGTGTGCAGAGCTCATGCTTTTTCACCGACCATTATTTTTGCCTCTTAATAAGATTGCCTTCAATGATTTCCTTAGCACTTTTATGATTACTTCTAGCTTAACCAATAAACCATGTCAAATATGCCAAGAAATGATGCCTTTCTATATCTTAAATTGCATTGCTATGCTTAGTTGTTATGTTGTTATGGGAAGCATTTTAGTGTTGTATGCGTGTGTGCCTCCAAATTGTTATTGGCTCTGTAACTGCCTGGATTAGTCCCTATTTTGATATAAGATTTTGGAAGTGGCTTGTCATTGCTTCTTTCCTAGGGCTAAGAAAGATTGACTGGCCCAAGGTAATCCATCTGATTTCGTATCTACAATGGGACCAGAACTCATAATCTCCTGGTTTCTACCCTGATGCCTTAACTATTGCACCCAACTACTACTGCTTTTTTTATGGGCAACACAGGATGTCTGCCATCTTGCTACCATCCAACTGCAGCAACATCAGGTAGAATCCAGGCCAAGTGAAATCCCAACATCTGTAAGATGCTACTTCAGGAAAAGTTATACCGTTACGACAATATTACTTCTGCAAAACAGCCTACGGACATCTTTCTACATTATCTGCATTCCTGTAGGTACCTGTAAGGCAATTAGTTGCTTGAGTAATTCAATCTTTTCTTGATCTTCAGAGTGTTCCTGAACATATTTCTCAGTGAAAAAGGCCTGCAGGGATTAAAGGAAAAAAACAAGACAGTCTAAATGTTTGATCCTATAATGAAAAGAATCAAATTAAGCTATATGGACAGCATATATATATATATATATACGATAACTTCAGCAAGATAAATCAATGCTCAAAAGTGAAAAAAGTTTAACATATCCTCAATAAGGAATGATGGGTGAAGATGATGGAACTTCAGAGATGGCTAAATTGACTTTCTTGATTAGGAAAACAATGATAAATTATGGCTGATTGGAAGACACACACACACCCTTTCTCCTTTTTCCATGAACTAGAACAAAATGTAGGTAACATCTGAGGTGAAAAATAGATAATTCAAAAAGTGAGATATATATTTTTTTTTTGTAACCAAAAATAAGAAATAACTTTGTAATACTAGTATTTGCTGCAAAGGAAATTGGAAGTTTCTTTCTATTTCTTTTTATCTTTTTTCTGGATTTTTTTTTCTTTCCTACTCTCTTTTTGTGTCTTTGTTTTCTTTATTCAGTATCAGTGTCTGCTAGTTTTTCTCTTTTAAAACTTTTAATTTTATAGAGAGAGAGAGAGAAAGGAGGAGAAAGAAAGAGGGAGACAGAGGGGGAGAGAGAGAAAGAGGGAGAGAGAAAGAGAAAGAGGGCGAGAGATGGGTGAGAGAGAGAGAGAAAGAGGGAGAGAGAGAGAGAGAGAGAAGAGTCTTTGGTTTTCCAGCAGTAAATTGGATTAGATTATTCCTGTTGTCCTCTCCAACTTCATAATGATTCTACAAAAACTTCATACTATGAATAAACCAGTTTTTTTTTTTTTAAATAAGAAAGCTAAGGGCACAGGCTAGAATATTATATATTTTTATTTTAATGCTCTGCAGAATTTCACCATGTTCTTTCAACTCTGGTTTCTGAGGAGAAGCAGGAAGGGATGGCTAGCTTTCTAATGGTTCTTAGGCCTTGAACAGTTTCAATCCTTTGTACTTAAACATCACAGTAACATTTGTTTTAATTGCCTTATGCTTGGTCCCCTAAATTCTTTCAGGAAATATGAGATAGTCTACTACTATTTGGAGGTTCTGACATTCCTCACCCATTCCAACAATACTCTGAACTCCACCGTTCTCTCCAGAAACAAGAGATAAAGTAAGGACAAGGAGTACTAGTTGCAGCCTGCCTGACTTCCTTGCAGAAGGATGAGTTTTAAATGGAAACAAAGAGTCAGCCACAGCATAATATAGCTGGGAAAAAACCAAAGTAAATATTATGCACAAACATTTCACACTTTCCATGGAAACAACACATTTCTTATTTTTGTACTCAAGATGCTTACTCACTATTTTCCTTCAATGCGTGAATGTCTGTTTCTGGGATCTTTGAACACCATCATAATAAATGTCATGTTATCTTTAAAACAACAACAACAACAACAACAACAACAACAACAACAACAACAACAACCTGCTCCTTGGAAATACTGTGGATCCAGGCTGGAATCACACAGCAACTATTCATAATCCTCCAGATTCATCTCTGCTGAAAAGAAGCACGGTGGCTTGAAGGGTGGAATGCTGGGCAGGAAGTTAGAGAGCCCACGTTTGAGACCCGGGAGCTGTGTGGGGCAGGGTTGAGCTCTCATCCTTCACTCCAGCTCCTGATGGCGACATGAAAGGAGCCCCCAAAAGGAGCTCCCAACTGGGCCTCAGTGCTTCTGATATTGTTCTGCCCCAGCTACGGACCCCAAAGAACGCAGCACACACAAAGTCTGTACAAACCTCAGTTTACTAAAATAAAATCAGTTTTTCAAACAAAGGCTGTTAATTAACTTTCTTAACAGCCTGCAAGAATCCAAAGAATAAATAATCTTAATCTTACTATGGTTGGCAGAAAGCCCAGAAGCAATTTGCAGCAAACTAAGATCAAGGCACGAAGGAGGGTGAACGGTTGTTCCCTGCAAATTGCTTCAGTTGGCGTTCCTCCTTAAATAGGCTAAGGGAGTGGCCAATTAGCCCCAAGCCTTACTCTCAAGGAGACCTCCTGAGGAGCCAGTCCTGCCTTTTGGCAGCTCTGCGCACCCGTGCATCGAGAAGAGGCTCCTCCTCTTCGTCCTCTTCACTTAACGAAGTCTCTGGCACCACATCTTCTCCAGCCTCATTGTCTGACTCAAGTGCCAGCTGCACAGGCTGCTGGCGCAGCACCACATCAGCCTCCTCGCTGTCTGAATCAGCCACCAGCCGCACAGGCCGCGTACGGGCCACAACAGATACGAGTGTAGCATCTCAACTGAAATCTTATCCAGAATAGGGCATGATTGAACGGAAGAAAAAGAGCACAGAAAAGGCAGCACAGTATCCTTTGACTAAGACGAAACAGGTTTAGTCTCACAATTCAACTTGGAAGTTGCCTTCCTAATCTAATTTATGAACACAGAGAGGCTGAGAAAAGGGGCAGGATGAATGCATGTGAGAAAAGCACAAATTTGGCAAATAAATCACAAACTTAATGGTATCCTTGGTCAGATCTAACACGGCAGAAACACCCATTTATATCAACCGATGAGCAGCCAAAACAACTAGGCTCACCACAGCCAATTTCCATAACGTTATTAAAGAAACAAATAATACTTGGGCTAGAGTGGCAGAAATAGGCGCAGAATTGATTCTCAAAGGCAGATATGGGGAATGTGCAGCTTTACAAATGTTGCAGAATTATAATACTAGCTTTCCTAGAACCATATAATCGTAGGAGATGACCAGGCTTAGCCTGAGGGAGGGGTCAAACACGTCATAAGTCAAGAGTCCCTGAGTCCCCACAAGAGATCTAACTCCAGCCCACCTTGAATTCCTTTCTTAACTCCCGCTAATTTCCCTTGACCATTAGTAGTTCAGATTCTTATAGCGAGCTTAAGCTTGCAATAAAACTTTACACTCATTTGAACTGCCTGAATCTCCCGATTTCCCCCATGCTTGACATTAATCCTAGAAATTCAAGCAGGGTTTCCTGCTTGAGCAGAGGGTTGGACTAGAAGACCTCTAAAGTCCCTTCCAACTCTGTTATTCTTTCCCCATCAATGGGCATACTGGGGATAATTTAAGAACATCTGCAAGATCACATCTTCTCCAGTCCTACTCAGAAGTATACAACTGTACAGGATAATATATAAGCAAGTTTTAACTCCTTTTGGAGCAGAAAACTAAGCCGTGAAGCCGTTTTCTTCTTTAAAAATAAATAAGTAAAACCCTGACTAGCAGGGGAGAAGGTATTGTGGCAACAGGATAAAACCCACAAAATTCCATCAGCTAGAATCCGAAGTGCTGAGCCTCGTCAGAAAACCACAATGCCAAACAAGGGAGGCCAAATGATTTGTGCAGGACATTGATTTCTGGTTTTTAATGTGAAAAGAAAGATTTAGATTATTATTATTAAGTGCCCACAAAAGCCCAACTCCCTACCCCAGCTGAGTCAGGGAGAGGAAAAAGTGAGCAAAAATAAAAATAAAAAAGGCTGATAGCTTTCAGATGTGGCAACCCCATTTGGAAGCCGTGACAGCTTTTCCATTTTTGCAAATCTAACTTTAGCACCGAAAATAGAGAAGCGGGAGCTCAAAATATTTCCTTGGCTGAAAATGGATCCTTCCTCCACGCCACAATTGGTGCATTTGCTGGCTGCCTGTATCACAAAGCTTTCCACTCTAAAGGTACCCACTGTGCATCGAAGTGATAGTAATATGTTCTAGCTAGAAGTAAGCTCTGCTCGTGGGTGGTAGTAGGGAGACATAAGATGTTAAGATGTTCCACTCATCCTAATTTCCAGATGTGCACAGGGGTTTGCAATGATCTTTACACCTCTAACCAGGGGTGGGTTCTAAAAATTTTTACTACCGGTTCTGTGGGCGTGGCTTATTTTGTGGGTATGGTTTGATGGTCATGTGATAATTCTTTAGGATTTAGCAGAGGTAGTGGTCTACCAGGCTTTTAACTGCTTGCAGAGCTGTACTGGTCTACCCATTTGTTCTTGGAGTGTTCCGGTCTACCTATTTGTTTTTGGAGGCACCGGTCTACCCATTTGTTTTTCGAGCGCACTGGTCTACCACCACACTGCCTTTTACCACTGATCAGCTGTAGGGCGGCCCTTTGAAGCCCCGCGGCAAGAGTTTAAACAGTTTTTTTCCTTCTAGCCAATCAGATGGGACTAGGGAGGCAGCGAATAGATTGGGGGCGGGGCCAAATAAAAGGTAAGAATAATGCGAGTGGGGGCAGCTACCGAACAAAAAAACCCGTTTTAGTGATGTCATATCGTCACCGCTACCGGCTCGGCAGAACTGGGCTGAACCGGGAGGAACCCACCACTGCCTCTAACCCTAAATCCATTAAATTCCTGTTTTCTGGAAGCACGTTTGGCATTGCCGCACTATCCATAACTGAAATCCTAAGGAGGAAAAGACACTTTGATCCTGGATAGGCTGGTGATATAAAATATGTGTACAAGTATAAAATATGTGTACATATATATAGGACAATACATCATAGTTGGCATCAGAATTTTCATTGCTAAACAATGGAACAATGGCAGTCGTTAAATGAATTGTGCCTGATTTTATGACCTTAGCTGTCATGATCGTTAAACAAATCGCTGCGGTTGTTAAGTGAATCACATGGCCATTAAAAAAATCTGGCTTCCAGCTGGGAAAGTTGAAAATGGTGATCACATAACCCTGAGACCCAGCAACTGTCATAATTTTGATCCTGTGGCACATGGGGATGGCATGATGGTCATAAGTGTGGGGACCAGTTTAAATCGCCTTTTCCAGTGCCACTATAACTTCAAGTGGTTGCTAAATGAATGGTTGTTAAATTTAAGATTAGGTGGACTTCATAATGTGTGCCACTGAAAAGTATCTGGAAACTTAAGATGGGTGTAAAATACAGGACTTCTTATTCCTCCCCAAAATACATTAAGTACATTAAAAGATTGTCATTTCTATTGTGGGTAGGTAATCCGCAACAGATTATCACTATCTATATACATCTATGGAGATTCTCAGCCATCCAGGTCATGGTTGTCCCAAAGGTGCTTTTTCAGAAGGCAACTGGACTTTCCTTGTCTTTCCTTGAAGATGTTTCACTTCTCATCCAAGAAGCTGAGAAATGAAGAAGTTCCTTGGATGAGAAGTGAAACATCTTCAAGGAAAGACAAGGAAAGTCCAGTTGCCTTTTGAAAAAGCACCTTTGGGACACTATCTATATAACGTCTGAATGGACAAAATTTGGTGAAATTTCAGTAAAGAGGGAAAACGGAGGAGGGCAGATTAGACAGGACCTCCTATACCTATCCTTTTTCGTTAGAGTTCATCTTTGTCTACCATCTATCCCTTCCCTTGTTCCTTTTCATTCTAAATTAAAATTCCAGAACGTCAACGACTCTCTAATTAAGTTTATTAAGTTATTATTATAAAATGAATGAGGTCCATAGCTCACCAAAATGTACCCATCACTACAGAAAAGGAATGCTTTAATGAATGGAAACCAAATCCTTTGACTTCCACCCTTAAATTTAATGCCAGCTGCTGCAAGGATTCTTTTCCAAATTCTCTGATATCTATAGTACTGTTCATGTAGCTAGATTCTATGACTCTGCCTCCCTGTTTCAGGAAGCTGACACAGCCATCCCATTCCTGAGATTGTTGTGTGCCCTACAACAGAGAGCAAGGAAACAACCAACCTTCTCGTAGTTGGTATAACCACCCATGACCGCTGGATCCACAATGCCATTCAAGAGCATGGAGAGGGGATGGACAGGCAGGGCGCGGTCCCAAGCATGTTGTTGCACGCAGTTACTGATCTTCTCATTTGTCCGCTCCATGGTTTCAATGGCGTTCTCCAAGGGGCTGATCTCCTCCTGGAAAGCACCACAAAAACGAGTTATGGTCAAGACTACAATGGATGCTAGGCAATGAAAATGTCAACAGAAAACCAACTGTCCCCACTCCAAACCCTTTACTGGGCAACGTCCATAGTTAGATCCTGGTCATTCACTCAACCTCGAAAGGTCAAGTAGGGAGTCTACTACCTCAATGTCATAGGAGATGCTAACCAAAATCTCATCTTTTTTTTTAAAAAAAAGAAAACATCAGTTTTCAAGTTCTGCTCCTGGCTTCTGTTGTCTCCTTTTCTTTGCTTGTCAACAGCCAAGTTATTTCAGGAAATAACTTAACAAATTACTCCTAGTTTCACTTTCAAGTATATACATATGAATCAGCTGTCAATTATAAAAGGCTTAAACTCGGGGTAAGAGGATAGCAGTTTCTGTGCTCAATGTAACTTAAGTCTGCACAAACCCAAGTTAAGCTACTGCATAGTCAAAGCCCATTGGAGTGACCTTAGGCCAAATCAAATCCTTGAGGGATTGTGGTACTATTCAGACATTTAGAGGAAGGACCAAAATAAATCCACATTTAGAAGAAGGACCAAAATAAACTGTAATAAATACAGTAAATAAGATGTGGCTTGCTCTGTGGGATTGGAAGGTAGCAGTTTCCTATTTCTGAGTTAGAAAATCTCACTTTACTAAATTATATGGATATGTCCATATAATTGCCAAACTGACATTAAAGATTAAATGTAGGGGGAGTGGGGAAGGGAAAGTCCATCTTAGCAAACTTTGCAGGTAATTTGTTTCCTTTAATTACCAGTCACCCCAACAGTTCGTTCAGAAAGGGAACAACACAAAAACTCTGGTGCTAAGAGCAATGTGGGATTGGGTATCCAAGTGCCCTTGAATGCTAGTTTATTCAGAAGCACTTCCTCATGGGCACATAGAGATATTAAATTTGGGAAGGTGGGTAAGAAATCAATGAAGGTTCCTGGAACTTTTCTAAGGAGAAGGCCTAGAAGAAAAAATGTCACAATAAATCAAGGCCTTCCCTAATCTGTCAGTCTCCAGAAATGTTGGATTCTTAGCTCACAAAGTCCCACGATTAGCTGAAAACTGAAGACCATCTAAAGCAGGGGTGAAATGCTCCCGGTTCGGACCGGATCACCCGATCCAGTAGCGATGGAGGCGGGTGGTTCGGAGAACTGGTAGCAGAAATCCCTGCCCTCCCCCCATGCCCAGCTGAGCCGCACAATCATCAGAGGCTTTTTTTTTTTACTTTTAAAAGCATTTTTTCTACAACCTCTTTGGCCGAAAAAATGCTTTTAAGAGTATATTAAAAAAAAGCCTCTGATGATCGTGCGGCTCAGCTGGGATCGTCAAAGGCTTTTAAAAGAAAAAAAGCCTCTGCTGATCAGGCAATTCAGCTTGGATCGTCAGAGGCATTTAAAAGAAAAAACCCTTTTTTTTTTCTTTTAAAAGCCTCTGACGATCCCAGCTGAGTTGCCTGATCGTCAGAGGCATTTAAAAGAAAAAAAAGCTTCGCCGATCAGGCAACTCAGCTGGGATCGTCAGAGGCATTTAAAAGAAAAAAAGCCTCTGCTGATCAGGCAATTCAGCTTGGATCGTCAGAGGCATTTAAAAGAAAAAAAAACCCTTTTTTTCTTTTAAAAGCCTCTGACGATCCCAGCTGAGTTGCCTGATCGTCAGAGGCATTTAAAAGAAAAAAAAGCCTCTGCCGATCAGGCAACTCAGCTGGGATCGTCAGAACTTTTTGAAAGCATTTTTTTACAATCTCTTCACCAAAGAGGTTGTAGAAAAAATGGTTTTAAAAGTATAATTGGCCACGCCCACCCAGTCACATTATCCCCCCCCCACCAAGCCACGCCCACAGAACCGGTAGTAACAAATCTTAGATTTCACCACTGATGTAAAGGCTACCAAGTTGGGGAGGCTGAATTAGAGACTGCAATAAAAGCTTCTCACCATAGTGACTTGCTTGACTTCAAACCATTTGAGGATCCCAGGGAAAGAATAGGCGGTTGTATAGGTGGTACGTTCTATCCACATAGTCTAAGAAGACAAAAAAAAAAAAAACCCAAAAAGGAACAAGACATAAAACATATGTTTATTTTATATTATACCCATGCAAGGAATATTCTCTCTTAGCCCTTCCTCAGCAGAATGATGGGGCTAAGAATCAGAAGCTCATTTCCCCCCCAAATCAGTCTAATGCAAGAATTTATGTCTGGATTCATACAACATGTTAGTCTAGGCTAAAATTGAATATGTGACTCATGATGTCGTAGGAACTAGGTAATCAGATGAAGTCATAACACGGTTTGTTTTGAGTACAGGTAGTCCTCGACTTACGACCACAATGGAGCCCAAAATTTGTGTTGCTAAGTGAGGCATTTATTAATTTGGCATTTATTCAACTCATAATCTACCCATTTCCTCCACCCCCAAACATATATCTCTTAATTCAAATCTTTTGCATATATTTATATCTAAACATAACATCCCTTTTCCTAAACTAAACACTCAATAACCTATCTCCACCCATTTTCCTACAGGTCTAACATACATAATATTTTTAATATCTTTGTTCTTCTGCCCACACCACACCACTAAAAGATATTTCCATATATAAATAAAATCCTCAGATGACTTTAAATTTGTAATCCATATAATAAACCACTGCAGTTGTTAAGTTAGCAGCACCGTTGTTAAGTGAACCTTACTTTCCCATTGACTTTGCTTGTCAGAAGGTCATAAAAGGTGATCACATGATCCCAAGACATTGCAAAGGCCATAAATATGAGTCAGTTGCCAACGGTCTGAATTTTGATCGCATGACCATGGGGATGCTGCAACGGCCGTTAGTGTGAAAAATGGTTATAAATCACATTTTCCAGTGAGGTTGTAACTTTGAACGGTCACTAAATGATCTGTTGTAAGCCGAGGACTGCTTACAAGAATGCCATTTTGCTAGCTTGACTCATAATCTGACATGACCACATTATTGGAGGCCAGGGATTGTCAACTTTTTTTTGACAATCAGGGGACGATGCTTTCATCAATATTGACTGCCAAGTTGGGTGCAATCATCCACCCAATATTTAACCAGAAGAAAAGTGGAACAACTGCTTAGTCTCTAAGGATGTTGTCTACTATCTTATTTTTTTTCCTTTTTCCAAAAATATCTCAGGATACCCAATGCCTAAAGGAGTCATTGGAGTTCTTATATCTTATTGTTTATATCTGTACCTAGTTGTATCTTCACTACTTGATTCAAAGAACCTAAATCAGGAAGAGCAAGGAGTTGGGTAGCCTTCATGTAAAGACCTAGGCTATATTGAGATCAGATCTATTGGAAAAAAGATTGCTCCAGTTTGTTTTTCAATCACCTAGACCCGTGAGGGCGAACCTATGGCACGCGTGCCACAGGTGGCACATGGAACCATGTCGCCTGGCATGCCGGCTCAGCTCTCAGCCTCTCTAGGAGACTCTGGAGGCTGGGGACAGCAAAAAAGTCACTTCCTGTCTAACCAAAAGTTGGAAAACGGGCCCTTTCGGGCCTCCAGAGGACCTCCGAGGGAGTGGGGAAGGCTGTTTTCGCCCTCCCCAGATGCAGAGAGAGGATTTGGAGCCAGGTGAGAAAGAAAAATGGGTCTACTGGGCCATCGCGTGCCAGGAGCGGGTGGGGCACATAGAATTATGGGTATGGGCACACATGCACGCAAACCTCCTGCCCCCCCTTTCCTGGCACGTGATGGCAAAAAGGTTAGCCATCACTGACCTAGACCTCCTAATGCCTCGTGAAAGGACCACCTATATTACACCAACAATTTCCTATGTCCTTTTAGCTAGATCAAGAGATGATGTTCTAAAAGTTGTATTTTAAAGAATAGAATAGAAGCTGGAAAGGATCTTGGAGGTCTTCTAGTTCAATCCCCAGCTCAAGCAGGAGAACCTATACCCGTGCTGGCAAACCTATGGCACGTGTGCCACAGGTGGCACGTGTAACCATATCAGTGGGCACCCCAGCTCAGCTCTGGCGTGCATGCCAGCTGATTTTCGGGCCTTCTGGGCCCACCAGAAGTAGGGAAACAGGCTGTTTCCTGCCTCCAGAGGGCCTGGGGTGGGTGGGGAAGGCCTGTTTTTCTTTCTCACCTGGATCCAGATCCTCTCTATGCATCTGGGGAGGGTGAAAATAGCCTTCCCCACCCCTCGGAGATCCTCCAGAGGCCCAAAATGGCCCGCATAGAATTATGGGTGTGGGTACACATGTGCGCGAACCTCCCCCGCCCCCTCTTTCCTGGCACGCGATGGCAAAAAGGTTAGCCATCACTGACCTATACTATTTCAGATAAGTGGCTGTCTAGTTTCTTCTTAAAAACCTCCAGTGATGGAGTGCCCATAATTTCTGAAGGCAAGCAGTTCCACTGGTTAATTGCCCTGTTAGGATGTTTCTCCTTAATTTCAGGTTGCTTCTCTCTTTGATTCATTTCCAACCATTGTTTCTTGTCCTGCCCTCTGGTGCTTTGGAGAATAATTTGACACACCCCCCCCTTCTTAGTGGCAGCCCCTCAAGTACTGAAATACTGCTATCATGTCACCCCTAATTCTTCTTTTCTTTTCAAAGTTCTCTGATGTTTTTCATTTGAAATAAGACCAACTGCTAGTTCATCACAGGCAATATTAAGTAAAACTCAAGCTGAACAACTTCAAGTCAAAGAATAAGGGGATCACATTTCCCATATGACTTTAAATAGGACTTTCTCCCTCCCAATTTCTTCTGAAATTGAAGTTAGAGAGATCATTATATTTGGGGGGTTAAACTATATTATTATCTATTCCCCATTCACTTTACTATCATACCATTGAATTTTGTTGAGGTCCCAAAGGATGCAACCCTACCAACAAAAATAACCCAGATTTGTGTTCCATCCTTGGATAAAGGACTTCGTATTTTAGGGTTTGTATAACTGTTGATAATTACTGTATGTCCTATTGCTTGCTACGTGTTTGCTACCAAAATGCAAGAATTTATTCCTCCAAAATTGAGGAATCAAAGAATCAAGCCAACATACGAAAAGCATGTGTTTTTCGGCAGGCCTGGGGCCGTTGATCTCGCTTTGCGATCTGGCGAGATCCGGCCACAAATGGTATGAATGCGTTCTAAGGTTTTTAATGTTTTTTAATCTTTTAAATGTTTCTAGAATGGTTTTTTTAAAAATGTATTGTGAGCCACCCTGAGTCTCCGGAGAGGGGCGGCATATAAATTTAATAAATGAATGAATGAATGAATAGAAAAAATGACAGGGATGGCAAAGAAGAAATGACTCACTGCAAATTCATTCTCAGGATCTTTTTCTCCTTTCCTGAAAGGCCGCGAGTGTTGGAACTGTTGAACTTCGTTGGATCTATAAAAGCTAAAGCAGCAGATGAAAACAACTTAAAAACTCAGCCAACACCCAAAATCTAAGTCTGATATCAGTGCTATAACAATCCAGGTTAGTGGATATTGAAAGCAGTAGAATACATGAATGCATGCTAAACAGATACTTCATTCAATTTCCTACATTACTGTGGTTTGTTCAATTTTGGCTAAATGACTGCATTTTATTCAACAAAAACTATGGCTTAGTGGCACTTAAGAATCAGGGTATTTAAATGATCTGATATAATGCTCCATCTAAACATTTCAAAATCGTAGTTCCAGATACATCCCTATGAAACAACCAGACTTATCTTCTATGATGAGGATAGTGTCAAGTTTCCGAAAGATGCCCTAATTAATTCATGAGCCATGATCCAAACTTCAAGGGAAATATAGTAATTTATTAGGAGCAACATTCCGGCAATACTCAGATGTAGTTAGGACTGATCCTACGTAGATTTACGTTCCTCTATGACCCTGTCTCTCCCCTCCTCTCTGGCCATGTCATAAATCACATTCTCCAATGAACCACTTTGGCTGGCTGTGAAACCTAACACCCTCCTTCTGATTGCAGTCAGAAAGAATGTATGGAATTCACTTCAGTTCTCCTTCCCTCCTGCTCATGGCAACTTGAAAGCTTTGCAAGTTGACAGGTAGGTTAATTCATGCCTTCAGCTGTCAAGAATGTAGAAGTCAGTCTTTCTGCATTCTGGTCTTTATGAAACAGGGTAAAGCAGCCCTTAGCTAAGTAATTTGTTTCTAGATGCGGAGAGGTAAATTGGAGGTGAATCCTTACTTTAGAATCTGCTCTGGAACAGGCTTGTCTTTGTAGCTTGGAGGAAGGTTCATGACAGGCTTAACTAAGAAACACTGTATGTCTGTATGTACAAATTAAGGAAAAAAGGAACCAGAAGGTGGACAAGAAGATCCTATGATCTGTTCCTCATTGAGAAAAAAATGAATACTTAGGAGGGGCTACAATTGTTTTACCCCATGCACTAAACCAAGTTAAGTTATAATCCTAGTGATGGCATTCAGACATGCTAAGCTTGATAAATTTCAACTATGATTAGTTTTGGAATGTGTCTTATGGTATTGTGTGATCCGAGCTAATGGCCAGTTTTTACTTCAGTGTCCTGCAAGAATAGCAATGGGAATTGCACTTAGACTTATATACTGCTTCACAGTGCTTTACAGCCCTCTCTAAGCAGTTTACAGAGTCAGCCTCTTGCCCCCAACAATCTGGGCCCTCATTTTACCCACCTCAAAAGGATGGAAGGCTGAGTCAACCTTGAACCTGGTGAGATTCGATCTGCCAAACTGCTGGCAGCTGGTGATCAGCAGAAGTAGACTGCAGTACTGCACTCTAACCACTGTGCCACCATGGTAGAACCCTGGGAACCAGGTTAATCTTTTTTTGTGTGTGAATACAGCCTGACATATTGACAATTGTGTTGAATGTTTTATCCAATATGAACACTTCCAGGTCCCATTTGGGATAGCTGTAATACAGAACATCTGGAGAGATCAAGATGGAAAGGGCTGGGGTAGATACTTTTTACTGATTTATAAAGTACTGTGTTTTCCCGAAAATAAGACCCTGTCTTATATTTTTTTGAACCCTGAAATAAGCGCTTGGCCTTATTGCCATGCACTCAAAAGCCCGATTGGGCTTATTATAAGGGGATGTCTTATTTTGGGGGAAACAGGGTAGGACTGAGAGGTTATACGTAGCAGCATATGGTCACCACACTAATTGTGTAAGCAGAAATGTACTATGAAAAGAGAGACTAGTGCTGAAAATAATACTCTCAAATTATGTACATAATACTGGGGTAGGTTGAGAAATAATCTGTGCTAAAGCTCTGTTTACAGATGTACCTACAATAAGGATACTTTCGGCACCAAGCGCCAAAACGGGAGCGTGCCCACGGGGGAGCGCCAGAAACTGGAAGAGCAGCTCCCTGGTGCGCACACACGGGAGCGCCAGAAACCAGAAGAGCAGCTCCCTGGCACGCATGTGCATACTGGGAAGCTGAGCTTCCGGTTTCCGGCATGCATGTGCATGCGAAGACCAGCTGACTGGCATGCATGTGCGCACCGGAAACCAGAAGTTCAGCTTCCCAGCATGTGCATGTGCACCAGGGAGTTGCTCTTCCGGTTTCTGGTGTCCCCGCACGTCCAAAGACCAGCTGGCCGGAGTGCATGTGCGCACCAGAACCTGAAAGAGCAACAGGTGATGGTTGGTGTGCCCGGAGAGATGGCTCTGCGTGCCACTTCCAGCACATGTGCCATAGGTTCATCATCACGGCCTTATACAGTATTAACTTTCCACAGAATATGAAGGAGACCTGAAATAGTCTGGAAATATCAATCAACTTGCAGAATAAACAACCTAAATGACAATTCAAGTAAGTCAACCTTGGGAAAATGGAAAAAGGAGCGGGGAAGTCAGACATTTGAAAAAAAAATAATAATAGCCCACAAGTTGGTTCTATAAAAGCCCAACAACGAAATTTATGACATTAATCTGTTTCGAGCGACAGAATAATGGAATTGGACTTATTTTTCAAATTCTCAGAATTTAGCAGGGAACCTAAATGAAATCCAAATTGGTTTACAGTTGGTTTCCAAGTCTTGCTTTGGATCCAGGCATCCAACTTCTGTCTTTAATGCCTAGTTTATGCTGGACTTCAGGCAAACCATTTGGATCTCAATGGCAAATAGACCAGCTAAATACACTGTATTGTCCATTTCTGATATCAGAGTTGAGCCAGGACTGTTTCAACCCTCCCATCATCAGCTTTGCCAGTTTTCTACTTTCCATATCAACTTTTGTTATCTAAGTTAGTTCCTAAACCCGTGATGACGAACCTATGGCACACGTGCCAGAGGTGGCACACAGAGCCCTCTCTGCTGGTACGCATGCCGTCATCCCAGTCAGAACTCCATGGTGTTTCTTTTGTGAGCTTCTGTTTCCCTGCAAACGACGAAACAGAAGCTCACAAAAGAAAAAGATCTTACCTTTTGCCGTGCTGCCAGTGTTGGGATGCCCCGCCTCCTGCCAGCCAGCTGGTCTTCGGATCTCTGCTGCACATGCCCACGCATGCACATGTTTGCACATGTCAGTGTATGCGCATGCATATGTGCATATTTGTGTGCACGAGCACACCTTTTAGTTTGAGCATGCACACGCAGTTTGGGCACTCGGTGTCTGAAAGGTTTGCCAACACCATCCTAAACTCTCTTCCTTCCCAAAGGATACATTGCTTAAAAGAAGCTTTGACATCTTCTGGTGGTGGGGTGGTGCTGCTCATTTTCTCAGCATTTGGAAACTGGGTGAGGAGTTTCACAATGAAATCTTCCCTCCTTTCATATTCCTTTCCACGGTAGATGAACATCTTGTTCTAAAAGAGGCAAGCATTAGAAATTAAATTGGGAGAACCACAACATTCTCGGCACTGGGGAGGATAGGAAAACAGAGTGGCCACTTCAAGCAATGGAGGTCAGTTTGGGGTGGCTTGAGTCTGAAACAGACTCTCAACTTTTCCAGTTGTTCCATGGTAGATACCAAATTCTATTTTTGAAGCTCCCCCAATTATTATGGAGGCGTTCATCATTGGAAGTGGCCGATGGACTAACTAGGAAAAGACCATTTCTGTACTGATCTCACATTTCTATTTGATGTATTTAATATTTTTAATATGTTCTATATTTATTTATGATTTTAATTGCAAGAGGTCCATAGTTGTTTTTTAGATTGAGATGGGCACCATATACATTTAATAAATAATTAAATAAAATAAATACTGCTGGATAATCACATACTGCTTGCACTGTTCAAAACCTAAAATGAGAATCACTGAGAAACTGGCTTCACAAACAGGAAAACTTTGCAGTTAGTCCTGGAATGGAATAACCAACAATATAAAGAGATAAACATATTTTTCACTACATTCAAACCCAAGATCTTCTCTTTCTTTGCTCAGACAAATAAAGATCTATAAAACCCAAACACAGCTCTGAAGTCCAGCTTATTACAAGTCTGGAACACCAGTTATTTTAATTGAGGATATAGTGCTAAGATTTTCCAACTCTATCCTTCCAGGAAGAATGTACTAACATGTTTGTTACCAATAAGCCAGAATTCCTAACACATTTGGCTAAATATGTTGTGTAAATATGACCAATAACTTGGCCATATTTACACAAATACAGATACACTAAATATCAAGGAAAGAAAATAGAAGTTGGTAGATTTATTTATGAACTAATTTTGCATGGAAATAAAAACAAATCAGGAACTACAGGCAGTCCTCAACTTACAACCACAACTGAGCCCAACATTTCTGTTGCTAAACAAGGCAGTTGTTAAGTGAGTTTTGCCCCATTTTACAACCTTTCTTGCCACAGTTGTTAAGTTAATTTTCTCACATGACTTTAGGGCACTGCAACTGTCATAAATAAGCACCAGTTGCCAAGCACCTGAATTTTGATCAAATGAAGATGGGAATGTTGCAGCAGTCGTAAGTGTGAAAATGTGAAAAACAGTCGTAAGTCACTTTTTTTCAGTGACGCTGCAACTTTGAACAGCGAATAAACAAATGGTTCTAAAATCAAGGACTGGCATTTCTCTCTGTTTTCAGTCTAGTCTGTATTACTTCTAAGGCCATTAAGGAGGGGTTGTATAGAAATTGCACAATACATACGTACATTCTGAGAAAGCCACAACAATTTCTCTGTGACTAACAGGAAAACAACAAGGAGTTTGGATGAACTATGAAAGCAAAACTTGCTGGTACTTGCAGCAACACTCACCTAAATGCGTTACTAGATAATGGTGTTTTAGTTAACCCTTTATCGGTGGGATAAGGCAAAGCCAGTGTATCTGTGCTGCTTATTCAGAGATGAAGTTTTGGATTATCCCCAAAACAACATTCTTCTGTCCGTTTGGATTAAAGAGGGGAGTTAATTATAATTACAGGATTGTAGGCTACATCCCAGGGTTATTCAGCACCATCATAGAGACCCCACTTAGCATCCTTACCCGAAGGAAGGAAGGAAATCCATGGCCAAAATATCCAACAGCAAAATATTCTGGTTGAGGCCTCATTGCTTTCATGATGTTCTCATAGAAGGTAGCCCGTTTTTTCTGCACATACATTTTAAAAAGAAGAAGAGTAGATTGGGGGTGATTTTTTTTTTTTAACGTTTCTTCACTCTAAACACCCATTTGTACTACTGCTTCCCAAGTTTCTAATTTATTGCTCGTCTCTCAATCAGGAACATAAGAACATTCCTTTGGAACCCATACGATTGACATTCCTCTCAGTATTTTTCACCCAGTAGACAATTAAAGACCTCCTTCCCTTACCAAGAGATTGCCAAGGCTCTCATAGTCAAAGACTTTGTTCTCGTACATGTCAGCCAATTCTTTGCTGAGCTGGATGGCTTTCTCCCACATCTTCAAGGAGTTAAAAGGAAAAAGAGATAAAACAGATCATTCATTCATGAAAAGGGATGAATTAAAGCATATTCCGTATGGCTACTCAATACTATTTGTGATGATCTACTTTTATTTTAATATTGTTTGTGATCTTCTAAGTTGATTCTAGTGGGTTTTAAATGCTGAAACTACCTTTCCTTCATTTTTCCAGTGGGTTTTGCATGGTCCACCTTTGTGCTCCCTGATGGCCATTTACATTTAACTGAAGCCTTTGTATGGATAGAATAATTGAATTATAGAATACTTTTATTGGCCAAGTGTGATTGGACACACAAGGAATTTGTCTTTGGTGCATACACTCTCAGTGTACATAAAAAGACAAGATACATTCATCAAGAATCATTAGAACAGAACAGAACAGAACAGAATATAATTCTTTATTGGCCAAGTGTGATTGGACACACAAGGAATTTGTCTTTGGTGCATTTGCTCTCAGTGTACATAAAAAGACAAGATACATTCATCAAGAATCATTAGAATAGAATAGAATAGAATAGAATAGAATAGAATAGAAGAGAAGAGAAGAGAAGAGAAGAGAAGAGAAGAGAAGAGAAGAGAAGGTAAAACACTTAATGGTAGTCATAGGGTACAAATAAGCAATCAAATCATACTAGGAAACAATCAATATCAATATAAATCGTAAGGATACATGCAAAAAAGTTAGTCATGCATTAAGTGGGAGGAGATGGTTGATAGGAACAATGAGAAGTTGGCATATACATCCGAATAAGTTCTGGAGTTTCATGTTTTCCTAGTCCTTCACATGCATCATAGGTACTCAGTGTTTTAAATTATAAAAAAAATATACTGCTTTATCTTTCCAATATCCTACCAGTGGTAGGATCAGAAAGACCTTCGTGGAGTAAAAAAAAAAAGAAAAGATGAAGGCATGTTAGGGCTGTCTGAAATTCCTAGCTCTCTGGAGAAGGCTCTATTTGGTCACTAAGAGTTGACTAAGACTTGATGGTACATATCATTATCAATAAATAATTGTGAAAACAAATGTGAAAATGAATAATTTGAGAGAAGCCACCCTATTGAATTCCAGCAAGACCAAATTACTGTATTTTTCGGACTATAAGATGCACCAAAATTTAGAAGAGGAAAACAACAAAAAAAAGTTTTTGGCCTACCTTTTTGGGGGCCTTTTTTTGGCCCTTTTCCAGTCTATTTTCAGCCAGTTTCCAGGGCTTTTTTTGGCTCATTTTTGAGACTTTTTTGGAGCCATTTTGGGGGCTTTTTTGGCCTATTTTCAAGGCTTTTTAGGGCCATTTTTGAGGCTTTTGGGGGCTGTTTTTAAGGCTTTTGGGGGCTGTTTTGGAGACTTTTGGGGCAGTTTTTGAGGCTTCTTTCAGCCCATTTTTGAGGCTTTTTTAAACCTCAAAAATGGGCCATGAAAAGGCCTGAAAAAGCCCGAAAAAAAACGCCCCAAAACAAGCCATGCGGAAGCCAAAAAAAATGGCTGATGGGTGGGCGGGGCTTCAGCAATTTTCGGTCTATAAGACACACAGTCTCCGCATTTGGGAGACAAAAAAGTGTGTCTTATAGTCCAAAAAATACGGTAAGTAACACAGGAATCGTGTCCATCCCATCCCTATCAAGGGTGAGGATCCCTGTGACAGACTCACTTTGCCTCTGTCGAAGAAGACTATGATTTCTTGGTAAAGCTTCTCCTTGAGTTCCTGTTGTGAATAGACATAATAGCTGTCCCTCTGAAGCAGATGTTGGACACATGGCTGATCAGACCACTGGGATAAAAGAAAGAACAGATGGAGTTAAGGACATCATATGAAATTTTCCTCTAGCTCTTCTTCTAGAATAGGATGTGCCATCATGTTAAGGATCTGAAGAGTCAAAAAGTGTTCTTCTGGTAGATGAAGAACAGAGAAATCTCTTTATCTTCCACAGTTAATGCCTTAGTTGCTGCTGAGGCTTTGAATATCCATCTCAGCAGCGCGTAAATTATAATTTGAAAAACATAATAACAACCTAGACAAGCTGAAGTATTTTTGCTACGTGTTTGGCCAAAGAGGCAAGATTCAACTTGTTTTGGACAGGTTTCAATCCTTGGTGACGTTCGGTGTAGCAATTTGAATTGCTTTTGATCCCATCCCTATTTTGGATTCTCCAGGAGCACTGAAGAAATGAAAAAAAAAGACTTTTTTTCTAAAAAAAAATAAAAAATCAATTTTAGTCTGTGCTGTTATGCCTAATCTGGTTGTATCTGCCATATAGCTAAAACCTTAAAAAGGTAAAGGTTCCCTTTGCACATATGTGCTAGTCGTTCCCGACTCTAGGGGGCGGTGCTCATCTCCATTTCAAAGTTGAAGAGCCAGCGCTGTCCGAAGATGTCTCCGTGGTCATGTGGCCGGCATGACTCAACGCCAAAGGCGCATGGAACGCTGTTACCTTCCCACCAAAGGTGGTCCCTATTTTCCTACTTGCAATTTTTTACCTGCTTTCGAACTGCTAGGTTGGCAGAAGCTGGGACAAGGAACAGGAGCTCACCCCGTTACGCAGCACTAGGGATTCGAACCGCTGAACTGCCGACCTTTCGATTGACAAGCTCAGCGTCTTAGCCACTGAGCCACCGTGTCCCCCTAAACACACTATTTCTCAACATTGGCAAGTTTAAGATGTGTGGATTCAACTCTCAGAATTGGCTGGGGAGTTCTAGGAGTTAAAGCCCACACATTTTAAACTTGCCGAGGTTGGGAAATGCTGCCTTAACGAAATTTGAATTTGATTACTGCAAAGTATCAGACATGGACCTACTCTTCAAGACCTCCCATACTTACCTGAAGTAACTCTGCATGAAGTAGGAGTGTGTAAGCTGCCTCAGTGTAGCTTTCAGAATCGGTGTGCAAATCTCGGAGTTTATATAAGTACCTAGAAAACAACAATATACTGTCTGAGAATCAGAAGTACTATATTATTTTGTAACAGCTTATTCAGAAGTCTGAAGATCTACTGATGTTACCTGATGTATATATCTTCTCTTTTCTTCTCTTTATAAAAATTCTACAAAAAGAAAAAAAAAGTTTGGGAATCACCAAATGATTTCAGTAACAGAATGTAAAAAATGTTCGGACATCACCTCAAGCTTGTCAGTTGAGAATCTAAACGAAGCTTTTGAGCCTGTATTCAGATAGGCAAGTTACGGATTTTCAAACTGTACTTGACGTCAATCAAATTCTGCAAAAAAAGGGGTCTCCAACCTTGGCAAATTTAAGATTTGTGGACTTCAACTCCCAGAATTCCTCAGCCAGCACCTTGGCAACTTTAAGATTTGTGGACTTCAGCTCCCAGAATTCCTCAGCCAGCACCTTGGCAACTTTAAGATTTGTGGACTTCAACTCCCAGAATTCCTCAGCCAGCTTTGCTGAGAGAGTTGAAGTCCACAAGTCTTAAAGTTGCCAAGGCTGGAGATCCCTGCTGCAAAACAAGGTTGGCCAACTTAGACACCACTAAATTTTAGTTCAATATCCATACCTATGATTTGGTGTGATGCTTGAACTGATTCTACATATAGTTCATGATGGGACAGTGTTCAACTTGCACTAATGTAACTTTTGGTCCAAATCCTTTCAAGGATAAAACTGATTCAGGCTAGTTACGAGCTATTGGCTAATTAGACAAATTAACATTGGAAACTGGCATGCAAGGAAGCCCCAGGAACATGCCATCGTAAGGTTCTCGAGGGTGAAAAATGGCAGCAAATGATAATCACGTGACTCCATACTGTACTGCTTTCAGTGGGATATAAGAAAGATTGCTTCCTATTGCTGAGCCCTAGGATCATTGGCAAAAGTGACTCACTCATCCTTAACTTCCATCTGTAATATGGGAGTAATATTGCTTTGCCTTAATAGGATTGGTGGTCAGCATGACTGTCCAGAGAGCTTACAAAAGTGTCAGGGTTGCAAGTAACACACCCAATGGAATCAAAACTCCAAGGCAGGCATGTTCCTCAAAGCATAGGTTTATTAGGCATGTCACATTGGCACATCTGGGGAAACCTGACTCTAAACCCCCTTGGGTTTCCCCCCAGTATTTTGGCTACAATCCCCCAGTTATCCCTACCTTCCCTCTCCCGTTCCCACATCTCGACTCATCTCTGCTGTGGCAGCCCTGAAGGTACCAGGGGAAAAATGGCTTCAGGGCTGACAAAAATAGCTTTTCCTGGAAGAGGTGCTGCAGATGTAATTACAGTGGAACTCACACCCAAGCCAATGTGGTTTTGTGGTGACAATGGGGGACAAAGGATCTCACAACGGACTCACTGGGTGGCTGCGTGGAAACCCTTCTTTTCAGGGATGGGATTCAGCGGTTCAGACTGGTTCGGGCGAACCGGTAGTTGTGACTTGTGGCCCGCCCACCTGCCCTGGCGCTATGCTGTCCTATTTAACTGCATTTTTTTAAGCCGTGTGAATGCGTGCAAGCATGCACACAAGCAAAGTGCATGTAAGTGAAGTATGCGTGTGCGTGCTCATATTTTCGGTGCTGGGGCAAACCGGTTGTTTCCGGCTGCTTCTTTTGCAGTCTCAGCCCCCAACCTGTATAATGGGAATAAGAGTGACTACCTTGCATTGTAGTGTTGAAAGTGAGCAAAGGTGATTGGCAAATAAGAGAAGATCATGCTAAACCAGTGTTTCTCAACCTTGGAAGCTTGAAGATGGGTGGACTTCAACTCCCAAAATCCCCCAGCCAGCGCTGCTGGCTGGGGGATTCTGGGAGTTGAAGTCCACCCATCTTCAAGCTACCAAGGTTGAGAAACACTGTGCTAAACCTATATAAGCTCCTGAGCTTCTAATGCAGCAGATCCAAAGTAGATCTACTTGAAAGTGATTTCAAAGGAACCGAGATTTGCACCCGGCTCTGCGTTCTCCCCATACCAGTAAGTTGACAGTGCAACTCATGCGGTTCTCCTTGCTCCCATCATGCATAATCGCTCGGTAATCCAAAAGGTTCTCAAGCAGGCTGCTAACCAACAGGGCAAAGACTTCGCCCGAGCTTGACAGGTATTTATGCTTCCGGCAATGCTCCAGGAGGCTGCAGGCATTTCCATTGATGGGATCAAAAAAGAGGAGAGGAGAAAAAAAAAAAAAAAGAAAAACAGAGGGATGAATAAAAAGACAAAAGCAGAGCAACTGGTTTTAAATAATGTGTCGGATTAGACCCAACGATGTGGAAGTAAAAAGCTTATAGGGAAGAGAACTTTTGTGACCGGTCATCTGCATTCATCTTTTGGATATTACTGATTGATTTTTATTTTATTTCTAAGCTATTTTTAGTATAAGAGTTCAACGCAAATGGTAAGAATACAAGGAAGTGTGTGTGTATGAATGTATGTGTATATACACACATATATATGGAGAGGGGGAGGGCGAGGGAGGGAGAGAAAGACACACAAAGAGAGAGACAGAGAGAGAGAGACATACATGTGCAGAGAGAGAAAGAGAGACAGACAGACAGAGACAGAGGGACAGAAAGACAGAGACAAGAGACAGATAGAGAGAGACAGAGAGAGACAGAGGGACAGAGAGAGAGAGAGAGAGAGACAGAAAGAGACAGAGACAGACGGACAGAGACAGAGACAAGAGACAGATAGAGAGAGACAGAGAGAGACAGAGACAGAGGGACAGAGAGAGAGAAAAGACAGAGAGACACAGACAAGAGACAGAGAGAGAGAGACAGAGGGACAGAGAGAGAGAGAGAGAGAGAGAGAGAGAGAGAGACAGAAAGAGACAGAGACAGAGGGACAGAGACAGAGACAAGAGACAGATAGAGAGAGACAGAGAGAGACAGAGACAGAGGGACAGAGAGAGAGAAAGACAGAGAGACACAGACAAGAGACAGAGAGAGAGAGACACAGAGAGAGAGACAGAGAGAGACAGAGACAGAGGGACAGAGGGACAGAGAGAGACAGAGAGACAGAGAGAGAGAGAGAGAGAGAGAGGGACAGAGAGAGACAGACAGAGAGACTTTTTTTTTTTCATTTTATTAAATTTGTATACCGCCCTACTCCCGAAGGACTCAGGGCGGTGAACAGCCATAAAATAAAACATATAGATACAAAATTTAAAATAGAGATAAAACTAATTAAATAAATTTGGCTGAGACATTTTAAAACCCCAATAAATTAAAACCAAATTTAAAATTCCATTTAAAAAGAGGAAAAGTTTAGGTCAGGCCAGTTTGATGGAATAAAAACGTCTTAAGCACGCGACGGAAGGTACGCAGATCCGGAATCCTCCGTATCTCCGGGGGGAGCTCGTTCCAGATCGTAGGTGCCCCCACAGAGAAGGCTCTCCCCCTGGGGGCCACCAGTCGACATTGTTTGGCCGACGACACTCGGAGGAGCCCCTCTCTATGGGAGCGTACTGGTCGGTGGGAGGCTATTGGTGGCAGCAGGCGGTCCCGTAAATAGCCAGGTCCTAAGCCATGGAGCGCTCTGAAGGTGATAACCAAGACCTTGAAGCGCACTCGGAAGACCACCGGGAGCCAGTGCAGCTCGCGCAGGAGAGGCGTTACATGGGAGCGCCACGTTGCTCCCATCACCACCCGCGCGGCCGCACTCTGCGCCAGTTGGAGCCTCCGAGTGCTCCTCAAGCGGAGCCCCATGTAGAGAGCGTTACAATAGTCCAGACGGGAGGTGACGAGGGCATGAGTGACCGTGCGTAACGAGTCCCGATCCAGAAAGGGACGCAACTGGCGAATCAGGCGGACCTGATGAAAAATCCTCCCGGTCACGGCCGTCAAGTGCTCTTCTAAAGACAGCCGTGAATCCAGGAGGACACCCAAGTTGCGAACCCTCTCCGTGGGGGCCAATGCTTCGCCCCCAATAGTCAGCGATGGCACCAGCTGACTATATCGGGACGTCGGAAACCACAGCCACTCGGTCTTGGATGGGTTGAGCCTGAGCCTCAGGACAGAGACAGAGGGACAGAGAGACAGAGACAAGAGACAGATAGAGAGAGACAGAGAGAGAGAGAATGCTGTGGAAAACAGGTCATTCAAATGAAACTACAATGTGACTATTTGTACAGATGGTCCTCAATTTACAGATATTTATTTAGTGACCATTCAAAGTTACAATGGCAATGGTGAAAGTGACGTTTGAGCAATCCTTCTCTTACAAGCATCCAGCATCCTCCATGGTCACATGATCAAAATTTGGATGCTTAACAACTGGCATTATTTATGACAGCTACAGCACCCTGGGGGGTCAGCCGTATGACCCCCATTTGTGACCTTCTCAGACAAGGAAAGTCAATAGGGGAAGCCAGATTCACTTAGTGACCACATGATTCACTTAACAACTGTGGTGATTTTGCTTAACAACTGTGAGAAAAAGCTCATAAAATCTGGCATGACTCATTCAACAACTGCCTTGCTTAGCAGTGGAAATTCTCATCCCAACTGTGATCTAAGTCAAGGATTAGCTGCATTGGCATAGCATGTTTTGTGAAGAGACCCATTGTGTTTTGCTAATTAGAAGCTTAAAGTCTGCTAGCAAACACAGCTAGTAAAGATGAAATACTGTACTAAATTCCGGCTTAGTATTAGAAAACCGAGCATCCTTTCTAAAACCTGTTTGACAATAGAATGAGTTACTGACAGAGGAGATAAGCTCCTCTTTTCTGAGTTATGTTCAAATAAACGCTACCTATCAAAAATGCTGTTGTTTACATTCCTCATTGGGTGGCTGAAGGTTTGACCTCTAAAGGTTTCACGGGTATAGGTATGCAAGCCTTGGCATATTTGGGTCTTTTTCCGTGTAAGATTGAGAGTATCTTGGCTACGTTTCGACGAGGTCCCACTCGTCATCTTCAGGCTGGTGTCTTCGGCTTCGTGCTTGTGCGAGCAAAGCGTGATCGGAGATGCTGTCTCTCTATAAATACTGGTGGGGAGGTGGGGAGTGCTGGCTTTGTTGTTGTAAGCGGGTTGGTTGGCTGTGTTGTTACATCTTGATTAGTAGATGGAGTTGAGTTTAAGTGCTGTAACATCCTAAATTCTGTGATATATTGTCTTGAGCAGATGGCTGTGATGCAACATCCAGGGCTTTGGTTTGTCTGCTCAAGACAATACATCACAGAACTCAGGATGTTACAACACTAAAGCTCAGGATGTTACAACACAGCCAACTACCCAGGATGTTGCAGCACAGGACTCAGGATGTCACAACACTAGAGCTCAGGATGCTACCACTCAACCCATTACCTAGGTCGTTACAACACAAAAGGCTAATGGGCACACAGCTAGGACCTCGGCCACACAGGATGTTACAAAACAGCCAATTAATCTGCAAACATCAACTCCATCTACTAATCAAGATGTAACAACACAGCCAACCAACCCGCTTACAACAACAAAGCCAGCACTCCACACCTCCCCACCAGTATTTATAGAGAGACGGCATCTCCGATCACGCTTTACTCACAGAAGCACGAAGCCGAGTTCCAGGTATATTAGTAAAGAAAGAAGCAGACATCCTGTGAGCTCCGGAACTTAAAATTTTAAAATAATTAAAATTTTATTTTACTAAGCTTTCGTCAGCCATCTGCTGACATCGTCAGAGTATTAAACTACCATTACAGAGATCTCTGCCTTTATATGCCATTAATCAATTTAGCCCTTGCACGTGTAATAGGCCCTTCCAGCTGTCTCCCACTTGTAATCAGCTGTGTTGTTTTTGCTGTCGTCATGCTGGATGATGGAGGCTTGATTCCTACTGTTTCCTCCCTCCTAGCTTGCTTATCAGTGATATATATCACAAAAGATATATGAAACAAAAGAGATATATCTTTTGTTTCAGACTGAATGCTTACACCTACATGAAAATTCAATCAACGCACAGATTAACTTACAATGAATGTGTGTGTATAAATTCATAAAAACCGTTCACGCTGGAGACTAAAAGAAGTATCTGTCTCTTGCTCATGTGATAAAAGTGCATGGCACACTTGGCAAGCCGACGCGTTCCGTGTGCAATGGAATGTGAGAAAGCAACACCACATGACAAAAAGTTACCTGGAAGATAATCAAGAACACTCACACACTTACAGTTTCTCCAGCAAGATCTTGTACTGTTCATCTCCCCGGCCTCCTTCTACTTCTTGATCTAATTTAGTGATCAGCTCATTTTCAAACTGCAAGTTAAAGACCAAAAAAAGGTGGGGGACCCATTACTTAAAGGGTTTCCATTAAATAATTTTTTTAAAAAATCAGAAAACAAGAATGCCCCCAAACCAGGGGTGAAATGCTCCCGGTTCGGACCGGATCGCCCGATCCAGTAGCGATGGAGGCGGGTGGTTCAGAGAACCGGTAGCAAAAATCCCTGCCACCCCCCATGCCCAGCTGAGCCGGGTGAATCATCAGAGGCTTTTTTTCTTTTAAATGGCTCTGACGATCCAAGCTGAGTTGCCTGATTGTCAGAGGGTTTTTTTAAAAACCCTCTGCTGATCAAGGCAACTCAGCTGGGATCGTCAGAGCCATTTAAAAGAAAAAAAAGTTTTTTTCTTTTAAATGCCTCTGACGATCCAAGCTCTGACGATCCCAGCTGAGTTGCCTGATCGGCAATCAAGCAACTCAGCTGGGATCGTCAGAGACTTTTGAAAGCATTTTTCTTACAACCTCTTCGCCGAAGAGGTTGTAGAAAAAATGGTTTTAAAAGTAAAAAAAAAATAAAATGGCCACGCCCACCCAGTCACATAACCCCACCCCCCACAAGCCTCGCCCACAGAACCGGTAGTAACAAATTTTAGATTTCATCACTGCCCCAAACTCTTCAGCTCATCGATTCCTTCGAGAAATTTCAGATTGTTCCTTGACCCCCCCCTCCTCATTTAATATGGAAATAATTTAATAAGTATTACTTTAAGTAATAGTACAGTACTAAAAATAATAATAATAGAGACAATTCAAGACTGCTATTGCTGGTGCTGACCATCCAATCCTTGGTAATATTATCCCACTGCTAGCCACCTTCCATACAGGACTAGAGATTGGTATGAAGTTCTACAGATGATCCCAGAGGATCAACTGATGCCAATTGACCCTTCATCATTTGTCAACCATCTGTTAACCCCCAGACATTTACTGACTCCCTTTTAACCCCCATTTATTGACCCATTGGATAGTCCCTTGATATTATTTTGAGGAGCCCTAAGATAGATGGATCAATCAGTCCTATTTTTATCTCTGCCAGTCATTTTAGATAAGCCAGTCCCATTGGAAGCCGAATAACAGTCCAGTTTAGGCAATCATGGTTTGATACTGATGTAGCCAAACCAACTGCTCAAGAGCCTTGATAGTACAGTGGTTTAGTGCAACCTGTCATTAACACAGCTGCCTGCAATTTCTGCTGGTTCGAATCTCTCCAAGGCTCAAGGTTGACTCAGCCTTCCATCCTTTCTAAGGTAGGTGAAATGAGGACCCAGTTTGTGGGGGCAATAAGCTGACTTTGTATAAAATATACAAAAGGATGAAGGCTATTGCTTAACGCATTGTAAGCCGCCCTGAGTCTCCGGAGAAGGGCGGCATATAAATCAAATTAAAAAAAAAAAAAAGTCTGTTCATCTATGCCAAAGAATTATGCTTTGTCCTAAAGAACAAATCGGGGTTTTGCCTTCAGGTATCTCCCCCTTGCAGGTCTCATCAGTTTACTCGTAATTCCTTGCAACTAGATCTCAAACTTTCCCCACGCTCTATAAGCCAATTCTGTACCATACGGAAATTTCTGCCCCCACTGAAGTTGAATTCGCATTGCATCATGTCGAAAAAGATAGGGATGGTTGCTTTCCGCAGCTCAGGCTCTGGAGTCAAGGTCACTTCCAGAATTGGGCCCACCATGGAAGGGATGAACTTGATCTTATGAGGTCCTGAGAAAGCAGAAAAGGGGAGGGGGAAACAGGAGTGAAGATCTTAACATGGGATTTATTGTACAAATGGTTAGATAACAGGTGCAGAGATTAGTAACTTAATAATGAAAGAAGATCAACCAAATAGAAATAGATGCAGTTATATAGACATATATAAGAATATATACCATAAGTAATAGTACTAGTGGACTGTACGTCACAATAGATTGAAACATATAGAGCAGTGATGGCTGACCTTTTTTCTCGTTGTGTGCCGAAAGTGTGCGCTTGCCGGCATCCATAATGCAATGCGCCGCCCCCCCCGTGCATGCATGCATAGTTCTCCCCATGCATGTGCATGTGACCCCCCTCCACACACACACACACACACGTCCCCTGTTTTTGGCCTAGCAGGCCTCCCGGCAACCTTCTGGCCCCAAAAACGGGCTGTCAAGTTTCGAGGTCGTCTCAAATAAATTGCATTTCAAACAAAGTCTTGGAAGAAAAGCTCCCATTTATTAAGCACGACATTGTAACTCCGACTCCATCGTAGCCAACACTGACTTCCAGACCCAAAACCCCCCTTTCCGTTCCTCACTCTCCTGCACTCATTGGCCATCTTCCAAGTCACTCTACCCCCTAATCTACTACTCCAGATCAAAGGAATTTCCCCCCTCCCATCCCATCTCCTAGGGGATATTATCTCCAGGGAAAATAAGTAGGTGAAAAGTCAAACGTCCCTTTCCAGACGCCTCCGCTTCTCCTTCTTATGTCAGCACTAGAGTAAATGCAGCTTGAAGTGCTGACACGGGCTATGGGGGGAACACATCACCCTCATAGTCTGCCCCGCCCCCCCGTGCATGCATGCATGCCCCTGCCCACCCATCCATGTGCGTGATCCCCCTGTGCATGCATGTGCGTCTTCCGCATGCACCCGACCCCTGCGCATCCCGAAAATCAGCTGGCCAGCTGGAAGCACGCGCATGCATGCACTGCACTGTGAAGCTGAGCTGGGTGATGGCTCATGTGCCCGCAGAGAGGGCTCTGCTGTGGTACGCATGTCATAGGTTCACCATCACGGATATAGAGTGATAAATGTATAAAGTGTTATGGTACAACTATGAAAATAATGGTTATAACTATGACGTGCAACATTATGTATTTAAAAGAGACTATACTGTATGACTATGGGAATAATGGTTATACTCAGGGTGCATAATACTATCTATACTTAAAAAGGACTTGATACAGCCAGTACACTGTCATTGCAAAACTGGAAATGTGATGTATAATAAAGGAAAATGTATATATTTTTTTTTAAAAAAAGGAATGAAGATCAAACAAATGGGCTGCTTTGTCTAACGCAGCAGCTGCTGTTGAGCCACAAATCCCTTTCAATTTATTTTTTTTTCAAGTCTTCCATAGGCAAACAGTCCAACAGAGACCTTTTGTCACTTCATCTTCCTTCTACTTTCTCTAAGTTTCCTATGAAATTCTGTAGGAATTTACCATCATACCAATGTATCAGTGGAGATAAGATGAGGGGAGAGTCATTCTGAAACACTTAGGAATGCGTCTTTAGTTCAAATGATCTCTCTTTCTCTTTGCATGTTGTCTTTCATTCTCTCCTGTTTAATGTAGACCTCTGAAAACTTTCTCAGGAATTCCATCATGACCTATCTAGAACAGGCAACTTTCTTGAACTTGGAAACCCTCCAGATGCCTCAACCCACAACACTGTCAAACTATTCACTAAGTCTGCATTACTACTATTAATCTTCTCATCGTTCCTATCACCCATTTCCTCCCACTTATGACTGCATGACTGTAATTTTGTTGCTTGTATCCTTACAATTTATACTGATTGTTTCCTAGTATAATTAGATTACTTATTTGTACCCTATGACTATCATTAAGTGTTGTACCTTATGATTCTTGACAAATGTATCTTGTCTTTTTATGTACACTGAGAGCATATGCAAAATTCCTTGTGTGTCCAATCATACTTAGCCTCCAGAACGCTCAGCAATGATTACTTTGGCTATTTCAGGGAGGTGAAAGCTAAAAATTGGGAATGGCTGCTCCAGATTATTTAGTTTTTGTATTAGGAAGCTTATTAAGTTCGCTTATTAAGTTCAGGACTGATCTCCTGAATGCAAAACATATATATATATATATATATATATATATATATATATATATTTATTAGTGTGAGTTTTTTTTCCTTCAGTTTTGAACTGAAGAAGCTTCTTGGATGAGAAGCGAAAACGTCTTCAAGGAATAACAAAGGAAGTCCAGTTGCCTTTGAGAAAACATCTTTGAATAAATATGTGTATTTTCCCCTTCACATAATAAAGCTCCATTTCCATTTCCCCTTTTTCCTGCCCTTTTATTAGTCAAAGAGACCCCTCCTTGTGGGTAGTGATTAGTGATCCCTTCTTTTGACACAAACAAAAGATGTTCGCAATCATTCTTTCTGCATCCAAGAAGCAATGACCAAAGAGTCCAACTTTGCAAGCCAATTTGCTCTTTCAATTTACTCCATTGCTTACCAAGGTTGTACCACATGTCCCTTATCTGGAAGCCAATTTCTTTCCTCATATCTCCATATCTACAAATCGGGGATGGGGGCGGAGAGGAGAAAAGAAAAGAAAAGAAAAGGAAGAGCATTCAATGATTTTGCTTAAATCTCTGGGAACAAAATAAATTATTCAATCAATGTTGTCCCAAGGATCATCTTTGGCATGAAGTCTAAATTGTCCTTTCAAACAAGCATTCTCATTATTGTAACTAATGATTTATTTGAAATTTATTTGAATATAAGTCCAACAGCCCAATGCTTTACTTATTTGCTTGTTTATTTATAGGGTTTATATAACCAACTAATCACACAAGTGATTCTGGGTAGCTTATCAAGATGGAAAAAAAAACCTGATAAACCACCACATACCACCATCACTACCTCTGGTGTCCAAGGATAAATAATAATTCCATTCACCGAAAAACATGTCAATAACATCAGTCACACATAAATAACTGATTAAAGTTGAAGGCAACTGCCACAAAGACTATAAAAGTATGGAAGCCTATGGGATGTTAAGGGTGTTGGAGCAAGATTCAAGTTTAAGTAGCTCCTTAATTATGGAGGCTCATCAGATTTTTAGGTGTCGTGTTCTTTAGTAGCTTCCTAAAACCAATACAGATTCTGTTCCACAGACTATTGCACATAAGGTCTTTTTAACGGTATGAATTGAATTGAAAGGAGTGAAAATAACCAAAATACCTATAGACACAATATATTACAATGTATATATTAAGATTTTATGATCTTTCTAACAATTTCCTGTGATATGATAAGAAGACCATATCATTGGAAAGGAGAAGATTGGTACAGCATTTGAATAACTATTTCCTAGTTCCTGTTGTGGCCCCGCCCTCTGAGCCTGTCCCATCGGAGGAAGAAAGCTCCGAGCATGAGGAAGAGGAGTCAGCCAGGCCTCCCTCTCCAGGCCCCTCCCCTCTGGCACTGTCTCAGGTGCCAGCCGAGGGAGAGGAGATTAACAGAGAGACAGGTGGCTCGGATGAGAGCGGAGGAAAAACATCATTCCTGGATGCACGCCTCCGAAGGTGTGATAAACAATTGCAGCAGCTCAGGAGGTGTGCTAGGGATTAGAACTGAGTCACTGGACCACACCCCAGAGACTATATAATAGAGGGTGGTGGTCAGTGATCCTTGTGACGAACAAAAAGTAAACCTTGGATAGTCACTAAAGCCTCGTCCGGAACTGCTGAGAGAAATATTATTCTGCTTGGACTTTTTGTACGCTAAGTATCTTATCTTTCTGTTTTGTGGAAATAAACGCACTTGGCAGACGGTGCGTAAATCGCTGCCAAGTTGGAGATAAGACCTGGGTGTGTGCCAAAGTGTTTCCTTAACCCTCGGCTGGCTGTGTTTGTGTGTGTGTGTGGACGGGGACAGATCAGTTCCAAATCAACTGTAGTTATATGTAGCTATTGTCTTGTTGACAATATTCTTGATAGGTTCATTGTTGGGGGATAAATTGGGGCTAAGAGCATTACCTACACTTCTTTTGATTCCCAGAGAAAAATCAGTATGTACATCTAACGGGTAAATATTTATTAAAGTAATCAACCAAGCTTTATGGGCTGCTATAACATGAATGCATGTCTTTAGATATACCCGTCCTTCAGATTTTCAGTATCATTCATTTAGAAAAATATGATGGTATAGAAGTAATTGAAATACCTACTTGTGCATGGTGGGAGAACTTAAGTGAAAATAAAAACTCAGGTGAAAACTTACTTCTTCATTATCTTGTTCCGTTTAGCCTGGGAGAACGTCTCCAGTTGAAGGGATTCATGAGTAAGAAAAGCCACTGCCAAATGGAAGTAATTATTCCATAGCTATGAGAGTATGGAGGAGAGAGAGAGAGAGAAATCAGATCAAACTAATTATAAAATAAGATAAAATCAGACAACGGCATGTAAGATAGGAGAGCCATTAAAATTTGTATTCCCAAAACATCTGCTCCAACAAGGACTTGAAAAGCTGCCTGCTGTACCTAAATGTGCTTCTGAATCTTTAACGACTGACTCCATATAATATGTTACGCATTGGTTGAACTATTCTGGTTAAGTATGTATTGGTTAAATATTGGTTGAACTAATAGTTCAACTATGGTTGAACTATTCAACAAATTATAGTTTAGTGCAATGTGTTCATCAATCCAGGTATTGGGTATCTACTCCCCTGCTCTTACAATTATTGGACAGGCTAGATATTCTAGGAGAAAAAACATCGAATTTGACAACCAGGTGTAAGGCAAGAAGAAACAGGACCACTTGTTAAGTTCCAGTTAAGCAGATTTACTGTCCATGCCTATACACAAGGATCTAGACAACTAAAGGTGAGCACTAAATTGGTGCTGGATAAGAGTTAACAAAATTCAAGAGGGGTTGGACTTTGACCACTTATGGGAAGGTAAGAACTGTAGGCTTTGCTTCTCCTTCTCCTACACTAGGCTTTTAATTATCCACTATGCCTTGAAGCATATAAGAATGGTCTTGACATGATTGCACTGGCCTCAGTCAGAAATAAGCAATCTGAAATCCAAGTGTTTTATGGAATCTCCTGAAACAATTTTTTTCCCCTCTCCAATCACTGTCACCCATAATGCAACTGTTAATATGAGGTGAGAACTACCCAGATACTGTATAGGTAAGTCCTCAAAAGTGTGTATAGTCAAGGCTATGGTTTTCCCAGTTGCAATGGATGGCTGTGAAAGTTGGACCATAAGGAAGGCTGAGCGCCAAAGAATGGAGGCCTTGGAACTCTGGTGCTGGAGAAGACTCCTGCGAGTCCCTTGGACTGCAAGGTGATCAAACCGGTCGGTCTTAGAGGAGATCAACCCTGACTGCTCTTCAGAAGGCCAGATCCTGAAGATGAAACTCAAATACTTTGGCCACCTAATGAGAAGGAAGGACTCACTGGAGAAGAGCCTAATGCTAGGAATGACTGAAAGCAAAAGAAGGCGGGGATGGCAGAGAACGAGGTGGCTGGATGGAGTCCCTGAAGCAGTCGGCGTGAGCTTAAATGGACTCCGGGGGATGGTAGAGGACAGGAAGGCCTGGAGGAACGTTGTCCATGGGGTTGCGATGGGTCGGACACAACTTTGCAACTAACAACAAAATAAGTCCTCAACTTATGACCTGTTCCTTAGTGACTATTCAGAGTTACAGCAAACCTTCCTTGGGAGGTACTTACAATGAGGTTCCAAAGTGGTCACCTCTCCCAATGTGATCATGTGCCTGCATACTGAATGCTCAGCAATCAGCCTGCATTTACTGCTGTTTGCAATGCCCAGTGGTCAAATGACCCCATTTCATGGTGGTTTTTCAAAATAAAAAATAAAAAAATTAGGCATTTTGGCAAAACCGGCCCACAACAAACCCTTGATTCATTTAATGCTTAACAACTGCTGCAAAAAAGTTCTTAAAATTGGATCGGTCATGTGAGTGAACTGATTTATGGCTTTTACGACTTATCACTATGATGGGGAAACTCTATTATGATTGTAAGTTGAGGGCTATATGGGGAATAAGATTTCAAAATCTAAAAGACAAAGGAATGACTTATATATTTCAGCATTTAAGGGAGAAGTAAACTTGACATATTATATGACCCTATCTGCCATGATTTCTGATGCCTTAAAATGTTCAAGAGGATTCCTTGGCTTCTCCAAGCAAGTTCTCATATTTTATTTCTCATTTCAATTGGCCAGATTAACAGGTTAACAGAGTTGGAAGGGACCTTATAGGTCATCTAGTCCAACCCCCCACTCAGCAAGAGACCCTACACCATTTCTGACAAATGGCAGTCCAATCTCTTCTTGAAAGCCTCCAGTGATGAAGCTCCCACAATTTCTGAAGGCAACTTCTGTTCCATGGGTTGATTGCTCTCCCTGTTAGAAAGTTCCTCCTCATTTCTAGGTTGAATCTCTCCTTGTTCAGTTTCCATCCATTATTCCTTGTCTAGCCTTCAGGTTCTTTGTACAACAGCTTGACCCCTTCATCTCTGTGGCAGCCCCTCAAATATTGGAAGACTGCTATCATGTCTCCCCCGGTCCGTCTCTTCACTAGACTAGCCATGCCCAGTTCCTGCAACCGTTCTTCATATGTTTTAGTCTCCAGTCCCCTAATCATTTTGGTTGCTCTTCTCTTCACTCTTTCTAGAGTCTCCACATCTTTTTTTATAGTGTGGTGACCAAAACTGGATGCAGTACTCTAGGTGTGGTCTTACTAAGGCTTTATAGAGTGGTATTAGTACCTCACTTGATCTTGATTGTATCCCTCTGTTAATGCAATTTAGGATTGCATTGGCTTTTTTGGCTGCCGCCGCACACCGTTGGCTCACATTTAATACATATTTAGCATTGCTGGCCATGATGTCTTGTTTTACAAATCTGGCAAATTGTAAAGACTCATCTTCCAGATAACCACTAGGCCCTTGTGATGAAAGAGACTGGCTGTTCTCTCTTACCTGAAGCTCAAAGCTTGCCTGATCCAAGAAGAAGCGATTGAGCACAGAGGCATACTGATTGATGGCTCGAAGGAAAATCCTGGAAAAGTGCAGGGGGGAAAAAAAAAAGCCATTTAAAAAAACAGCTTGGGAGAAAGGCAGAGGCTAAAAGCACCTCCTTGTCCCTGTGAAACCACAGGAAGTGCCTGCTGTGTGTTCACAAGTTCTTTGGCATCACTTGTATTTTCACTGCTCTTAAAGCAATGGTGCCAATTTTCATATAAATGTCCGTATTCTCAAATTGAAAGGTTTGATTTAGAAGGTTCGAAGCAACCACAGTCGAGAGAATTTACAAGTTAGCAAGCTACTAAAGGCGGAGAAAGAAAACCGCTATGAATAGCTGAGCAATCCAGAAGGGATTCTCTCAATCGCATTTATTTTTAATCCAGACCAGACTTCAAGGATCCTGAAACAAGGGCCATTGATTGATACACCGTGCTAAAAAAAATGTGGAAAAAGAAACAAAGAATTGGAGGGAGAAAATATTCTGGGCTACAGATAATAAGGCTTTTTACCTGCTCTGCGTTATATTCATCACCATCCAGTCACTTGCATAGACATTTTTCCCAATCAGGTCTTTAAACATGATGAAAGTTTCCATCAGAAAATCCTACGGGAAAGTTTACAAATCAGAATGAAGGAGAGTGACCAGATTTATATTAGCTTATGGATCAGACTTCCAAATATAATGTTCTCCAGATGTTGTTGGATTCCACTTCCCAGAATTGGCCATACTAACTGGGAATTCTTGGAACTGTCTTCCCAATCCTCCCAGAGATGACCAGGCTATAATCTTCCATGGCTTCCTGTGTTCTCCACCCTCTACCTGGTAACACTGCCAATAAAAACTTACAAATGGTACAAGGAGAAACTCTTTAAACACATGTGTCAACCACTCAATTAAACCTAAACCTTTGTTTTAGTTGGGTCCTTCCTACTTTTTGGAGTTAGACCCAAAGTCTTACCACTTCAATGGCAACTGAGAATCTCATCTTAGATTACATTGACTGTATTGCTATTATCCTTCTCATCTTTCTTTTACTACCTTCTCCTATTAGTATATTATGATTTATGATTGTATCTTACAATTTCTAATCTGATTTATCACTTTGTTGTTTGTATATATACTGAGAGCTTATGCATTGGGGACAAATTCCTTGTGTGTCCAGTCACACTTGGTCAATAAAGAATATTCCATTGCATTTGATAACTCAATCCTATATAGCTCAAGAAAAAGAAGATTTAAGAAAGTATAAGAAATACTACCTAACAACCAGGTTTCCTCCCAAAGATATGCTTACTTTTAAATACGCCAGAATAGTTTATACCAAGATAGCAATAGCACTTAGACTTATATACCACTTTACAGTCCTCTCTAAGTGGTTTACAGGGTCAGCATATGGCCCCCAACAATCTGGGTCTTCAGATAGTGTACTCAGTCCCATAAAAATTCTCCCCACCAAAAACCATAACCATGGGAGTTATGTACATGTAGAGCTGTAGTGGCACAGTGGTTAGAATGCAGTACTGCAGGCTAATTCTGCTGACTGTTGACGGTCGGCAGTTCGATTCTGACCAGCTCAAGGTTGACTCAATTTTCCATCTTTCCAAGGTTGGTAAAATGAGGACCCAGATTGTTGGGGGCAATATGCTGACTCTGTAAATCTCTTAGAGAGGGCTGTAAAGTGGTATGTAAGACTAAGTGCTATTGCTACACATACATGTATAGCCGAGACTGGCCTAAAGTCACTCTGGGTTTCATGAGTGAAAATCAGGTCAAAGCTGGCCCTCAACAGTCTTAGTCTAACCCTTAAACAATCTCCTCCTCTTCTGCATCATGTCAAGAATGTTTTCTTTTCCACCCATTTTAATTCATGTGTAGACAATTATAAGTCAAGGTTACCTGTAGCAGCAGTCACCATTTTAATTTTTTGGACCTTTCCTTATTGACAAGATCCCTTGTATAATAGTCAGGCTGAAAGAATGATCTCCATTCCAATGTACTATTTTCTAGCTATTTTCAGGGACAGAGCTCTTATTTGCACAAAAATAAATCCTACAACGGATACATTAATTACAGTCAAGCATTAAATGCAAGGGGTATGTGGCCAGCCTATGATTAAAGTGTACTTTTTGGGGTGGCGGGAGATAGTTATATGGATTTTATTTCAACTTTTCAGAGAAGTTCAAACAAACATGATTTTATTGTCAGCGTTCCAGCGCTGACATATGGGAGGAGAGGAGAAGCTTGAACTTTTGCTTACTTAATTCCTTTGAAGATTCTGTTTCCTCGGAGATGGGAGGAGGGGGGACATTCCTGTGATCTGTCGGAGATGGGATGAGGAGAGTGGCTTGGAAGATAGCCAATAGAGAATTGGGGATCGGAAAGGGAGGAATTGGGGGGCAAAGGTCAGTGCTGACCACGAAAGAGCCAGGGACAGATCACTATGCTCAATAAAGAGAAAATTTCCTCAAAGATTGGCAGTTTGGAAATTCATTTATTTTGAGATAGCATCGGAACCTGACATTTATGAGATCAAGCAGGAACAGCCAAGACAATGTATGACTTTCCAGCTAAGGACACCACATAAAAGGTCATTTTCATATTGAAAAATACAGCAAGAAGCATAGCTGGGCATGACTGGAAGACTACAGAAGGAGACATGGCGATGGCTATTTGCTAGAATATAGAATCAGGCATAATTAAATCGGCCCTTAAATGATATTATTCTAGTTGAGAAAGATGGAGGCACTTATCAAGATAAGAACGACCAACTTAATGACATTAGTCCAAATTGCTAGGCAGATATAATGTCTGGACCACAAAGGCCAGAAGGCAACATCCTTTTATTTTAAATATAGTCATAATGTATTGATTATTAAGATTAATATTTCATAATGAGAGAATCCAAAGAAGGCTCTGCTATCGATGCACATGGCTACTAGATTATGCCTTTGGGAAGACAGCAAGGCATGTCTCTATTCTTCAGATCTTATTATTCAAATCTTTCAGACGGGGACATTTACAAAATAACTATGATGGGATTCACAGGACATGAAACTTGATCCGCCTGCTAATTCCTAATAAATACTTATTTGGATATTTGGAAATAGACATCATGCTCAAAGGTAAGTGTTTTGTATGCAAGGTTTTTTTCTTTTTTGAAGAAAAAAAAAAGGCAAGAAGGAGCCTGGTTTAAGCTCAACAGACAGAAGCACTGTAATTTAACACCAGCTGTCTGCAATTAAAATAAGATCGAATCTCGCCAGGCTCAAGGTTGACTCAGCCTTCCATCCTTTCTAAGGTAGGTAAATTGAGGACCCAGTTTGTGGGGGCAATAAGCTGACTTTGTATAAATATACAAAAGTATGAAGGCTATTGCTTAACGCATTGTAAGCTGCCCTGAGTCTCCGGAGAAGGGCGGCATATAAATCAAATTAAAAAAAAAAAGGAATTGAAGAACTATCCTCATGTTGGCTACCCTTTAACGTATGGGTATTTCAAGCTTTTCGCAGTCAAGGGCCCTTCATCTATGCTGAACCACTGCGGCCATCATTTACCAATCAGGGAGTGTCTATGAAGATTCTCAGTCATCTAGGTCATGATTATCCTGAAGGCGCTTTTTCAAAACTGGGCTTTCTTTGTTTTTTTTTTTCTTGAAAACGTTTCACTTCTCATCCAAGAATCTTCATCACTTCTGACTGAATGCTGGGGGATGGAAGGATTTATATTCCTCTATATTCCTGTTTAGAGACACGGTGGCTCAGTGACTAAGATGCTGAGCTTGTCGATCGAAAGGTCGGCAGTTCAGCGGTTCGAATCCCTAGTGCTGCGTAACGGGGTGAGCTCCCGTTACTTATCCAAGCTTCTACAAACCTAGCAGTTCGAAAGCACGTAAAAAATGCAAGTGGAAAAATAGGGACTACCCTTGGTGGGAAGGTAACAGCGTTCTGTGCGCCTTTGGCGTTGAGTCATGCCAGCCATATGACCATGGAGACGTCTTCGGACAGCGCTGGCTCTTCAGCTTTGAAACGAAGATGAGCACCGTCTCCTAGAATCGGGAATGACTAGCACATACGTGTGAGAGGAACCTTTACCTTTACCTTTATATTCCTGTTTACAATACAATCCTTTCAGCAATCCTTTCAGCAATACAATCTGAGAAGGTTCCTCATCCATTTGCACAATTCTGGTGAACTGGAGGGCACAGATAAATCTCCAAGTGGCCTCAATAACTCTAATGACCAGATAACTGCAAATCCTTCCATCCTTCCATTCTCCACTATTCAGTCACAACTGAAAAAGCCTTTTTGGGTGAGGAGTGAAACATCTTCTAAACAAAGAATGCCCAGTTGCCTCTTGAAAAAGCGCCCTTGGGACTACCAGTCAGAGAATGATATAACAGAATAACAGAGTTGGAAGGGACCTCGGGGGGGCCATCTAGTCCAACCCTCTGCTCAGGCAGAAAAACCTATACCACTTCAGACAAATGGTGGTCCAATCTCTTCTTGAAAACCTCCAGTGTTGGAGCACCCACAATTTCTGGAGGCAAGTTGTTCCATTGATTAATTGTTCTCACTGTCAGAAAATTTCTCCTTAGTTCTAGGTTGCTTCTCTCTCCTTGATGCTACTTGGAAAACATGAATATTAGCAGGTTTGATAAGAACCAAAGAGAGTCCCAACCCACTGAAACAGCCCAGGCCAATGTTTCTCAACCACAGGAACCTTAAGATGTGTGGATTTCAAGGTAAAGAGAAGAAGCACTGTCTGCAATGGGCTGGGAGGATAATTTTAAGGAACAGAAGGAACAGCCACAACCAAGACAACAATCAGAGAAGAGACATTTGAGTCCAAAGCAGAAAAGTATCTGAGAATATCTCTCAAACTTGACTCTCCCTAGTTGAGTAGCTAGTGAAGTTAGGAAAGGCTGCTTGAAAGAGAACTGTATGTGTGAGGTTGGAACTGGCATCTGAGCCCACACGAACAGCAAGAGGTAGGGTCAAGATCATTGGCATCTTTCAAAATGACTGCAGAAACCCAAGTCCTGGCATCTCTTCTGAAGCTAACTCGTCCCACTCTTGAGTAAGAGCATCCACACCAAAGAGGCGTTTTGAATAACTCAATCCCTGGGTATGGAAATTTCGGAATGAAAACCTCAAAAGTCACATTTTATACAATCTGAGGGGCCCGAGGATTTGGTTGCACATAGTTTTACTTAAACACACAAATACACACACACACACACACACGTATGTGCACACATACAGAATTGCCATTTCTGGAAGCCCATCCCAATAGTTCACCATTGCCAGCTTCCCCCCAATATGCCATGCAGAGGCTTCAAAACGTCTTGGCAGAAATCCATAGCAAAGAACACCGCACAATCCTACGAATGCCAGGCTCCACAAACTGCTGTGCTGGGCAACCCTTACAGATTCTTCCATGTCACAAAGTTGGCCTTATTTACTCGCGCCTTAAGTCAGCCAAATGCAGATTCATGGTATCCCAAAAAGGAGGAGGATAAGAAGGAAGGAAGAACCCCAACTGAGCATACCCAGTGCTTAAAAATTCTGAATAAAATAGGAATAGACTGAGGGAAGAAATCTATCTCATTACTTTCAACCAGAGGCCCCAGGAACTGAACCTGCATGTAAATCTGGGGTTCTGCCAGTGGGTCACCAAGTATCTCCCTTGAAGTAACGAAGGAAATCTGGATTACATCAATTTCGTAAATCTATCCCAATATTGTCATTTTCGATTTACAGTAACTCAACAGAGCTTCAGGCAGAAGGCAATGAAAGCTACCAAACTTAAACACTAGGATTCAGTTTGAGGCCTTGGCAAACCATGTTCATAACCATTAAGGAATAATCTTTTAGCAATAGTAACAGAACTTAGATTTATATACTATCCCATAGTGCTTTACCTGCTCTCTGTATATTGTTCCGATTGACCTTGGAAGGATGGAAGGCTGAGTCAATCTCGAGCCCGTCAGGATCGAACGCCAGGCTGTGGGCAGAGTTAGCCTGCAATACTGCATTCTAACCACTGTGCCACCAGGGCTCCTTTTACTTGTGTGAAGAGCACTGCAACTGCTCTTCTACAAGACTTGCACCTAATCAAGGCTTATACATGCCCTGGGCATGCACCACCTCCATTCAGTCATGGGTCTAACGTTTTTTTTCTCCTATAGGCTTCTCTGATGTTGCCTTCATTTTAACCCCAACATATAAGCAAGACCATCCTAAACTGTCCTTAGCTAGTCTGGTGGGAAGACCTCAAGGTATCTCAAAATCTGTTAGGCTTTCTTCCTGATCACCTTGGAAATAAATTAAGGAACTACAGTGTCAGAGAACAGAAGCAGATAAAGGATCAGAAATGCATAGAACAGATTTCATGCCAGTATAGTTCCCGCCAACTCCAAGAGTGGTAGAGAGTAGTTCAACTCAATGAAGCAGAAAGCCCCACCTTCTAGCTATTCTTTTTGGATTCTGAGATGGAATTAAGGATTGCTCATTGCATTTTAAGCAGTTGCATTTTAAGCAATGCAAGCAACCAGATAAGTCTTTGTTTTGCAACTGAATCTGAACTTCTTAAGAAGATGCATTCAAGAGTTTTTCTGCTCCTTGGGATTCATCTCATAAACATACCTGTCTATTGTCTATATGACCAAAGACTAAACACATGCTAATAATCATAATAAAGAAAGCACCATAGTAAGAGGCACCTTGGGTTCAATCCGAAACATCTGGAGTGCCACTGAAATGCCATCAACATTGACAAAATCACCATCAGTCAATAGCAAAAGGCAGCTTCACTTGAAACAGCTTTCATTCTCTGACACCACTTTAACCCTGTCAAGCAACATCTGTCTATCCCTAGTCCTTGGGAAGGACTCAATAGGTGGATAAAAATGGAAAATCCCATTTGAACATCTGGCTGATTGTGCGACTAACCACCATAATAAAAATTTCAATCAGACTTACAATGAGATCCTGTCTGGTTTTGAAAGTGCTGATGTAGTAATTATAATGGGAGTCATCCATCTGTCTTAAGATGGCTGTCATGCAGGATACAAAACTACCCTAGAAACAAGATGGAGGGGGAAAAAACCCTTTGTCAGTTGTGCTTTTCATGAACCTTATACATATTGTGAGTCCAAGCAAGTTATGCCATATGCTAAGTAAATAAATTCATGAGCCTTGGAGAAGATGTACATCTTAAGATTGTCCTTGTGGGTTTCTTAAAAGGCAACTGGTTGGCCCTTGTGAAATTTAGGATCTGGACAAGATGGATCACAAGAGATCTTTAGTCATTTATAAGATGATCAGTCTTGAGAGGTTAATGTTCAAAGCCCACAGGAAGATACGCTTGGGTGGGAGACAAAATATTCAACTATAAAATATTCAACTACAACTGTCTAGTACCATGATGGTGAACCTGTGGCACGCGTAGCCATATTGATGGGCATGTGAGTTCAGCTCTGACATACGCATGCTGACTTTTGGGCTTTCTGGACCCACCAGAAGTTGGTAAACGGGCCGTTTCCGGCCTCCGGAGGGCCTCCAGGGGAGTGGGGAAGGCCATTTTGGCCCTCTCCAGACTCCTAGAAAGGCTCTGGAGCCTGGGGAGAGAGAGAAACGGGCCTTCCGGTCCCACCAGAAGTTGGCAAATGGGCCGTTTCCAGCCTCTGGAGAGTCTCTGGGGGCGTAAGGAAGGCCATTTTCGCCCTCCCCAGACTCCTAGAAAGTCTCTGGAGCCTGGGGAGAGAGAAAAACGAGCCCACTGGGCCATTGTGTGCCAGGAATAGGGGGAGCATGGGGGGGTCACGCGTGCATGCGTGTGGGCAGAGTGCATAGAATTATGGATGTGGGCATGCACGCGCACGACCCACCCCACGCTCCCCCCACTCCTGGCACGCAATGGCAAAAAGGTTAGCCATCAGTGGTCTAGTAGCTAATCCTATATATCAAAATATTCTTATTTTAAAAACTTACAACAATTTTTTAACTTTTGTTTTTCCAACAAAAGTATATATATAAAAAGGATTTTTCTCCTGCCCCCATCCAGAAATGTAATGATAGTATCTATCCTAGATCCTGTTGCCTCCAGGCACTGAAAGAAGAAGTTGAGATCAAGAAGATCTTCTGCTCTTATGGAGAACTAGGCAGGTATAGACTGAGGCTAGGCAGGTCTAACACAATACGTTTATTTCCACCACAACGATAGCTAACAGAATAAGGCTGTGATGGTGAACTTGTGGCACGCAGAGCCATGTCGCCTGGTATGCCAGCTTAGTTCCGGGAGTCTCTGGAGCCTGGGGACAGCAAAAAACATCACTTCCTGTCCAACTGGAAGTTGGAAATGGGCCGGTTCAGGCCTCCGAGTGGGTGGGGAAGGCTGTTTTCGCCCTCCCCAGACGCATAGAGAGGATCTGGAGCCAGGTGAGAAAGAAAAATGGGCCATCACGTGCCAAGAGCAGGGGAGGGCACGAGGGGACGGGTCACACGTGCCATGCGCGGGGCGGGGCACATAGAATTATGGGTGTGGGCACGCATGTGCGCGAATCTCCCCTGCCCCCCCCTTTCTGGCACGTGATGGCAAAAAGGTTAGCCATCACTGAAATAAGGCAACTCTGTGCATGCTATAACACTGGCAGGACTGTTGCCATCAGACAGCTGCTTAAATAGGGAGCTGTCAGATGGAAGGAACCAATAGGAGTGCTGCATTTTCCTGCTGTTTGGCTGCTCGCGTCTTAGTCAATCAGGGACGATCAGCAACAGGGCAGGCTTGGGCGGAGTCATAACTGTGAGGACTTAACATCTTCCATCTCTTGTCCATGTAAAAAAAACCCCCATGTTTAGGCCCGGGGAACAGGTAATGCCTTTCTGTCATTTGATACATTGTCCATCAAGTGTCAAGAGGTGGGAGAAAGACCGCTCTCCAATGTGCCAGCTCATGTGAAGAATCAGAAGTCTCCAAACAAGGGACATATACCACCACCACCCCAAACTCATGGGACAATAAATCAAGCACACAAGAATCAAGGAAATTGCTCTCACAATGTGAGTAGATTGTCTTCCCATTCCAATCACGGTTCGGTTTATCCTCCTCAGTAGCCGCTCCATTATCAACTGGATGTGATCTGCAGTTGGACCCTGAAGGAACCAAAGAAATGGAAAGTAAGTTAAAGGTAAAGGTTCCCCTCGCACAGATGTGCTAGTCGTTCCCGACTCTAGGGGGCGGTACTCATCTCCGTTTCAAAGGCAAAGAGCCAGCGCTGTCCAAAGACGTCTCCATGGTCATGTGGCCGGCATGACTAAACGCCAAAGGCACACAGAACGCTGTTACCTTCCCACCAAAGGTGGTCCCTATTTTTCTACTTGCATTTTTTTAGGTGCTTTCAAACTGCTAGGTGGGCAGAAGCTGGGACAAGTAACGGGAGCTCACCCCATTACACGGCACTAGGGATTCGAACCGTTGAACTGCCGACCTTTCGATTGATAAGCTCAGCATCTTAGCCACTGAGCCACCACATCCCTCTAAAGTAAGTTAGATGGGTTCTTATCACAGGGATTTTCACAACCTTGTCACAAGTGGTTCTTGGGATGCAAGATAATCCCCAATATTATGCAATTAGACTGAAAAGGGAAGGGAGAAATTCTTTGACATTCCCCACTAAACAAATCCTTCCCTATTCCATGATGAATTCCTTTCACAACAAAAGTTTTCCCAGGATAGCCTATAAAACTTGTGGTGACATTGAGACCAAATTATGCTTAATAATTAAGCATAATTATGCTTAATTATGCTTAAAAAAGATATTTTTATCTTTTTTGAGTATTCTATAGAATTTTTCCCCAGATTGACTAGGGCGCTACACAGCAAGAGAAGATGTGTAATTGTATGGTTACATGTAAACATATTCCAGCTGTTTGCCATCTTGTCTAATATTTCCCTTGCTGCTAAATTTTTTAACAGAGCCCTCCTTCAATTTGCAGTTCCGTATAATTTTCAGAGTTCAAAACCTGCCTCAAAACATCACAGCCAAACTATCTATTACATGGGAAAGCTTTATGCTTTTTGAATTGATTTATTTGTAAGTGCTGAAATTAAAAAAGAAAGAAAGAAAAGCAATGTCAGTCAAAATTGTGGAGTGGTGGAGATGGTTTTTAAAAACCATTTATATCTGTGCTATGCTTCTGATAAAAACTGCTAAGACTAAAAATATCAAACAAACAAATACCCTTCACGCCATAACCCTAGCTTTTCCTTAGGAAGTAATATGTCTACATTATGTATATTTTGATGTGAAAAATATACATTTGAAAAGACTAGGGCTGCAAACTAGAAGTCAGCAATATATCCTGGAACACTTCGATTTTTATTAAAATTAAACCACATATAGTAAATTAATTGAGCCATGGTGGTGCAGTGGTTAAAGTGCAGTACTGCAGCTACTTCTGCTGACTGCTGGCTGCCTGCAATTTGGCAGTTCAAATCTCACTGGCTCAAGGTTGACTCAGCCTTCCATCCTTCCGAGGTGGCTAAAATTAGGACCCAAATTGTTGGGGGAAATATGCTGACTTTGTAAACTACTTAGAGAGGGCTGTAAAGCACTGTAAAGTGGTATATAAGTCTAAGTGCTAGTGGTATTGCTATTCATATAAGTCACCAAAAGTCAAGAGTCATCCATTCATCCATCCATCCATCCATCCATCCATCCATCCATCCATCATGCAGCAGTTCATTTTCATTTCCAAAGCAGCTGCTCTACAAAGTTATTGACAATGTTACTCTCGAGGAAGGCTGGAAGAAAACAACAGGTACTTACCACCTCTTTCCGGTCGAGTACCTCAAGAATATTGCTAAGCAGCTGTGAGCAGGCTTCGTGGTCAGGTTTGTGAGAATTATCATCCAGTTGTCCACTGAGCTGGTCTACCAGCAGAGGCAGAAGAATGTCACGGCATTCTGGGATACAGAATGAAGAAGAAATTATGGGAACCAATTGACAGAGCTGCCTCTGCTTGAAACGACTCAGGTACTGATTTCCATTTTAATATAAAAATAATAATAACAACAACTCCAAAAACAGAACCAACATTTTGCCCATAATTCAGGAATAGAGGAAAAACTTAGACTTCCAAAAAGTTCTGAGTTGTAATTTTGAACTTCCTTATGATATGGAAAGCTGTATTTACCCCTTCACTTACACCACTTAAAAGGCAGGGTAAATAGACAAAGAAATAGGGCAATTGATAGTACAGTGCCTTCAAGAGCCTTGATAGTACAGTGGTTTAGTGCACCCTGTCATTAACACAGCTGCCTGCAATTTCTGCTGGTTCGAATCTCGCCAGGCTCAAGGTTGACTCAGCCTTCCATCCTTTCTAAGGTAGGTGAAATGAGGACCCAGTTTGTGGGGGCAATAAGCTGACTTTGTATAAAATATACAAAAGAACGAAGGCTATTGCTTAACTCATTGTAAGCCCCCCTGAATCTCCGGAGAAGGGCGGCATATAAATCAAATTAAAAAAAAAATCCTTCAGCTGTCAGTCCACAGCTCCACAGACTCCAGTTGCCTGCACTGGTTTATCTATGACCCATGGTAGAAGATGCCATTATGCCCCACTGAGTTTGTAGAGCAAGGGCCAATGCACTCCCACAGAGAGGGGCTCCTCAGGGTGCCGTCGGCCAAACAATATCGACTGGCGACACCCAGGGGGAGAGCCTTCTCTGTGGGGGAACCAGCCCTCTGGAATGAGCTGCCCCTAGATGTGTGTATGATCTCCGACCTGCGCAACTTTCGCCGCACCCTGAAGACCCTCTTGTTTCAACAAGCCAGGCTGGCCTAACATGAATATGAATTTTAATGGGTGTATGTTAGTTTTTTTAATTTGTGGGCCAAATTTTTGTATATTTGATTTTAATGGTTTTTAAATTTTGTAAATTTTATGTGTTTTAATATGGCTGTACACCGCCCCGAGTCCTTCGGGAGAAGGGCGGTATAGAAAGCTAATAAAAGTAAAGTAAAAGTAAAGTAAAGTGTCAAACTCAAGGCCAGATCTGGGCCACGGGATGCTTAGATCTGGCCCATGGAGCCGCCCTGGAAACAGTGAAGGACTGGCCCACAGTGCTCTGCCAGAGAAAACACGCGGCCCTCCTGAGCTTCGTTTTTGCCGGCAGAGCACTGCATGAGGCCGTCGCAGCCGAAAATGGAGCCTGGGAGGGGTGTCCCTGACACAAGTGATGTCGAGCTGGCCATACCCACCCAGCCCCCAAGGTCAAATATAACCCTGATGTGGCCCTCAATGAAATCGAGTTTGACACTCTTGTTGTAGAGCAGTGATAGCAAACCTTTTCGGCACCGACTGCTGAAAAAATCGTGTGGAAACGTCGCGAGTGCATGTGTGCGCTCGTTGGGGCTGGGCTCTGGAAAACCCAAACTTCTGGGTTCTAGCGCGCATGTGTGCCTGACGATCAGCTGGCTGGTGTGCAGGCCGGTTTTCAGCACTGCTGCATTTGCGAAGGCATCGCACTCCGGAAAAGCCGAACTTCCAGATTCTGGCACGCATACGCACCCGATAATCAGCCGGCCAGCACGCATGAGCACACCGGGTTTTGGCACTGCCACGCACACGAAGGACAGATGATCATCACGCACGCATGTGCACCAGAAACCCAGAAGACAAACAGGCAAGGCCGCACGTGCTGGGCGACATGGCTTCGTGTGCCACTTTGGGCACGCGTGCCATAGGTTCAACCATCAAGGTTGTAGAGCAATTGGCATTTTGAGAGTTCAGTACATCATTGGAACGCTGAAAATGAGAAAGAGAGAGAAAGAGAACAAGAGAACAAGACCTAACTCACCAGACTGACGAAAGAGGTCACTATCCACAATCTTGGTCATGCAATTGAGCTTCTGACGGACAAGCTGATTATCGGGGATGCTTTGAATAAATTTGCTAAAAAGGACACTGAAATAGGTTCAGGGAATGGGAGTAGAAAGAATATTTTATTCCGTTAATATTCTGGATACTGGTTTAGTTAACAGTTATAGAAGGCAGCAACTTGACACACCTGTAAAATAACTTTCCAGGGTAATGTAATGGAATAACATGTGCATCGTGTTATTGTCACACAAATGATGGAATTATGATGTCATGATATCTGATGTAAATATGTTGTTGTTGTTGTTGTTCAGTCGCTAAGTCAAGCCTGACTCTTCGCGACCCCATGTGTCAACTTGCAAAGCATCCCTGGCCTGCTCTCAAGTTGCCATAGGCAAGGGGGATGGGAAACCGATGAAGCAGCATGGCAGCAAAAAACAGAAGCACATTCCAGACATATCTCTCTCAAGGCTGTCTCCCAGGGTTATCCACAGTGGCCGGAGGGGAGTGATCTCTACAACCTGAAAAATTGCTCTGTTGGCGAATGTGATTGATGACACACCCTGGGGGGAGGGGGGAAGCAGGGTCATGATTGGGGCCTAAATTACGTGGGGTCAGAATTAGCTTCACTTGGAACATGCCGACATGAAACGCCTAATAAATAACTGGATTTCTTTTGAAGCTTGGCTCAAGGCTCGTGATTTAATTAGGGCATCCATCGGAACCCTGACGCCATGGACCATAGAATGCTAGGCTCCTCTGTCTTCCACTGACTCCCAGAGTTTGCCCAAATTCATGTTCATTGTGTCGATGACACTATCTAACCATCTCATCCTCTGCTGTCCCCTTCTCCTTTTGCCTTCAATCTTTCTCAACATCACGGTCTTTTCCAAGGAGTCCTTTCTTCTCATTTGGTGGCCTTTGCACTGTGATGTCATGGTGCACTTGTTATTGGTTTCTCTTTGTCCCCTCTCCCCATGGATGCCCTTGTTCATAGGGATTCCTTAACCAAAGATACTGACTGAATTTTATCTTCCCATTTCCAAAACTTTGTGCCATTCCCCTCCAATAAGAAAAGAAAAATGCAATACGGCCATAACTGTTATTGTGAGTTTTTTGTAGCAACTCATTCAATTTGATATCTACTTGTCATCGATAAAAGAGTAGGAAATATGGTACCTGAGTTCCACTGGATCAAAGACTAGTTTGACATCATTAATAATGCTTGGCAAATACTTCAAGGCAGCACCCTGGAACAGGCAAAAAGAAGGCAAATTAAGAATGAGATCTCCATTCTAAAAAAACTTAATCATTCTCAAATAAAGGATTCTTTAGATGTGTGAACTTTTCTGCCACATAGATCCTGATCCGAATTCTATGAACTCAAAAGGCTCTTATATGTTGTCAAACCTTGGATCTGGCTTTCTGAACCCAATGCCCTGAAATACTTTACAGTAGCGGCCAAAATTGTGGAAACCTTTTGGGAAAAGTGTATTCTTGAGGTTTGATGGCTAATAACACCATTTTTTTGGGGGGGGGGGGAGTTTCAAGATAATCATATTCCTCTGATGGAATGGCCTGGGAATAGCCCAGACCTTAACCCAGTTGAAAATCTATGGAGCCGACTAAAGAAACTTTTTAGTCAGAGGCCACCCAGCAATAAAACCCAGTTAATTGAAGCCATCATTCAATCTTGGTTTCACATTATAACAGCTGCAGAACTAAAAGACTTAGTTCACTCCATGGGAAGAAGTTGTAAGGCCGTAATTCATGCTAAAGGTTACCCAACTAAGTATTAACTGACATGGTGATCATTTTTGTATATCTCGTTTTTTCTACATGTTTCACTTTTCCTCTTTATACTGTAACTGCTATTCTAATAGCAAATCCTTCCTAAAAGTTATTGCATTACATTCTTGATTAAATTATCTTTCCATTGATATATAATTTTATGGTGTTACTCCCCCCCCCACAAAAAAGTGATGTTATTAGCTAGTTTTAGAAAATACACTTTTCCCAAAAGGTTTCCACGATTTTGGCCACTACTGCAGAACCTCAACTTTCAGCAGTATGGTCCTACCAACTGAGAATTCTGAGACTGTAAGCCCAACATGTTGGAGAAGTCCGTGGGTGGAGAAGGCTTTAAGAATGAATTAGATCAAGGGTAGGAATTGAGGCTACTGGTCTTGTATACTTTGGGACTGCTTCTAAAAATAAGTTCTATACCCATGGCTCCATTGTGCTCCAGTGTTCCTCTGAAGATCCCTTCAGAGTGTTCCGTATGGAACAACTGACTCTGTTGTTAAGAGGCTACAGAGACCCATGTGTCTTAATTGCAGTGGAATGGCTGTTCCAAGTAGATCCAAGCAAAACAATAGGGGGGAGATGTGGGCTCTCTTTTTCCATGTACCCTAACCTGCTGTTCTGTCCCCATCCCACACACGCACCCCCACAGACGGCCCAGAGTTAATAAGCCACACAACAAAGTCTTTGAAGATAAAGCGGGCAGCAACCCAGTGGCTAGCTGCCAATTCAGACTTTACTCACACAAAACAAAGATTAGACTGCAAGCATTCCGATAAAGCAGGCAAAGTTTCAGCAATACAAGGATTAGTCCAAATGCAGTCCGACAAGGCAGGCAGAAGTCCAGTAACGCAGAGATCATGGATTATTTCTAGTTTTTGCTCGTCACAAACTGAACTGGCCACCACACCCACATTTATACCCTGTGGAGTGTGGTCCAGTGACTCAGCTAATCTCTGGCATGCCTTCCCCTCTGCTGCGCACACTTCTCCCTGCGCCGCTGTCGAGGATCCAGCCAGCACTTATCTCCTTCGTCGCTGTCCACCTGTGGCTGCAGGGACGTGCTTGGCTTTGGGCCTATCTCTTGGCCTTCGGTGTCCTCTGGAGGCATTGCCAGAGAGGAGAGTCCTGGAGAGGGAGGCCTTGCCAACTCCTCCCCCTCATTCTCAGAGTCTGCATCTGTCGATAGCCCAGGCTCAGGCAACGGAGCCACAACACCTGCTGCCTTGAAGGAACTCCCTTTTTCCTGCTCTCTAACAGCAGAGCTGTCCCTGCCACAATAAATTCAGACTAGTGGTTTGAACCCACCTTGATTTTGACAGCTTCTTCAAGGGGTCTATCCATGAGGACGTTAAAGGAGAGGAATAGCTTGCGAATGGCATTGTTAAACTCATCCCCATCTTCACTTTTGCCATAAAATCTGTAAAAAAACAAAACAAAACAAAAAGTAAGGAAAGTATGAAGGACATGGCTTTTGAAATGCCTTTCGACCCCTTTACCAGCAGAGGTTAAACATTTCTCAGTGTAAGTGAAGCTGGAAGAATAGGGCAGGTTGCATAAGCTGAAGTCTGGGTCACACGAGGGAATAAGATTTAAAATAGGGCAGTTACTAACACCCAAACTGCAGTTCAATTGCCTTCTCCATAGGGATGGTCTAAGGAAATTGGGGGTGCATGAGTGGGTGTCCCCCTCCTTTGTAGATTTCAGGTTAATCTGGTCTAATTTTGATCTTGATTCTTGTTTTCCTGGCTTCTCTCCATACCTGATTTAACCCTATTCTAATCATGTTATGGGAAATTATGATGATACAAAGACAGTGTATCAAATCCTTTTATATAATTTACAAATGTGCCAACCCCTAGGTTGGCACATTTAAAGAGTAAGAATATCTATTTGCAAGTCACAGCTATTTATTTCTGCACTGCTCATTTATTTTAGTTGCCAGAGTCTTGAGGCTGAAAGCGATGAGAATTTGAAGGCGTGAAAATAATACTTAAAGTACCTCCTCAGTCTCTGCAGCTGTAACAATTAAATGACCATATATTAAAATAATATCCTTCCCTTTCAACGATGGCCAATGTCACTTGGCTCAAGCAGCCATTTGTCATGCAAACTAATGATAGGATTGGCCCTCTCACCACCTCAATGTATGCTGAACTGTTCCGTGTTTTCTGTATCTCTCAATTGTTGACTGTAATCATGATTGTTAAGCCTGCTTTTAGACCCCAAAGCAACAACAGTAACAAAAAGAGCCTTGGTAGTACAGTGGTTTAATGCACCCTGTTATTAACACAGCTGCCTGCAATTTCTGCAGGTTCGAATCTCACCAGGCTCAAGGTTGACTCAGCCTTCCATCCTTTCTAAGGTAGGTTAAATGAGGACCCAGTTTGTGGGGGCAATAAGCTGACTTTGTATAAATATACAAAAGTATGAAGGCTATTGCTTAACGCATTGTAAGCCGCCCTGAGTCTCCGGAGAAGGGCGGCATATAAATCAAATTTAAAGAAAAACCAAAAAACAAAACATTGTTAAATTGAGTGGTAAAATCAAATTTGGCATACAATTCTCATCCTCCATGGATCCAGTGTGCATTTCTCCATTTGAATAATATAGTCACAGCATCCAAATTAATGGGGATGGGGGGGTCACAATGGCCTAGCAGTTAAAGACTCTGGGTTTCTCTTGTCCGCTCGAGACCCAAGCACCTCGTGACAGGGTGAGCTCTTGTTCTTGCCCTAGTTCTTTCCCATCTAGTAGTTGGAAAGCATGCAACTACTTCATCGGGGTGAAATCTAAAATTTGTTACTACCGGTTCTGTGGGCATGGCTTGGGGGGGGGGGTAATGTGGCTGAGTGGGCGTGGCCTTTTTTTTTTTTTTTACTTTTAAAACCATTTTAAAACCATTTTTCTTCGGGGAAGAGGTTGTAAAAAAAAAGCTTTCAAAAGGCTCTGACAATCCCAGCTGAGTTGCCTGATTGGCAGAGACTTTTTTTCTTTTAAATCGTCACAGGCATTTAAAAGAAAAAAAACCCTTTTTTTCTTTTAAATGCCTCTGACGATCAAGCAACTCAGTTTGGATCGTCAGAGGCATTTAAAAGAAAAAAAGGATTTTTTTCTCTTTTAAAAGCCTTTGATGATCCCAGCTGAGCTGCACGATCATCAGAGGCTTTTTTTTTAACTTTTAAAAGCATTTTTTCGGCCGAAGAGGTTGTAGAAAAAAATGCTTTTAAAAGTAAAAAAAAAAAAGCCTCTGATGATTGTGCGGCTCAGCTGGGCATGGCGGGGGGGGGGCAGGGATTTTTGCTACTGGTTCTCCGAACCATCCGCCTCCATCGCTACTGGATCGGGTGATCCGGTCCGAACCGGGAGCATTTCACCCCTGATGCAAATGCGAGTAGATAAATAGGTAGCACTTTGGTGAGAAGGTAAGAGCATTCTGTGTACCACAGCATATAGTCATACTGACCAAATGACCATGGAAGCATCTTCAGACAAAGCTGGCTCCTTGGCTAGGAAACAGAGATGAGCACCAGCCCTTAGAGTCAGACATGACTGGACAGGGGGAACCTTTATCTTTTTTACCTTTTTTATCCAAATTAATAATGGTTGCCTCGTAGCTGAAAGGAAACATTTGAATGGAGTCTGTCGGGTTGTTGTTGTTTTCTCACTTACCCTAGGTAAAGAACTCTCGATTGTACTATGAACCTGAAGAGGTACTTCAAAGCTTTCAGAGCAGCAAATAGCAAATCTGTCTTAGTGGAATCATCTGCATTTCCAACATAGAAATTCAGAACCTTGGTGAGTTTTCTAATGAGAAAGAGAGAAAAGACAAAGAGAAATTATAAATTCAGCATCAGAACTTAGCTACTTTTTCCTCATCTCCTCGGTACCACCCTGGATCCATAGTACCTACAAGGCTACATAGATTACAGGTGAATAAAGCAACCTTCTCATCAACCAGGCAAGTCACCATGTGGAATTAGAACATCAACAAATATTTATTTGGCAGAGGGAGAATCAAGCTTTATTCGGAGTGCCTTAGAAATTATTCACTGGGTGCAAGTCTTCAAAAAGGCACGAAGGAAGGGTGTTGCAAGGCAACCCTTACACTTATGCCACCTCTTTACTTTTCGGGTTTATTCTCTTACCTTTCCATCCCAAAAGGCATTCAAAGTTGGGTATACAAGGATCAGAGGAATTTGAACATTGTTTGCTCACCATAAGTAAGATTACTTTGCATTCAGTGTGAGTCAGGGGTGAAATGCTCCCGGTTCAGACCGGATCGCCCGATCCAGTAGTGATGGAGACGGGTGGTTCGGAGAACCGGTAGCAAAAATCCCTGCCCGCCCCCATGCCCAGCTGAGCCGCACAATCATCAGAGGCTTTTTTTTTTTTAACTTTTAAAAGCATTTTTTTCTACAACCTCTTTGGCAAAAAAATGCTTTTAAAAGTAAAAAAAAAAGCCTCTGATGATCGCGCGGCTCAGGTGGGATCATCAGAGGCTTTTAAAAGCATTTTTTCTACAACCTCTTCGGCCAAAGAGGTTGTAGAAAAAATGCTTTTAAAAGCCTCTGACGATCCCAGCAGAGTTGCCTGATCGGCAGAGGCATTTAAAAGAAAAAAAAAGCCTATGCCGATCAGGCAACTCAGCTGGGATCGTCAGAGCCTTTAAAAGCATTTTTTTACAACCTCTTTGCTGAAGAGGTTGTAGAAAAAATGCTTTTAAAAGTAAAAAAAAAAAAAGTTGGCCACGCCCACCCAGTCACATTACACCCCCCCCACCACCAAGCCACGCCCACAGAACCGGTAGTAACAAATTTTACATTTCATCACTGGTGTGAATGCATTTGTAAAAGAACCTTCGCATGGAAGAACATTATAACTTATTTATCAGGAGCCTGGAAGAATGGTAAGCACTGAATGACTCTTGCTGGGGTACAAAATATAGCCGTTCATGAAACATTATACTTACACATAGGCCAAAGTGGCGCTAAAGTGTTTATAAATGTAGGTTTCCAGTACAGGATTAAAATGCTGAAACTTGATATCTCCAATCAGGGAAATAATAAATACCTAATTACAAAAAGAAGAAAAAAAAATTCATAAATGATTTAACCCAGCAAAACAGGTATGCTATATTTGATTTCGGTTTCATTTCTCTCTGTGCCAAGAACAAAGGACTTTATCCCTTCTGAACTGCTTGAAACAGCTGGAGCCAGGATTATCGAGGGCAGTGTTTCTCAACCTTGGTAGCTTGAAGATGGGTGGACTTCAACTCCCAGAAGTTGGGAGTTGAAGTCCACCCATCTTCAAGCTACCAAGATTGAGAAACACTGATCTAGGGGTTCCTATAATTCTGTATTGGTACCCTGAGCAATAGTAACACTCAGAAATCCAGTGTGCAAAGAGAAAGCTTCCTTAACTTGTTGCAATATGTGTCTTGAGGCATAGTTCTCATGCCTAAATATTTGGGGGAATAAATGTTTGTGTGATTGCACAATATCAAGTGTGAGCATTATAGAGGTGGTGAACAATCCTCCTTTCCCAATAATACTCTTGACAGCTTAATCTATCCATTTTTTTATCATACTTTCATGATTGTGCATCATCATCATCATCATCTTCATCATCATCATCATCTAGATTTTATATCCCACCCTATTTCCAGGGGCTCAAGGCAGCTTATATGGGAATTTTACTTATTTTATTCTCACAGTCCTATGAGATGGGGGTGGACTGAAAGAGAAAACATGTCCTATTGAATCAAAATCACCAATTTGTTTTCACAGATGAGAATGGAACTGATTGGCCCTACACTGTAGCTCAAGAAAGTAGAAGTTCCTAATTTGGTAGTGACGTCCTTCATAAATCCATCCTCAAATTACTGATAGGTGATTCAAATATCCACAAATGCTAAAGTCTCTTAATTGTTCATCTGAGGATGCAGAAAAATTCGGAGATTGGATCAAATAAATAGATCTTTCTCTCATAGATCTCAGCCATGTTAGCTAGGAAATTCTGGGAGTTGAAGTCCATACATCTTAAAAGAGAATGAGAAACAGTGTAATGAAGTGGCTGGGATGTTGGATTTGAACAAATGAGCTCTAGATTCAAGCCCCATTGATTCTAACTGAGCAACTTTGGCCTAATCACTCTTCCTATCAATTCAATCTCAGATTGTTTGTTTTAATGGCCTAAAATTAGGGAAAGGTCTGGTGGATAGTGTCCTTGATTGTCTATCAATGAAAGACATCAAAAGAACACTTGTTAAAGCAGACACTTAATATAGAGGATGATAGGGAAAGGATTAGGCCAAATGTCTGAATCGACACTACACTACTACTGGTGAAAAAAGATATGATGAGGGGCATCCAGGTAGACGGAAAACTTACCAATGCATCAAATACAAGAAAATCGTAGGATTCATTGTCAGACATCTCCATCATTATACTGAAAAGTGCATCAAGTGTATCTTGTAGAAACTAGAAAAAGGAATAAGAAGGGAGTTGAAGATAAAGAAAAGATTTAAGTTTTACCTGCTGGAATTTTTGCCTGATCTCTGCAATCGTTTTCCTAATCAATTTTAATAATTTGAGCTCAGGGAGTATTGTTCCTTGACTTTTTTTCCAGTCATGATTGTTACTGGAGAAATATCACATCAATACTGTGTTTCCCCAAAAATAAGAGCATGTCTTATACTTTTTTGAACCCCAAAATAAGCGCTTGGCCTTATTTTCGAGGAGGTCTTATTATTTTGGGGTGCGTAGAGCAAGACGGGACTCCTCTTGCCGTCTTCCCTGCTCTGTCTCCCTAACCAGAGGAAATGGCGGGGACCAGCTGCACATGCGGTTAAATATTTTCGGGGAGGGCTTATTTTTTGGGGGGGAGCTTATTTTAGCACATGCACTCAAAAGCCCAATTGGGCTTATTATCTGGGGGTGTCTTATTTTCGGGGAAACAGGGTACTAAAAAGAAAGTGATGTTTTGATACGGGTAACATAGATAAATTTGTGGGATGAAAATAGTCAAGAAAAATACTACATTTCTCCTCCAAACCAAGAGAGTACTTACTTTGTTTCATGTTGTTCTCCCAAAATACGTTAAATGGGACCCTGGTCCTTAAAGACTTACCCATCCCAAAGGTTTGCTCCCATGTGGCCCCTTTGTACCTTAACAATTTCTCCTCCTTCCACGTCCATCAGCTTCTTCAGGTTGTGTCCTATATGCTGAGAGTTTGAACGCCAATTCAACAATCCTAGCAAGTCAACTGGCAAAGGCAAAGTAGCAAAAGTCAGATCACCATAAGGAAGAGGTATATGAGTTCTGGCAATGGTCTTATTTAAGAAGAAGAACCCACAAGAGATTTATTTTCTGGTATTGAATAGCATTTTTGGAAAAGAGATGCGAAGTTTAGTGCTGGAAACCGGAATTCGTTTTTCTGAAAATGACCACTTTGGATTGCTAAACGTCTATGGAGATTCTCAGTCATCCAGTCCAGTCCATGGTTGTCCCTAAGGTTTTTCTTTGAAGACGTTTTGCTTCTCATCCAAGAGCTGAAGAAGCTTCTTGGATGAGAAGCGAAATGTCTTCAAAAATAAACCAGAAAGTCCACCTCTTGAAAAAGCACCTTTGGGATACCACTTTGGATTGTTTTAGAACAAGCAAATGTCTAGGCTTGGGGGACTGAGAAGATAGGCATGAGGGTAATCAGAGAAGATTAAGTCAAGTCTCAGAAGGCAAAGAATGACACAGATATTCTGTATATACCAGGGATGAAATGCTACTGGTTCGCTCCGGTTCGGGAAAACCGGTAATGATAAAAAAGCTACCGGTTTGAGCAAACCAGTAGTTAGCCCGGTAGCTAACTACCAGTAGCTAGCCTGGCAGTTAAAAAAACTACCAGTTTCTCCGAACCGGTATTTTCGACGATCAACTGAGGCGCGGGGTTTAGCTTTGCTGCTTTCTAGCAAAGCTAAATCGCGCGTCACAGCTGATCCCCCCCCACTGTTCTACTTACCTTCCCAAGCCTCCTTTTGGTGCGTACTGTGCATGCGTGTGCACATGCGCAGCACGTGTTTGGTGCACACCGCCCATGTGCATGCAGCATGCGATTGGAACGCAGCACGCATGCGCGGTCAGCAAATTGGTAGCAAACCGGTTCAGATTTCACCACTGGTATATACCCAGAAGGACAGACATGGTTGAATATCATATAAACTGCATAGGATTTCCCCCTCGCTCTGAAGAAGAAATATGGCGTTTATAAATAATTTAACCCTCTGATCACAAACCTATGGTACGCGTGCCTGAAGTGGCATGTGGACCCATGTCACCTGGCACGCGCGGCATCGCCGTTTCTTTTCCAGGTTTCTGGCGCACATGCACAGACGGTGATCAGCTGGCCTTTTTGCATGCAGCAGGGCCGGAAACTAGAACAGCTGGTCTTCCATTTTCCTGCACGAGCATGTATGCTGGCCAGCTGATCGTTGCATGCACATGCGCGCCATAAACCCAGAAGAGTAGCTGGCTGAAACTGCAAGTTCATTTTTGGGCACGCACATGTGCCCTGGGCAGCTCCTCTTTTGGGTTGTGGCCCAGATGTGCACAAAGCACATGTGCGCACTCCCGTTTCAGCCCTCGGTGCCGAAAAGGTTCGCCATCACTGATTTAACCCATCAAAACAGGGTATGATATATTTGATTTCAGAGAGAAGTAAAAAATGCCCAAAGTGAGTCTCCTTGGAACATCCTTTACTTTATAACATGCAGTAAAATCAAAATTTGGGAAACCCTGTCCAAGGCTTTATTGCTTATAGCCCCCATCTTGATGATGATATATACAATTTCTGCAAAAAAAAAAAAAAAAAAAGGATGGAACTTTTCCCCTCTGTGTCCATAATTTAAACAGGGATTATTCAATAATCCTAAAGGATATAATATTCAAAGTAGATCTTTGCATAGCACAACACTAAAAATGAAATTAGCTGCCACAAAGTGTAGTGGTGGTCACCACTTTGAAAGATGTATGGCCAGAATTACAGAAAATACAGAGAGCAATGGCTCCGCCCAATTTTGTTATACTGGTTTCATGGGATAGTTCAAGATGTCCAATCGCAACTTGTCTGCCATTTTTCCAATTTGTCTACAGCTGAACCTACCGTTTTGTGTCAGTTTTGTCGAGCAGATGAGTGTTGCAATCTGAAAGCTGTCCTTGGTGCTATCTTTATTCAGAGTAAAATTGGCCGTGTGTTGCTTGGATGCAACTCCATCTCTGTCTTCTATCTCCATCTTGGTGCTGGGAAGCGTCAAGTAAAACTTAGCATCTTCCATTTTTTTGTTCTCACCCTGACAACAGGAAACAAGGGACACCAAAAACAGCATTAATTATTAACTGTATTGAGTATTAACCATTAATAGTCGAGCATCAACTGCAAGAGCCGTGGTGGTGCAGTGGTTAGAATGCAGTATTGCAGGCTAACTCACTGCTCACTTTCAGGAGTTCGACCCCAACCAGCTCAAGGTTGACTCAGCCTTCCATCCTTCCGAGGTGGGTAAAATGAGGACCTAAATTTATAAGCTGGGTTGATAAAATCAGAAATGAGGAGGTGAAAAGCCGCCTGGGAAAGCCAAGGGAAATCATCAAAACCATTAAAAAGCAAAAGTTTCGAACATGTGATGCGACACCGAGAAAAAATACGGCATACTTCACTTAATCCTCCAGGGAAAGATTGAAGGCAAATGAGGTTCAGGCAGAAGAAGAATATTGTGGCTTCAAAATCTAAGGGACTGGTTTGGACAAAACTCAACAGCACTTTTTCGTGCAGCCGTTGATAAAAATAGGATCGCCAACATGATTGCCAATGTCCAATGACGGATATGGCACAAGAAGAAGAAGAAGAATAGGCTGACTGTGTAAACTGCTTAGAGAGGGCTGTAAAGAATTATGAAGTGGTATATAAGTCTAAGTGTTATTGCTATTGCTATTTTTCTAAGGAAGAAGAGTGTAAGAAAGAATGTCATAGTTTCTTTTTTTATTATTTTTTTAAATTTGATTTATATGCCACCCTTCTCCGGAGGCTCACGGCGGCTTACAAGGCGTTAAGCAATAGCCTTCATACTTTTGTATATTTTATACAAAGTCAGCTTATTGCCCCCACAACTGGGTCCTCAATTTACCTACCTTAGAAAGGATGGAAGGCTGAGTCAACCTTGAGCCTGGGGAGATTCGAACTTGCAATAATTGCAGACAGCTGGTGTTAAATTACAGTGCTTCTGTCTGCAGAGCTATCCAGGCTCCTTTTATACATCTTTTACATATATCCAAGTCAGTGGACTCCGAAACTCAAGGGAAGCAACACAACCATTCAAATCCTTATGCAACAGACACACAAGCATTCAAGGCTAGTTCATACTGCTCACTACTCCATTTTTTCTCAGTCCTACTCCGTCACCACCTACTGCTCCTTCAACTTCTACTTCTTATGAGTCCTACTGCTGGAGAACAAATTTTGTAGGCAGCCTGTCTCTCCGCAAAGAGATTTGAATGGATTAAAGAATCAAAAGAGCCTTGGTACTACAGTGGCCTAAAGCACCCTGTTATTAAGAACAGCTGCCTGCAGTTACTGCAGGTTCGAATCTCGCCAAGGCTCAAGGTTGACTCAGCCTTCCATCCTTTCTAAAGTAGGTAAATTGAGGACCCAGTTTGTGGGGGCAATAAGCTGACTTTATATAAATATACAAAAGAATGAAGGCTATTGCTTAACGCATTGTAAGCCGCCCTGAGTCTCCGGAGAAGGGCGGCATATAAATCAAATTTAAAAATAAATAAATAAAATAAATAAATAAATAAACAGAACCATACCTTGTAGACTACTAAATTATGCCTGCCGTCCTGCAGAGTGGTGCCATCTACATTCATCAGCTTCAGGAAGGCCATCCCAAAAGCCCGTTCGGATTTATCTCTTGCTGCAGAGAAACAAACATCAGTAGAAATCTCCTGTTAGTGCTTTTCTTTTTTTTTCACCGCATGATGCACCCAGCAATTTTATGGCAGATATTTTCTCCTGTACAAAAGGCATTAGGGCAGCGGTGAGGATTATATCTTCATCTACATGAAGCTACAAAACCCTATTGTAGTTTCCTGTTGTTTAGGTAAAATGCTTTTGCACTGTCCCTTTGCAAAACTCATCATACACATTTATGCATCTGTATTTATTTAATTTAGGGGCAGCGCAGTGGCTCAGTGGTTAAGATGCTGGGTTGTTGGCTGGAAAACCGGGAACCCAGGTTCAAGATCCGAGTGCCATGTAATGGGGTGAGCTCCTGTCCTTGCCCCAGCCTCTGCCAACCTGGCAGTTCGAAAGTATGCAAATGCAAGTAGATAAATAACTACCACTTTGGTGAGAAGTTTACAGTGCTTTGTGATGTCATGCTGGACACTTGACTGTGGAAATGTCTTCGGACAGTGATGGCTCAATGGCCTTGAAACGGAGATTAGCACTGCCCCCTAAAGTCAGCAATGACTAGCGGAGTAAAATCTGCAGGGATTCCTTTACCTTGTATTTATTTAATTTAGATTTTTCCTTTTGTGCAGGAGTTCAGAGTGGCAATTGTGGCTAGTGGGCATCCTCATCTCACTGGATTATTGTTTTTTGTGATGTAATGTTTACTTATGTGAACCTCTAAATACTTCTCCCTTCTGTGGATAATACTATTTTGGTTGCACCAAGGAAAGGTGTTGGCAAGTTAAATGCCAAAATAGAAGACATGATGCTGTAAGGCATCATGTCTGTCTATTCAAAGAGAGTTTTGATAAAAAATAGGGTGAGCATCCTATTTGGAGCTCTTAGCTGATTTGAGGGATTTGCTTTTTTAAGATGTGCTGACATCATCTCAGGATTTAACAAAGTTGTGCACACATACAGGGAGCCAAATTAGGTTGATGGTTGCTTTTGTTAAAGAAAGAGTTTCTTTGTCAATGAATGTTCCAAAAGTGCTTTTCCAAAAGGCAACTGGAATTTCTTGCTTTTTTCCCCTCTTGAAAATGTTTTGCTTCTCAGCCAAGAAGCTTCTTCGGTTCTCAGAATTAAAAAAAGCTCCTTGGTTGAGAAGCGAAACATTTTCAAGTAAAAAAAAATAATCAAGAAAATCCAGTTGCCTCGTGAAAAAGCACCTTTGGGACAAATATGATCTGGATGACTGAGAATCTCCATAGACATTTGCTAACAAATGGTTCAGAAAAGTACAATTTAGGGTGGAAAGGTAAAGAATATTCCAAAGCCCACAATCTATTCTCAATCTATTCCTAGAGATGATACTGCTGATGCTGCGCAGATTGATGATCAAGATTCCACTAGTTCTTCTCAACCTGATGTTCCGTCTTCGCAAGCCGCGGATGTTGACGCTAGCGACAAATGTGAAGACGAGGACGAAACGGAAGAAGAATGGACGACTGTTCCGAGGCATTCCAAGAGGGTCACAAAGGGAATCCCTCCGCAACGATATTCTTGGCAACTGACAAAAACACCCTTGCCTTTGATTTGCAATGTTACACTTCCACCTGATACGTTCATGCAAATCAAACATCTTCCTGATTCAGAGCAAGACAGATGGTATGAGGCAATGCAGGTTGAAATGGACAGTCTAATGAAACTTAAGGTGTTTACACCTGCAAAACCTCCAGCAAATAAAAAGGTCATTGGCACTCGATGGATCGAAACCATCCTCTGCTACCAGATACAATCTATTCTTTCCTTTGTTTTCCCTCCAAACCCTTTTGTGCTACTAAATCAAAAAGATATTGTCATTCTTTCATGCTTACATTCTTGCGATGAACGGTGACGGAAAGTAAATCTTAAATGGTAGCGGCCAACCTCTTTTATTTCTATGGAGACCTGTATGTGATAAGAAAATAAGTAATAATTTTATAGAAATGATGAACAGTAACAAGCGTTGTGAATAACAAAGTATATAGAATTCAGATGAATCTCAGTTAAACAATTTCCCCCTCCCTTCCCCCCCCCCCGTTTATTTGGTAGCATTTCCTCATCATTTTATAAATCCATATGCATTTTTGTTTAACATGCAATTAATCCTCAACTTAAAACTATTTATTTAGCGACTGTTCCAAGTTACAACAGCAAAGAAAGAATGACTCATGACCAGTTCTTGGGCTTAAAACCGTTGCAGCATCCCGACAGTCAGTGAACAAAATTTGAATGTTTGGAAACTAGTATGTATTTATGATGGTTGCAGGTCATATGACTGTCATTTGGGACTTTACCAGCTGGCTTCCAACAAGCACAGTCATTTGAGGAAGCCATATTTGCTTGATGACTACTGTTCATTTAACACAGGGGTCGGCAACCTTAAACACTCAAAGAGCCACAAAGGCCTAACCGGAAGCCCCCCGTTCAATTCTGGAGCCAACCGGAAGTCCGGTTCCCCCACCATAGAGCCTCCTCCTAGCACGGCATCCTTTTTCCTCTACCTATCCTAACTGAAAGCTCTATCAATTGTGGAGCTGACTGGCGACAGGGAGCCGCAGCAGAGGGATGAAAGAGCCACATGCGGCTCCAGAGCTGCAGGTTGCTGACCCCTGATTTAACAACTGCAGTGATTAGTTTAACAAACATGGAGGAAAAAAGAGCCATGGTAGCATAGTGGTTAGAATGCAGTATTGCAGGCTAACTCACTGCCAGCAGTTCAATCCTGACCAGCTCAAGGTTGATTTAGCCTTCCATCCTTCTGAGGTCAGTAAAATGAGGACCCAGATTGTTGGGGAGCAATCTGCTAACATTGTAAACCACTTAGAGAGAGCTGTAAAGTGCTAGAAGGGTATACAAGTCTAAGTGCTATTGGTTAAAAAAAAGTTGTCAAATTGGCCATAACTCACGTAACAACTGCCAAGAGAAATTCTGATCTCAGTTGTGGTCATAACTCAAGGACTACCTGTAGATGACAGTGTGTACATCTGCCTGGTGTACATATTTTTATTAGTTTCCCTTAATATGTAATTCCTGTAGAATAAACCTAATGCTTACACACTTTCCCCTTAATTATGAATGTTTTTATACAGTATTCAAGGTAAGTGCTTTGCATGAATGAAGGCTAAATGTTCCTACACTGACAAGCAAATTTGTTAGATCCTTATGTTAAAAAAAAAAAACCCAATTCCTCATTTCCCCAATCCCCCAGCCTAGGTTTTCAGCTATGGAATTTCAATTAACTCCTCCATTAAAATACTTGCCTAATTATACTTGGAACTTTTAAAACTGACCATAGCACATTTTAAATTGCCTGCTAAAAAACCGACAAGATTTGTGGGAGATTGTTCTCTAGATATTAGTGATTTACAGCAACCTGAAGCCATTCTGTTTAAATGCAGTAAAGTAACAAGATAGGCAAGTTGAGTTGACCACAATCAAAGACCTGAAGACTTGCCTGTTCAAACAAATAGGCTGACTCTGATTCCGGGTTTTATTATTTACTATTAATTAGTTATTTGGTTTAAAATGGGATTTTATTGTATTTGTTTCTTAACTTGTGTTCGCCGCCCTGAGTCCTTCGGAAGAATGGCGGCATATAAATACATGTAATAAATAAATAATAAATAATTTCTTTAGTCATTGTCTTTTTAGGAGCCTGAGTGGCGTAGGAGGCTAATGCCTCCTACTAAGGCAGCATTTAACATCCAGCTGCCTGCAATTACTGCGAGTTCAATTCTCACCAGGCTCAAGGTCGACTCAGCCTTCCATCCTTTCTAAGGTGGGTAAAATTTCCCGTCATAAGGAGATATTTTATCAAACTGAGATTAGACCAACTTCAAACAAACATGCTTTGGGGTAGGTATAAGGGTATCCCTGTAAGCGAAAGAGTCTGTTTATGTGGGAAGGGGGAAGTTGAAACAATGTCCCATGTAATTTTTGACTGCCCCTTGTACTCAGATTTGAGGGAACATCAACTGGGCAGGATCTTTTACGCCAGCACCCCTAAGTCTAAAGAGTGCTTCTTGCAACATTGTTCGTTAGGTTCTAACTTGCAGCTGGTGAAATGGATTGCCAAATTTGCTGTAAAATTGATGGAAAAAAGGACAAAGCTGGTGCAGCAGAATGTGGTAGATTGCAGGAAAGATCACTTGATTTAATAATGTAATTCTAATAGTAGTTTTAAGACTGATTGGGTAGATGCAGGGGTGACATTGTAATATAATTTTAATCATACAGTATTTAATTTGTATTTTAAATTATTGTATTCTATCTCTGATTTCATTCTAGAACATATTTTACTCTAATTTTATTTTAAATCATGTTTTATTCCTATTCCAATTTCATTTTAAAATGTTTCTACCAAACTTTTGTAATAATTGTTTCTGGAGCACTGCATTTTGATATGGCCCAAGGGCTAATCAATAAATAAAGATTGAATATGTAGCTCACGTCTGTAACAATATAAGGATGCATCCTAACCAAGTCAATTTCCCATTAGATAATCTCACCTTTACAGTTTCATACCAGCAAGGTTGCTTGACTTGGTAGTAGACAACTGATTTGTATTCTGAAATACCTTCATAACCAGCACCCGGATGGATAGCTTTCTTTGGAGCACATTGGAAACAAAAAGAAAAAGGAACAAAGGACAGAAAATGAGACTTAATCAGTGATGGGAGAGAAAAACTTTCAGTTATAAAACAAAGTTTTCACATAACTTCCAAAGAGGGGCCAAAACATTCCACAAATTGTAGAAGTCCTTTCAAACTACGTAACGTATAGGGTCCTTGGTGCTCTCTGAGTGTTGTGGCTCCGTTGCCTGAGCCTGGGCTATCGACAGATGCAGACTCTGAGAGTGAGGGAGAGGAGTTGGCAAGGCCTCCCTCTCCAGGACCCTCCTCTCTGGCAATGCCTCCGGAGGACACCGAAGGCCAAACGATAGGCTCAGAGCCAAGCATGTCCCTGCAGCCACAGGTGGACAGTGACGAAGAAGATAAGTGCTGGCTGGACCCTCGGCAGAGGCGCAGGGAGAAGCGTGCGCAGCAGAGGGGAAGGAGTGCCAGAGATTAGCTGAGTCACTGGACCATACCCCACAGGGTATAAATGTGGGTGTGGTGGCCGGTTCAGTTTGTGACGAGCAAAAACTGGAAATAATCCATGATCTATGTGTTACTGGACTTGCCTGCTTTATCGGACTGCATTTGGATTAATCCTTGTATTGTTGAAACTGCCTGTTTTATCGGAATGCTTGCAGTCTAATCTTTGTTTTGTGTGAGTAAAGTCTGAATTGGCAACTAGCCACTGGGTTGCTGCCAGCTTTATCTTCAAAGAGTTTTGTCGTGTGGCTTATTAACTCCGGGCCATCTGTGGGGGTGCGTGTGTGGTACGGGGACAGAACACTGAGCTTGGTGGTTTTCTTGCAGACATTTCCTTACCAAACTAAGTATGATGATGGTACCCCACAGTTCAACCTCTGAATGTAGTCTTCCATCAAATCTAATGTATGTTAACATTCACCTGTTTTACTAGTGCCTTGTTTTGAAATGAATGCAGCTACAAATGGGGAAGAAAAAAAACCCAGAAGCTGCTAAGGTAAAGAACTCAAACCCACCCACTTGGAGATTTAATGGGTGTAAGGTTTTTTTTTTAATTTGTAGGCCAAATTTTTGTATATTTGATTTTAATGGTTTTTAAATTTGGTAAATTTTATGTGTTTTAATATGGCTGTACACCACCCTGAGTCCTTCGGGAGAAGGGCGGTATAGAAGTCTAATAAAAGTTAAAAGTTAAAGTTATCCACGAGTGGGAGAAAACAGAGTTAAAGCATGCATTCTGTGAGTGAAAGTATTTTATTAGATGATCCATTTGTAGTTTAAAGCATCCACTTGTAGTAGTTCCTGCACAATATTTCTTTCTTTCTTTTTTTTGGTCCAATTTACAAAGCATACTCTGGGCAGCATACAATAAAACCAACAATGAAAACATTCTACAAGACACAGATCAATATAAATAACACAAGACCACAAGAGGGAGTGCATCAGAATATTATACATGATGCAGCCAGTGCATGGGGTGTCTGTTACCAGATGATCCCAGGCCCGCTAAAAAAATCCACATTTTAATCGAAGGACTTTGTAGATCGGACGTGTCAAACATGCGGCCAATGGGCCGGATCCGGCCTATATGATAGGCCCAGAGTTGTCCCGCGGGGCCATCCTACAGACAGCAAGAGACCAGCCTGTGCCACCCGGGCCCCGGCCCACCCTAGCCACACCCACTCAGTTGGCTGGTACAACCAGACCATGCCCACCCCGGCCCTCCAAGGGCAAACAAAGTCCTCATAGGGCCAATGGGATTGAGTTTGACACCCCTGTTGTAGATGGTGCCAAGGATTGGTAAGAAGATCCCAAAATGTTCCCAAATTTGTGGAGAGATACAGAACATGTATGCATTTCTTTGCTTTATCTACAACTTACTATTCTAGAAAATCCCTTCCTACCTCTAAAATGTTTCCATCTTCATCATGAACAGACATGGTAACCTCAACATTCTTAGGAGTCTTCTTTTTCCCTTTGTCGAACTCTCCATGCATCAGAGTGACGTAGATATCGTTCCGAACTTCACCTGAAAATTAAAAATAGAGAATTATAAGGACATTATTTTGTCCAACTTGGAAATTGGAATACAATCTTATTCTTTTCTACCCACCATTTGGAGGACATCTGGACTCAACTATTTCTTTTTTTAAAAAAGATGTAATCTCATTCTTATCTTCCGTTGAATTACTCACCAGGCAATATAATCTCTGGGAATCCCATTTTGCGGGCAATAGCTGTTGATCTGTCAATGAGATGAGAAAAATCCTTCTGAACCTGAGCTAAATCACCAGGCAGCAGTTTCAGAGAAATCCAGAGGCCTAAAAGGGGATGGAGAGCAAAGAATATAACAAAAAGCAGCATTAGTGCTATTGGAAAGAAGTAGCAGCCAGTGCAGATTTGATAAGGAAAGAGAATCGTGACTTCCCCAAGTGAGTGGAGGTTAAAATCGAAATGTCTTTTTTTGTTGTTGTTGTTGTTGTTTACTATGGGAATAATAAGCATTGGGGCTGTTTTTATAAAAATTAGTGTTTTGCTTAAAACTTTTCCAGCGCATGTGTGCATGGTAATTTTCACAGGACATGATTTGAACTTTTCTTCTCCTCAATAAATTCAGTCCTGTACTTTGAAAAGGGTTCCAATGGGGTCTGTACTTAATGACTGTTCTTAGGATTTTCAAAGTTCAAAGGTGAAAATGAATGTTTATGTATCGCAAATGGCATCATCCATGCACGGAAGAGAACCAATAGGAGAAACACAAACTTGGTAGATGTTGAACTTTACAGGATGGCAACATACCTAACCACGTAGGCTCCTCCCAGTTTTATTTTGGGGATTTAGTGGCAAAAAAAAGTTGTCCCTCTTGCTCATATCAAACAGGATTAATTTAGGGATCTCTTTTCATTTTTTTCCTTTGAGAACATTGTTTCTTTCATGCCATGCTTCCAACCTCTCTTGCAATTGCCCACTAACATAATTTTATTGTAGTTTGTTACCTACACATCATCAATGTGCCAGCTAAAATTGTGTGGCTCTCCCCATTAATCAGGAAAACTGAATCAAATGGATGAAAGATTTTCTGAGCACTCATGCAGGAAGGAGCCCAAGTCAATGTCCTTGACCAGTGAACCATCCAAACCCATGAATAAGTTTTCACCTCAAAGGAATGCCCCTCCCTCCTCCCCTCCCCTCTTTTCAGGAGCCATCTTTCCAGTGTGTACCTTGCCCTTTATGATTCACTTCCTTGGCCGCAATAACTTTGTTGAACACCAACGTGAGGGGCTCATTCTCTCCAATCACGTGAGACGTTATTAATGGTGCCATGATTAACTGCCGTTGCCTGATGTATGTTTCCATGGCAATCCTGAAGAGGAAAGGAGGAGAAAAAGAAGAGGTACATTTCCAGATTATCAGATTTATGAATAGATCATGAATTAAAAAAATAAAGATTCTTCTTGCAGGAGGAAGATCTGAAAGGCCAGGTTAAAAACAGCTCTTCCTGTCTGACCCTACTGATGTGGTCACTTGAGAGTAAAATGATGAGTTGATGGCACACCATCCATCCATCCATCCATCCATCCACCCATTGTTCAAATGTTGCAGGGACCGGATGAATAAGAATAGCTGGTAGATCTCTTCAAGCTGATTGAGAAATTTATTGATTGATTGATTGATTGATTGATTGATTGATTCGATTTATATGCCGCCCTTCTCCGGAGACTCAGGGCGGCTTACAATGCGTTAAGCAATAGCCTTCCATACTTTTTCTATCTGCTTAGTAGGGCTTTCGGGCCCCCCCAAAGCGGTGTTCTTTTTTATTCAAAGTCAGCTTATTGCCCCCACAATCCGGGTCCTCATTTTACCTACCTCGAAAGAATGGAAGGCTGAGTCAACCTTGAGCCTGGTGAGATTTGAACTTGCAGTAATTGCAGGCAGCTGGTGTTACTTAACAGCACTTTAGTCTGCTGCGCCACCAAGGCTCTTTAGTCTCATAACAAACATAATTTGTTCATTCATAGGAATGGTTGAGGGTGAAAACCATATTGGGGGTAGGGGCAGAGTTGTAATTACTTGGGTGCCACTTCCTGTATCTCTCCACATGAAAACCCTAAATTATTTTATCCCTCTTTATTTTAGCCCTGTCCCATACAGGGAAGGTCTAAACACGAGTTGCATGCTTGCCGGTCTGAATACTAAAACACGTCTCTTTCCATCTGAGAACTCTGATCAAATGTAATTCTTGATTACATTTGGAAGTGATTTTATATAGGCTTGTGGCAGAAGGTCACTGAGATCACTTCTGATAAATCACATTCACTGCTTCAATTTAATTTACAGGCTTTGTTTTAGCTTAATCCCCTTTCTTGTCTTTATTGTGGCTCCGTTGCCTGAGCCTGGGCTATCGACAGATGCAGACTCTGAGAGTGAGGGAGAGGAGTTGGCAAGGCCTCCCTCTCCAGGACCCTCCTCTCTGGCAATGCCTCCGGAGGACACCGAAGGCCAAACGATAGGCTCAGAGCCAAGCACGTCCCCGCAGCCACAGGTGGACAGCGACGATGAAGATAAGTGCTGGCTGGACCCTCGGCAGAGGTGCAGGGAGAAGTGTGCGCAGCAGAGGGGAAAGCGTGCCAGAGATTAGCTGAGTCACTGGACCACACCCCACAGGGTATAAATGTGGGTGTGGTGGCCGGTTCAGTTTGTGACGAGCAAAAACTGGAAATAATCCATGATCTCTGCGTTATTGGACTTTGCCTGCTTTATCGGAATGCTTGCAGTCTAATCTTTGTTTTGTGTGAGTAAAGTCTGAATTGGCAGCTAGCCACTGGGTTGCTGCCAGCTTTATCTTCAAAGAGTTTTGTCATGTGGCTTATTAACTCCGGGCCGACTGTGGGGGTGCGTGTGTGGTACAGGGACAGAACAGTCTTGGACCTGCCCACTTTCTGGAAAACATATAGACATGACCACCAACTCCCCCCAAATTGTGCATTCTTTTTTTTCCTTTTTTTTTTTTTAGAATTTTAACTACTCACTGCTGAAAAGGAACAAAATGTTGCTTCTCTTCATCGTCCACCTTCCCATGAATGATGTCTGTAACGTCCATCACTAAAGGGGAAAAAAAAATAAGCTTTTACTGATCACAGCAAAAATGTCTTAATAGGTTGGAAACTCTTGGTATAAATTTCAAACCTGTAAAAAAAAGAAAATCATGCCTTCGAGATGTACTGGTTCATCAATTTCCAGAAATCCCATCAACATTATCAAAGGCCACATTGGCTAGGAATTCTAAAGCACTAATGTATCTAAGATCACAAAAGCTACTTGAAACCAAGACTTAAACCAAACTCAGGAAACATTGGTTGGGTTGACCATCTATCAATCATGCAGACTGATATAACTACCTATTTCGGTGCTTTGAAAATAATTCACACAAAGTACGCAACATGGCCTACTTATTGGTTGGTTGGCTGGCTCCTTCCTTTTTTCATTTAAGTGATTACTCTGGCCACCAATCTCACAACAAGAACTTTACATGGAGAACAGAAAACCAAACCCAAATGCTCTCTACATGGGGCTCCCCCTGGGGTGCATCCGGAGGCTCCAGCTGGTCCAGAATGCGGCCGCGCAGGGGATTATGGGAGCGAGGGGGCGCTCCCATGTGACATCTCTCCTGCGCGAGCTGCACTGGCTCCCGGTGGTCTTCCGGGTGCGCTTCAAGGTGTTGGTGACCACCTTTAAAGCGCTCCATGGCTTAGGGCCGGGGTATTTACGAGACTGCCTTCTGCCACCAATAGCCTCCCACTGGCCAGTACGCTCGCACAGAGAGGGCCTCCTCAGGGTGCCGTCCGCCAGACAATGTCGGCTGGCGACCCCCAGGGGGAGAGCCTTCTCTGTGGCAACGCCCGCCCTCTGGAACAACCTCCCCCCAGAGATACGTACAATACCAGACCTCTGGACTTTTCGTCGGGCCCTGAAAACTTATTTATTTCACCTAGCCGGGCTGGCTTGATCCCACAGTTTTGGTTAAATTTAATTGATTTTAGTTGGGTTGTTTTAAATTGAGGCCAAAAATATTTAATTATTTTTAAACTGTTTTAAATTTTGTATGTTCTGTTTTATTCTGGCTGTTCATTGCCCTGAGTCCTGCTGGAGAAGGGCGGTATACAAATTAAAACAAAACAAAACAAAGAAAAGAAAAGACGATCTACACAAAAGTTGCTCTGATCTCTTGGCCAGTTATAAAAAGGATAGCGGGATTCAGACCATCTATAAACTTCCATTCAAGATTTTCCCTTAGCATGAAAGATTTAGAATGAATTATTCTGGAACAATGACTTAACATCTTTTAATTTATTATAGGCATACTAGCACATTTGTATTTGGAACGGCTTTACAAAGTAGGTTCCTGCTTATACTATAATTCTTTTTTTCGGCCCAGAAAATACTTTTAGAGGACATAGGAAAAGATAGCTATTAGGACAGCAATACATTGACTTGCCCTAAATACATTTTTTTTTTAACCCTGGCCATGTCCTCACGACCTCTTAATCTCATCCACAGCTCATTTGAGAGGCAACTTTAAGTCGTCCTTATTCACACCAAGATCGAAGTAATATTTGTCCTGCAATTCCGATATTATCTAAAAGCCACCTCAACGTGCCCCAAATCTTCTCTGTCTTCCACTCCTTGAGGGAAACTCAGATGATTGCAATGATGGGGGAACAGATGAATCAGAAGCAAGACAGGGACAGCCATTTCTGATGTCACTTGAGTTTCCTGATGGATCAAGGTGTCAACTTGCAAAGCTTTCAAGTTGCCATGAGCAGGAGGGAGGGAGGAACTGAAGTGAATTCCATATATTCTTTCTGACCGCAATCAGAAGGAGGGTGTTAGGTTTCACAGCCAGCCAAAGTGGTTAATTGGAGAATGTGACTTATGACATGGCCAGAGAGGAGGGAGAGACAGGGTCATAGGGGAACGTAAATCTAGGTAGGATCAGTCCTAACTGCATCTAAGTATTGCGGGAATGTTGCTCCTAATAAATGACTATATTCCCTTTGAAGTTTGGATCATGGCTCATGGATTAATTAGGGCATCTTTCGAAAACTTGACACAAGGATGACGAAGACCACTTTAACTCTGCAGTAGAGAAAGGGCCTTCATCTTGCTTTCATCTTCTTCTCGCGTTGAACCTCAGCATGCAAATGGCCAGATGAAGAACTGAACCCAGGACTTCAATTGTTGTTTTCCAGTACACACATTTCTTGAAAAGAGGAGCTTAGCACCACCACCAACAAGCCCTTGTACCTGCTACTCCGAAAGGTCTCCGGAGGCCACAAGTATGCTTCTTGCCTTCTTTCAACTCCATGTGGCCAACTCGCACTATTTGACACACTAGGCTGACCCGAGGCCGGATCAAGTCGGAACTGCTGAGATCCTGGTGGGGCAACAGAAATGAACACCGAAGTATCAAAGCACTTGGAGCATATTCAATTGGCCTAGGCTTGATCCCATCCCTTCGATTTTAATTTGTAATTGGTTTTAACCCGGGTTGTTTTAAATGTTTTTTAAATTGCTTTTAAATTTTATATGTTATGTTTTACCATGGCTGTTCACCACCCTGAGTCCTGTTGGAGAAGGGCGGTATACAAATTAAATTAAATTAAAATGAATAAATAAATGTGGAAAGAATCTTGTTTATTTGCTTATATCAAGGCGGCAAACATATCCAACACACCTTCCTCTTTTTCTTTCCCCATAACAACAACCCTGTGAGGTGAGCTGGGCTGAGAGAGAGGGACTGGCCCAAAGTCATCTAGCTGGCTTTCATTAATAAGGCAAGACTAGAACTCATGGCCTCTTACTTTCTAGCCTGATGCTTTTATCACTAGATCAGACTGGTTCTCTTATAGAGAGAGACTCACACTCTCTCACTCTTTCTCCGTCCCTCTCCCCCTCCCCTCCCCATCCATCATCTATCTATCTATCTATCTATCTATCTATCATCTATCTATCTATCTATCTATCTATCTATCTATCTATCTATCATCTATCTATCTATCATCTATCTATCTCTATATTCTATCTATCTATCTCTATAATCTATCTATCTATCTAGCTATCTATCTATCTAGCTATCTAGCTATCTCTATATTCTATCTATCTATCTATCTATCTATCTCTATATTCTATCTATCTATCTATCTATCTCTATATTCTATCTATCTATCTATCTATCTATCTATCTATCTATCTATCTATCTCTATATTCTATCTATATTCTATCTATCTATCTATCTATCTATCTATCTATCTATCTATCTATCTATCTATCTATCTATCTATCTATCTATATCTATCATCTATCTATCTATCTATCTATCTATCTATCTATCTATCTCTATATTCTATCTATATTCTATCTATATTCTATCATCTATCTATCTATCTCTATATTCTATCTATATTCTATCTATCTATCTATCTATCTATCTATCTATCTATCTATCTATCATCTATCTATCTCTATATTCTATCTATCTATCTATCTATCTATCTATCTATCTATCTATCTATCTATCTATATCTATCTCTATATTATATAGTCCAAAACCCATGAACGTATGTAGATTTTTGTTGCTGTTGTTGCCTCAAAGTCAGCTTTGACTCCTGTTGAGTGCCTGGACAAATCTCTGCAATTTTCTTGGCTAGATTTCATAAATGGTTTCCCTCCTTCCCAAGGCTGGGAGAGAAGGATTGGGACAAGGTCACCTAGCTTGGACTGGTCTAAAGTCACCCAGCTGGCTTTTATGACTAAGATGGGACTAGAATTCACGGTCTCCTGTTTTCTAACTTGGTGCCTATATATACCATATTTTTTGGAGTATAAGACGTACTTTCTTCCCCCCTAAAAGGGGGTGAAAAATTGGGTGCGTCTTATACACTGAATGTAGCCCTGCCCACCCACTGGCCCCCACCCTTTGGCCTCTGCCTCCCAGCAATTTACCTCCTTGCAGCAAGCAGCAAGAAGAAACAGCTCGTTTCAGCTTCAACGCAGCCTAATTAGCACAAGTTGATTGTCGGTTGGATCGGCCTTCCGACCCTCAGCTGTTTCAGGGATTACCATTGCCTATTGCTGCGCGGGCCTCTGCTGCTTGCTGCAAGGAGGTAAATTGCTGGGAGCAGATTTTTTTTTTCTTATGCTAATCAAGCTATGCTGAAAACGAAAATGAAAGTAAAGCAGGCTGTTTGCTGTTTGCTGCAAGGAGGCAAAATTGCTGGGAGGCAGAAGCAGATTTCTTTTTCTTGTTTTCCTCACCAAAAAAGGTTGGTGCATCTTATAGTCCAGTGCGTCTTATGCTCCGAAAAATACGGTAAATCAAAGCTGACTTGAGGGCAAGCACACAAGCGCTCTTCTCTCTCTCTCTCTCTCTCTCTCTCATATCTATCTATCTATCTATCTATCTATCTATCTATCTATCTATCTATCATCTATCTATCTATCTATCTATCTATCTATCATCTATCTATCATTCACTCTCTCTCATCTCTCTCTCATATCTATCTATCTATCTAATGTATCATTCTTTCTCTCTCATCTCTCTCTCTCTCCCCCTCCCTCCCTCCCCCCTCCCTCCCTCCCTCCCTCCCTCCCTCCCTCCCTCCCTCCCTCCTCCCTCTCTCTCTCTCTCTCTCTCTCTCTCGTCAGCTTTGAGTCCTGGTGATTGCCTCCACAATTTTCTTGGCAAGATTTCAGAAGTGGTTTGCCTCCTTCCCAGGGCTGGGCTGGGCCAAGGTCACCCAGCTGGTTTTGTGCCTCAGGTAGGACTAACACTCGTAGTCTCCTGGTTTCTAGACTTCAGCCTTAACTATTATGCCAAACGGGCTCTTATGCCAATTTCTAGTAGGAGTGTTCAAATGACCAAGGAGTATTTTTCTTTTTGTGCCAAGGGGAAATGATTCAGCAGAACCAGCTTCTACTTTGTTTGCCATCTTTATTAGATGGATTAGGTAAATTCAGTCCTCCTGCTTGCTACAGCGGAAATACCTCTGTCTCTCGGACTTTCTGCCAAAGTGAAATTGAAAACAGGAATGGACATTGTTCCAACAACTGCGAAGCAATCTCAATTCCCCCGTAGCTCCATGGATGGAAAGAAGTTGGGATGAATTGGGTGTGTCTGTGTGTATTGTGGGCGGGGGGGGGGGGGTAGTCGTTTTTGCCAAGATGCCCCAAATAAATTGGGCTAAATAAGCTTTCGACTTATGCCCAACATTTCTGCTGCTAAGTGAGACATTTGCGAAGTGAGTTTTGCCCCATTTTATGACTTTCCTGGCCATAGTTGTTTAGTGATTCACTGTAGTTCTTAAGTTAGTAACATGGTTGTTAAGTGAAGCTGGCTTCTCCATTGACTTTGCTTGTAAAAAGGTCGCAAAAGGGAATCACAGGATCCAGGATACGGCAAACCGTCATAAATATGAATAAAGTTGCCAAATTTCTGCATTTTGATCATGTGACCATGGGATGCTACAACAGTCACTAGTGTGAAAAATGATCATAAGCCGCTTTTTTCAGTGCCATTGTAATTTCCAACGGTCGCTAAATGAACTGTTGTAAGTCAAGGACTACCGGTAATTTTTTTTCCCTCCAGGGAAGACTGCATTATTTGGCAAATGTTAAGAAGGCTCATTACCAACCACTGTTGGTACGATCAATAAAACTAACTTTAGAATGAAGAACCTTGCCTAATGATTATGTTACTATACTGTACATACTAGCTTTTAAAGAGATTAAATTTTCCAACCCTTAACCATAAGCATTATTGGCTATGACTGGGGGCAATTCTTCAAGATCTTAGGTAAGCTTTCCTCCCCAAAATTGAAAGATTAGGGGACAAAACAGACCAAATATCCCAGCCCATATGCCAGGGGTACCAAAATTATTCTGCTCATCGCCCCCTTTATTAATGTTTTGATTGTTCATCAACTCCCAAAGATTTATTACGTGAAAACAATTTAATGAATAGATTAGAATAGAATAGAATAGAATAGAATAGAATAGAATAGAATAGAATAGAATAGAATAGAATAGAATAGAATTCTTTATTGACCAATTGTGATTGGACACACAAGGAATTTGTCTCGGGGCATACGCTCTCAGTGTACATAAAAGAAAAGATACGTTCATCAAGAATCATAAGGTACAACATTTAATGATACTCATAGGGTACAAATCAGGGGTGAAATCTAAAATGTGTTACTGCTGTTCTGTGGGCGTGGCTTGGTGGGAGGGTTTTAATGTGATTGGGTGGGCGTGGCCAACTTTTTTTTTTTTTTTACTTTTAAAAGCATTTTTTCTACAACCTTAAGAGGTTGCAGAAAAAAAATGCTTTTAGAAGCTTCTGAAGATCAGGCAAGTCAGCTGGGATCGCCAGAGGCTTTTAAAGGCATTTTTTCCCCCCTACAACCTCTTCGGCTGAAGAGGTTGCAGAAAAAAATGCTTTTAGAAGCCTCTGACGATCCCAGCTGAGCTGCGTGATCATCAGAGGCTTTTTTAAAAAAAACTTTTAAAAGCATTTTTTCGGCCGAAGAGGTTGTAGAAAAAATGCTTTTAAAAGTGAAAAAAAACAGCCTCTGATGATCGCACGGCTCAGCTGGGTATGGGGGGGGCATGGGTGCAGCGATTTTTGCTACCGGTTCTCCGAACCACCCGCCACCATCGCTACCGGATTGGGCGATCCGGTCTGAACCGGGAGCATTTCACCCCTGGTACAAATAAGCAATCAGGATGCTTATTTGTTAAAATGCTACTTTAATTAAAAAATACTCTGAATAACAAGAGTGGACAATCCAATTGATTTTTGGGATTCAATATTAACCATTTTGGAAAACCCTGAGATACTCCGTAAGGAACACACTAAAATCAATTTGTGTGGTCGACTGGTTGGAAAAAGCTCTTATTTAAGGTATGGCTGAGAATTAAAGCAGCCAGGTATACTTTGAATGTCAAAATGACCTTTTAATAAAGTTTGTTAGCTTTGTTATACAGATAAATCCGAGACATCTTTCCAAACCATTGTGCTTGTTAGACAATGAAATAGATTATGCTGACCCTTCCCATTCACCGCATGGCTCCTTGCCCAATGACGCTATCACAACAAAGGTACAACAAAGGAACACAGTTATAAAAAATGAAGTTATCTGCCAGTAAGCCCAACCCAGAAGGCAAAAGAGAAAATTTACCGTAAAGACAGCTTGGAGGTTGTTAAGCTTTTCAATTTCCTTCGGCATTCCATTACTTCCCCAACGAACCAGGTAGTTTTCACTAAAATAATAGTAATAATATAATAATAAAAGACCTGCAAATAGAAATAGAACGACTGTGGCAAAAGAAGCAAAGGTAGTACTTTTAATATTGCAAATAGTAATGCTGCGTAGGTACTTGGGGTGCAATCCCAAAACAACTGGAGCACCACTTGAGCACCATCGGAAGTGACAAAATTACCATTGGTCTATCAAACATCTGCATTTGCCTGGCCCAGGTCCTTGGTAAAGACTCAATAGGTGGATAAAAGAGGCAAATCCCACCTGAACATCTGGCTGACTGTGTGAATACTGGACAATAGCCATGCTGTTCATGACATGCAAATCACTTTGCCCAGCATTAAAACAATGCCAAGGCAATTTTTTAAAAAATTTGATTTATATGCCGCCCTTCTCCGGAGACTCGGGGCGGCTTACAATGCGCTAAGCAATAGCCTTCATCCTTTTGTATATTTATACAAAGTCAGCTTATTGCCCCCACAAACTGGGTCCTCAATTTACCTACCTTAGAAAGGATGGAAGGCTGAGTCAACCTTGAGCCTGGCGAGATTCAAACCTGCAGTAATTGCAGGCAGCTGGTCTTAATAACAGGGTGCTTTAGACCACTGTACTACCAAGGCTCTTTTATGTCCAAGATGAATGCCAAAGGGAAACAGATTTTTCAGGTGCTTTGGCTTTTATAGAAATAAAACAAGGAAGTCCTTCTGATTCTACATTGCAACATATTGTGAGCCAGTGTCCAAAAGAAAAGAAAAAAGAGAGAGAGAATAAGGGCACGAAGAATTGCCTTAAATGGAAATTATAGTGTTTGAGACTTTTCCCGTCCCCCCCCTTAGGAATAAGATCAGCAAAGGGGAAACTGATAGAAGAGATAGATCTAAAGCACTTGAATATTGTTCGCAACAACATTTTTACAGTTTTATTCAATTATAATGGCTAAGCCACAAGTCCCTGATTTTTTTTTTTAATGAAAAAGGACAGTCGTTTTCTTCAAACTAAAAATCAGCTTTTCATCTTCATAACAGGCCTGTATGAGATACAGGTAGCCCTCGACTTACAATAGTCCATTTAGTGACTGTTCAAAGTCACAATGGCACTGAAAAAAAAAATGACTTGTGGCCATTTTTCACACTTACGACCATTGCAGCATCCCCATGATCACATGATCAAAATTCAGACGCTTGGCAACTGACTTATATTTATGACGGTTGCAGCATCCTGGGGTCATGTGATCGGCTTTTGCAATCTTCTGACACGCAAAGTTTTTTTTTTTAATTTGATTTATATGCCGCCCTTCTCCGGAGACTCAGGGCGGCTTACAGTGCATTAAGCAATAGCCTTCATCCTTTTGTATATTTATACAAAGTCAGCTTATTGCCCCTACAAACTGGGTCCTCATTTTACCTACCTTAGAAAGGATGGAAGGCTGAGTCAACCTTGAGCCTGGCGAGATTCGAACTTACAGTAATTGCAGACAGCTGGTGTTAATCACAATGCCTTTAGTCTGCTGAGCCACCAGGCCCTTTTTAATTAATTTAGTTAATGGGGAAGCCAGATTCATGTAACAACCAATTTACTAACTCAACAACTGCAGTGATTGACTTATTTATTAGTGATATTTCTATGCCGCCCACTCTCCGAGGACTCTGGGCAGCTTACACCAAAGACAGTATACTAAATAGCATATTGCCCCCTAACAATCTGGGTCCTCATTTTACCCACCTCGGAAGGATGGAAGGCTGAGTCAACCTTGAGCCGGTGAGATTTGATCCGCTGATCTGCTGAACTAGCAGTCAGCTGAAGTAGCTCCAGTACTGCACTCTAACCACTGCGCCACCTCGGCTCATGACTTAACAACTGTGGCAAGAAACGTCATTCAATGGGGCAAAACTCACTTAAGAATTTTGGGTTCAATTGTGGTTGTAAATCAAGGATTACCTGTATTGTTAAGCATTAAAGGAATAGAATAGAATAGAATAGAATAGAATAGAATAGAATAGAATAGAATAGAATAGAATAGAATAGAATAGAATAGAATAGAATAGGATTTTTTATTGACCAAGTATGATTGGGCACACAAGGAATTTATCTTTGGTGCATATGCTCTCAGTGTACATAAAAGAAAAGATACGTTCATCAAGAATCATAAGGTACAACACTTAATGATAGTCATAGGGTACAAATAAGCAATCAGGAAACAATATCAATCTAAATCTTAAGGATACCAGCAACAAGGTTACAGTCATACAGTCATAAGTGGGAGGAGATGGGTGATAGGAACAATGAGAAGATTAATAGTAGTGCAGACTTAGTAAGTAGTTTGACAGTGTTGAGGGAATTATTTGTTTAGCAGAGTGATGGCATTCGGGAAAAAATTGTCCTTGTGTCTAGTTGTTCTGGTGTCATCATAAATCTTGGTGATTACAGCCAACATACTGCAGCATACAACCAACATTCCCTAAGACAGGTTTTAGAAAAAGGTTCCACTAGCAACATACCTAATAAATTTGGATTGGTCTGGATCATAAAGGCTCATAAGCAGCTCTGCATCCTCACCAATATTGCAGACAAAATTCTTGAAATTGATGTACAGGCTGTAAGTGTGGGTATTATTAAAGATAGACTGTCCTCGCCGGTCTACATTCTGTTGAAGAGACTTGTTGGGAAGAAGAGATTAAAGGAAATGTGAGAATGTAGGAAGAGCTAAATTATCTAATAAAACTGTCAGTTTTTCCAGCCATTATCTAAGTAAGACTATTTTAGTTTCCCTAAAACTGAAAGTGTGGCTTGCTCACACACCATGGCAACATGTATGCAGAATCAGGGCTTGATTAAATGAATTTTGTGATCAACTAAAAGATCAAAATATCTGAATGCACAACTCATACCTACAGTAGCCAATGCTTCTTTCTTTCTTTCTTTCTTTCTTTCTTTCTTTCTTTCTTTCTTTCTTTCTTTCTTTCTTTCTTTCTTTCTTTCTTTTCTATAGCCACCCAACTCAACTCAGTGACTCTGGGTGGCTTACAATTGAAATTCTACTTATAATAGCTGAAACTATTTTAAATAAATAAATAAACAAACAAATAAATAAATAAATAATTTTATTACAATTCAAATTCTACTTCTAAAAGCTGGAGACACTCTCTTTTCTCAGTTCTAAGATGATTCCAGGCACCACAATATATCAACCATAATGTTCAACATCAGTGGTGAAATCCAATTTTTTTTACTACCGGTTCTGTCGGTGTGGCTTGGTGGGCGTGGTGTGGCTTGGTAGGCATGGCAGGGGAAGGATACTGCAAAATCCCCATTCCCTCCCCACTCCAGGGGGAAGGATATTTCAAAATCTCTATTCCCACCCCACTCTGGGGCCAGCCAGAGGTGGTATTTGCAGGTTCTCTGAACTACTCAAAATTTCTGTTACCTGTTCTCCAGAACCTGTCAGAACCTGCTGGATTTCACCCCTGTTCAACATGTAATTTCCCCACTACACAAGACTTCAGCCCTTAAACTCCACTGGAGATAAAGCACTGGATCTCTTTCTGTTTTTTTTCCCCCTAAGGGATTTCTTCAAAGTGAAATGGTGAAATGTTCATTTAGGCCCAGAAAATATTTCCAATTCTTCCCCCCTTAAAAAGAAAGTACTTGTAAAATGTCCAGGTCGAGGTGGCGCAGTGGTTAGAGTGCAGTACTGCAGCTACTTCAGCTGACTGCTAGTTCAGCAGATCAGCGGATCAAATCTCACCGGCTCAAGGCTGACTCAGCCTTCCATCCTTCCGAGGTGGGTAAAATGAGGACCCAGATTGTTGGGGGCAATATGCTATTTAGTGTACTGTCTTTGGTGTAAGCCGTCCAGAGTCCTCGGAGAGTGGGTGGCATAGAAATATGACTAATAAAAAATAAATAAATAAAATAAAAATAAATCCTAGGCAAGCAGAAAGGCTGCTCACCATCGCTAAAAAAAGCACAGCAATTATTGATCGTGCTGATATTGAAATGTTGAGAAGGAAGTACAAGTTCTATTTGTTCGAAGCATAGCCTCACCACACACTTACATCATGTCATACTGCTGTGAATCTCTTTTGGGTTCCATTATTGCATAAAGTTATTTTTGGGCCAACTTCCTGATCAGGAAACGATATGCTAAAAAAAAAAAACCTGTACCTTTTCTTCTTGGATCCTGTCGTCAATCCTTTTGGATGCTGTCTCGTGTGCTTTAAAGAGTGAAATCATGCTGGTAACGTCTGGATCCAGTATGTTCCCATTATCATCACGCACCACCAGGTCCAGTCCCAAAATCCTTGCAAATAATCCAGAAAAACAAGGAGCAAAGAGGAGACATAGAAAAATAAACCCATCAGGACAAAATTCAGCCAGTTCATCTGTATTTGAAGACAGCAAAGTCCACATTCTGGACAGAGGGGGCTGCTGGTTTAAAAGAGGGGTCAAAGAGGCCATCTGTGTTAAAACTGAACAGCCCGCTCTCAACAAAGGGGCAGGATATCTCACCACCTCCCTCCTGTTTACAACAGTCCTTTCAGCAACTCCAAGAAGGCTCCACACTCATTTGCACTATTCAGGTGACTTTGAGGGCACAGATAAACCTCCAAGTGACTCTGAGAGAGAGCGATAATGACCAGATGACTGCAAGGAACATAACTCCTTCCATTCGCCACCATTCAGCCAGAACTGAAGAAGCTTCTTGGATGAGAAGCGAAACGTCTTCAAGGAAAAAAATAAGAAAGTCCTGTTGCCTTTTGAAAAAGCACCTTTGGGACGAGGGCAAAGAGAGAGACCTAAAAAATCCGGACAGATAACATTTGCCTTCTTCACTTTAATGGCAATAATTTTTCAATTAAACGAAGAATCCAAATCCTAGATCAGGTTATATCTATTTCCAGCAGATGTTTTTAAAAGTCTTCCTTTATCTGCATATCACTGAAAGCTAACTAAACACTTCATATAAAGGAAAATAACACTATCCAGATTCAAGGAAAATGTGAAAGAATTTTGCACAGCTAAAAGAAGAAGTGTACATATACTTAAAATAATTTAATAACAAAATCTGGAACAGGAAGTATGAAGTTCCCCACTGCAGAGTTCCCACTTTAAGGGTAGCTGTAGCCATGAGTTATCCAAACTTTTCCCTATGCAGTTCTAGGATCTTTTAGGAAGCTTCAAACAAGAACTGAAATGCTCAGCAAATGCTGCCGATGAAGCAACGTTATGGCTGTTAGGATATGGTGTAAGCCTAACAGAATTTGAACAGGTATATATTAGCCCGTCCAAAGGGGAGAATATTAGGATATGGTGTAAGGTTGTCCAGGCAATATATGTGTGCTATAACTTTAAATGAGTTCTGTAACTTTAAGATGTAATGCTGAGTAATTTTACTGATGAGTCACTGTAATTGACTGCTGACTGACTGCTGACTGCAATTATCCTAATTGTACTGTTGAGTCATTGCACTGCTGACTCCACTTATCTTAAGTGGATAATTACTAGTGTAAACTGTATATAAGAAGAGAGCCGAGCTATAGTCATTGTTGGTTGACTTGTTGATTGGAACTGTTACCGCTCTCATCGTGGATGGATCTGCTACCATCGTGATTTCTTACCAGCGTTGAATTGCTGTTTATTACCTACTGCTATTTTGTATGGTAAGAAGATTTCTGTAACTCTGGACTGATTTGAATGGCTAAAGACTTGGATTGACTAAAAGACTATGCAATTGTTTTTCACTACAAAGTAAAAGCTTTGTTAAACCAGTCTCTATGTATTGTATTCATTGCCCTCAGTACCGTATCTCTGTGCACTTGGTCTGCTGGTTGGTTAACACAACAATATCCTTAACACTGGCTACAAATAAATTTAGTATCTAAGGCAGGGATGTCCAACCTGGCAACTTTAAGACCTATGGACATTAACTCCAGTGGTGAAATCCATTTTTTTTTACTACCGGTTCTGTGGGTGTGGCTTGGTGGGCGTGGCTTGATGGGCATGGCAGGGGAAGGATACTGCAAAAATCTCCATTCCCTCCCCACTCCTGGGGGAAGGATATTGCACCACTCTGGGGCCAGCCAGAGGTGGTATTTGCTGATTCTGTGAACTACTCAAAATTTCCACTACCGGTTCTCCAAACTACTCAAAGTTTCCGCTACCAGTTCTCCAGAACCTGTCAGAACCTGCTGGATTTCACCCCTGGTCAACTCCCAGGGGAATTCTGGGAATTGAAGTCCACAAATCTTAAAGCTGCCAAAGTTGGACACTCCTGATCTAAGGGTTTCTTTTACATTTTATTTATTCAATCCATTTACTCTGTCACTCTAAGCAGCGAACAAAACAAAACAGTGAACACGAACCAAACCAAAACATGACATAAACTAAATGAAAGAGAACGAAGCACTGAAGGTGTTACCTGGTTTGTTAATGAAAACAACCAAGCTCTGAAAGCACCAAGGACCAGGGGTGAAATCCAGCAGGTTCTGACAGGTTCTGGAGAACCGATAGTGGAAATTTTGAGTAGTTTGGAGAACCAGCAAATAATACTTCTGGCTGGCCCCAGAGTGGGGTGGGAATGGAGATTTTGCAATATTCTTCCCTCAGAAGTGGGGTGGGAATGGGGATTTTGCAGTATCCTTCCCCTGCCTTGCCCACCAAGCCACACCCACCAAGCCACGCCACGCCCACCAAGCCATGCTCACAGAACAGGTAGTAAAAAAATTTGGATTTCACCAGTGCCAAGGACCACGCATAAACTCAACATCCAGAGCTATCTGATTTGGTTGGGCATTAATATCTGCGGTAACTGAATGGTGCACAAAATCTGGATATTGCTACTGTTGGATTCAAAGCATTCTTGCCTACTTATGATCCGAATGTTGGACCTTTCTAGAGCCAATCTATATGAGGGCTGGATCTCTCAAGGTGAGCAATAGCCAAAGACCAGAATGATGCATTGCTATAACACAGAGGTCTTCAAACTTGGGAGCTTTAAGACTTGTGGACTTCAGCTCCCAGAGAATTCTGGGAGCTGAAGTCCACAAGTCTTAAAGCTGCCAAGTTTGAAGATCTCTGCTATAACAAGACCCAGATGGCCACAGCTCCTCCCATCCCAAAACTTGGAGATTCTTAGCCCACTGCACCATCCCAGTAGAGGAGGAGGTGCACAATTTGTAGTTTGTGTTAGGATATTTATTTATTTGTTTGTTTATTGATTGATTGATTGATTGATTGATTTGATTTGATTTGATTTGATTTGATTTGATTTGATTTGATTTATATGCCGCCCTTCTCCGGAGACTCAGGGCGGCTTACAATGCGTTAAGCAATAGCTTTCATACTTTTGTATATTTATACAAAGTCATCTTATTGCCCCCACAATCTGGGTCCTCATTTCACCTACCTTAGAAAGGATGGAAGGCTGAGTCAACCTTGAGCCTGGTGAGATTCGAACTTACAGTAATTGTAGACAGCTGGTGTTAATCACAATGCTTTTAGTCTGCTGAGCCACCAGGCCTATGGATATGGTTTGAGCCTAACAGGTTGTTCAGGCAATATATGTGTTCTGTGACTTTAATATGAATATGTATTGTGTGACTTTAAAGTTTTACTGCTGATTCATTGAAATGCTGAGTCATGCTGTAATTAGATAATCACTGGCTGTAAACGTATTTAAGAAAGGTACTGTAAAGTATTCAGTTGATATGCTACCATAGTGTGTGGAGTTGCTATCATTGTGCTATCATCGTTGGATGGATCTGCTACCATCGGGGTTTGTGAACCAGAGTGAGTTTGTTATTCTAACCGACTACTGTTTGTGTGGTAAGAAGATTTTTGTATCACTGGACTGATTTAACTGGCAAAGACTTGGATTGATTTAAAGACTATGAGATTGTTTTTTTCACTATAAAGTAAACTTTTGATAAACCAGTTTGCACATCTCTTATTCATTGCTCTCAGCAACGTTTCTCTGTGCTCTACACTCTGCTGGTTGGTAACACAACAACAATATCCTTAACAGTTTGCTTCTACTTTAAACAGAATTTTCACTTTATGCTTTGTAGTTGCTGGATTTACTCCTGAAGAGCTTTCCTAGTTACTACAACAAACCAGCTTACCGAAAGAGTTACCGCACATATATTCTGGAATCCCTGTCTGCAGGACTTTTAGTCTAATTGTCAGCCCTGGAAGCCAATCTTTTTCTTTGGCTCTTCAGGGCTGCCACGCTCAGTGCTGTGGGAAACTGGGAGGGGGGATTGCATGGAGTAGCAGGGATATGTAGCCATAATAACATTCCTTTCTCTGAGAGTCAAGGACATCCAGCCTGCACCTGGAATGGCGTAACTGGGAGGCATCTCCAGTTGGGACGGTGCATTGATTGGACCGTATGATGGACATGTGGGTGCTGGGCAGGGACTTGGACTTTTTTTGGGGTGTGGAAAACCTGGAAGCTTTCAGATTCGGGTTTTCCCAGATGTGCCGATATGACATCTCTAATACAATGGAACTTTGAGGAACTTCTGGCCTCAGAGTCTTCTTTCGTTGGGGGTGTTACTTGGAACCCAGACACTAATATCAGTCAAGAGAAGTTGGACAATCTTGCAGTATTTTTGGCAGCCACATAGAAGTAGTTTGCTATTGACATTTCTAGGAAATTCTGCAACTTGGAGCCTGGTTTAGCTCAACAGACAGAAGCACTGTAATTTAACACCAGCTGTCTGCAATTAAAGTAAGATCGAATCTTGCCAAGCTCAAGGTTGACTCAGCCTTCCATCCTTTCTAAGGTAGGTAAATTGAGGACCCAGTTTGTGGGGGCAATAAGATGACTTTGTATAAATATACAAAAGTATGAAGACTATTGCTTAACGCACTGTAAGCCGCCCTGAGTCTCCGGAGAAGGGCGGCATATAAATCAAATTAAAAAAAAAAAAAACTTTCCAGCACAGTCCAAAACTGTGACATTTTATGGTAATTGCTATCCAACTATAATCAAACCTGATTCTGCTTAATTTCCAAGTCTCTCTTTCTTTCTCTCTCTCTCTCACGCAAACATATGCACACAAGAATGTATGTATGTATGTATGTATGTATGTATGTATGTATGTATGTATGTATCAGAGGTGGTATTCAGCAGGTTCTGACCAGTTCTGGAGAACTGGTAGTGGAAATTTTGAGTAGTTCAGAGAACCGGTAAATGCCACCTCTGACTGGTCCCGCCCTCATCTATTCTCTGCCTCCCGAGTCCCAGCTGATTGGGAGGGAATGGGGATTTTGCAGTAACCTTCTCCTGGAGTGGGGAGGGAATGGAGATTTTACAGTATCCTTCCCCTGCCACGCCCACCAAGCCACGCCCACCAAGCCATGCCCACAGAAACGGTAGTAAAAAAAATTGAATCCCACCACTGATGAATGAATGAATGAATGAATGAATGAATGAATGAATGAATAGGGTAGATGTGCAGACTAGAGGAATTGAGTTGTGGCTGCAAGTTCAGCCCCCTACTCCTTCTAGTTATGAAGTCCAACATATTTAAAAAGTGCCAAGCTATTGGAGGAAGTTTGTTGTGTGCAAAGGAAAATAGGTGTCTGGTGGATTTGGAGGTATCTCCATCCTCTAGAGCTCTTTAGAATCAAAATCTCCAGCACCTGTTCCTCAAGCACTAGCTCTGGCATCTGGACAACCCTGTGCTTATTCACTCAATGTGCCACTTGTCCCATAATCTAGTGTGAAATCAGGCTTGGTGTAACAACTCTAAGGAAGTGTTTGGGAAAGGGCAGGAGAACAAAGGAAAATAGGATCCAAAATGAAATGGCAGTATAAAATAAAGTGCCGTGCATACAGAAGTGGGATTCACAGCTTGATGGGAATAAATGTGCTTTTATTTGAAATTGTATCTGTGACTTTAGGTAGCTGGAAGATCCTGCATGCAAACATAAGCTTTGTGCAAATGGGGGAGGAGGGGTTGAAAAATCTCTACCATGAACCTTGACTGAAAACATACAGTTTCAGATATCCAGCACACTGCTGATATCTAACAGCTGTCAAGAGAAGAGACGGATCTTAGTTGGTGGCAGAGTTTGTACTTTGCAGCCACTATTGCACTCTTAGCCTTTATGAGATGAATAATGGGAGCTGACAATATGAGCGTTAACAGTAAATGAACAAATACCGTGTTTCCCTGAAAATAAGACCCTGTCTTACATTTTTCTGTATCCCGAAATAAGTGCTTGGTCTTATTTTCAGGGATGTCTTATTATTTTGGGGCGGATGGAGCAAGACGGGGCTCCTCTTGCCGTCTTACCTGATTTCCAGCTGTCTCCCTAATCCTAACCAGAGGAAATGGCGGGGACCAGCTGCGCATGTAGTTAAATATTTTCGGGAAGGGCTTATTTTTGGGGGGAGGGGCTTATTTTAGCCCATGCGCTCAAAAGCCCGAAAGCTTATTATCAGGGGATGTCTTATTTTAGGGGAAACAGGGTAGCAAAAACAATTAAGAAAACCAAATGGAAAGAAATCAACAAAATATACTTAAGTAAGATGATTGCTCTATACAGGTAGTCCTCGACTTACGCCCACAACTGAGCCCCACATTTCTGTCGTTTTGGTGAGACCTTTGTTAAGCGAGTTTTGCCCCATTTTACGACCTTCCTTGCCACGGTTGCTAAGCAAATCACTGCAGTTGATAAGTTAGTAACCCGGGTTTTAAGTGAATCTGGCTTCCCCATTTGACTTTGCTTGTCAGGTCGTCACAAAAGGGGATCACGTGACTCTGGGACACAGCAATGGTCATAAATATGAACCAATTGTCAAATAGCTGAATTTTGATCATGTGACAATGGGGATGCTGCAAAGATTGTAACAAGTGCTGTTGTAACTTTGAACGGTTACTAAATGAACCGTTGTAAGGCAAGGACTACCTGTATATCCTAATGAAATGCCTGAACCCAAAGTCCACCTTTTTAAAAAATAAATCCATAAACTCAACTTTAAGAGCAGGGCTCATGAGATCAAGGAGACCCTGATGTCAACAAACTGGTCCATCATATCTAGACATACCAAGAACATTTTCTTTTCAAGCTAGTTATTCAGGGTGAGGATGTGACTGAAGTCTGAAAAAGACAGCCCGTGTTACCTGTTGCCATAATCGATTTTGGCGGTGACTTTCTTCTTGAGTTCAGCCAACTCATCCTTGGGGAGAGTGCCTGATAGGATCTGGGATCGCCATTCAATCAGACTATAAGTCATCTGTTGTACATGGCGAAAGAGGGAGCTTTTGTTCTCCTAGAGCAGACAAGAAATGAGAAACAGAAAATTAAACAAATAATACAACAAAGTCATTCTGTACTAATAGGAAACTCATAAGAGAATATTTGTAGCTCAGGGTTGAACTGTGGGGTCCTTGGTGCCCTCTGAGTTTGGTTGTTTTCTTACAGATGCCAACAATCAACACCCAGATAAGCAGAGATCAACACAGGATTAATACCAGACCAATAATCAAGCAATAAAGAATACCTCAATGAAGGAACTACCAACTCAGACAAACAATCAAAGTGTAAACAACAGCCTAATCGAGGAACCAAGAACACTCTCACAAACATTGACAGGGCAAGCCACTTGTATATAAGCAGAGAATTATCCACCTTCTAGCACTGAGGAGGTTACCTAGTTGGGTAATGAAACATCTGCATGAAAAGCTCAAAGGGCCCACAGGAAACTCATAGCCTTCCACTATTCATTTCCCAAAGGATTAGACTGAATCCAAATGAATCACCTATATCAGTGATGGCTAACCTTTTTGCCATCGAGTGCCAAAAGCGGGGAGAGCATGGGGGGCGTCACGTGCACGCGTGCCCCCACCCATAATTCTATGTGCCCTGCCCCCTGCGCATGCGCACATGACCCCCCCATGCTCCCCCCACTTTTGGCATGTGATGGCACGGTGGGCCACCGGACTTCTGGTGGAACGGGAGGTCAGGAAACAGGCCGTTTCTGGCCTACAGAGGGCCTCCAGGGGGGTGAAGAAAGTCGTTTTCATCCTCCCCAGGCTCCTAGAAAGACTCTGGAGCAAAAAACAGGCCTTCTGGTCCTACCGGAGACCCTCCGGAGCCAGAAACAGTGTGTTTCCTGACTTCTGGTAGGCCCAGAAGGCCTGAAAATCAGCTGGCGGAGCTCAGCTCACGTGCCCACCAATATGGCTCTGTGTGCCACCTGTGGCACGCGTGCCATAGGTTCGCGATCACAGACCTATATATTAGATCATTGAACAGTATGTATTTGGTTATATCTTCCTGCCTTTCCAATTTATCTTCACAAGTTCACATTCCACAGTGGAAGTATCCTTGGTAACTTTCAGCCAGCAAGGTTGTTAAAAGAAAAACAAGGACGTAGTAGAACTATGCATGCCAGCTTGAGTTTCTGAAGGAAAGGCAGGACATAAAGCAAAGTGTAACCACCTCTTTCTGGTTTCTAAAATTGTTCCTATGGTTATAATAGCCCATAAAGCTTACCCACTTGATCCCGTTATTTGCTTTGGGAGAGAACTTATGGTGGCCCAATAAAGAGAATTAGTACTTACCACATACAGCCTATGCCAGATCACTACCCATTCTCGCAAAGTAGAGGTGAGTTCTTGGACCAATGGAAGTTCACTAGGAATTACTGTCTCATTTTGTCTATGGAAAAGCAGTTGAAATTATTATTGGTTATTTACGGTCTGCCCAACAAACTGTTTTTAGGACTTACTAGATTTACATATATACATGTATTTGCATGTCTTATTTATTAATTAATTAAGGCCTTTGAACTCTGGTGCTGGAGAAGACTCCTGCAAATCCCTTGGACTGGAAGGCAATCAAACTAGTCAGTCCTAGAGGAGATCAACCCTGACTGCTCTTTAGAAGGCCAGATCCTGAAGATGAAACTCAAAATACTTTGGCCATCTAATGAGAAGGAAGGACTCACTGGAGAAGAGCCTAATGCTGGGAAAGATTGAGGGCAAAAGAAGAAGGGGACGACAGAGAATGAGGTGGCTGGATGGAGTCACTGAAGCAGTCGGCATGAGCTTAAATGGACTCCAGAGGATGGTAGAGGAAAGGAAGGTCTGGAGGAAAGTTGTCCATGAGGTGACAATGGGTCGGACACGACTTCGCAACTAACAACAACAATTTATTAATATTCTTCCATTATTGCTTAAAAAAAGTTCCAAAGGTTTAACTTGGCTCATTATGGATGAGGCTATTGGGGCTACTGAAAGGAAGCATTCCTCAGTCTCACCTGTCCATCTCCTAGACACTATTTCGTATCAGTTCTCAACTATTTGGTTGGTTAAATAAAACTTGTGAACACTGGATGAAATAATGCAGACAACTCCTTGCAGAACTCAATTCACAGAATGGAACTTGTATAATTCAAAGAAATAGAATTCTAGGATTTGTTGCATTTTTTTAAAAAAAAATGATCTTGGCTACTCACCCACCATCTTGCACTGTTGCCTCCTTGAGATGAATGTAGGTTGCTGGGAAGATACCCTAAACAAAAGACAAAACAATCTATGACTTTATCAAATGGGTAGAGAACTATGAAAGCAAGAATCTGAGGTTCAAGCTTCTATCACTGTAGGAACTCTAGCCCAACAGCTCTATTTACCATCACGGATGGCAAAACGATTACTATTTCCTATAATAAGTCAAAGAAGTATGATCTCGATCAATTTCTTCCTCTACTACTATAAGGAAGAAAAGTGAGTGCGTTCTGCCCCAGCTACGGACCCCAAAGAACGCAGCACACACAAAGTCTGTACAAACCTTAGTTTACTAAATTAAATCAGTCTTTTTCAAACAAAGGCTGTTAATTAACTTTCTTAACAGCCTACAAGAATCCAAAGAATAAATAATCGTAATCTTACTATGGTTGGCAGAAAGCCCAGAAGCAATTTGCAGAGAACTAAGATCCAGACGCAAAGGAGAGTGAACAAAGTTGTTCCCTGCAAATTGCCTCAGTCGGCGTTCCTCCTTAAATAGGCTAAGGGAGTGGCCAATTAGCCCCAAGCCTTTCTCTCGAGGAGACCTCCTCCTGGGGAGCCACTCCTGCCTGTTGGCAGCTCTGCGCGCCCGTGCATCAAGAAGAGGCTCCTCCTCTTCTTCCTCTTCACCCATGGGAGCTTCTGGAGGTTCTGAAGGCCCTGGCTCAATCCTCGCCTCTGGCACCACATCTTCTCCAGCCTCCTCATTGTCCGATTCGAGTGCCAGTTGCACAGGCTGCTGGCACAGCACCACACCAGCCTCCTCACTGTCGGAATCAGTTACTAGCTGTACAGGCCGCTGATGGGCCACAACAGAGTGACAAGTCACAAGCGCAAGAAAATCACAAACTCAGAGAGCCCCAGGGACCCCACACTTAAACCCTGAGCTACAAATATCCTGTTCTATTGCTACTATAATCTTGGTTATGTGAACTATATGTAAACTATCTTTACATATCCTTCCAAACCTTTGCTTTTTTCCTCTCTTGTTGAACTGCCTCTTGGAATACCGATAGGATGCTATGTTCCTTACATTTAGGATCTAAAGCATGAGAGGTACAAGAGATATTAAACTTGTCCCCTGTTGATATCCTAATCATCCTGAAAGTTTTTAGTAGGAAAGCTAGCAGGTAGCATCATTGAGCGACTCAAAACCACCACACACACAAAAAAAAATGTGGGATGGTTTTGTATTCATTTATATTCTGGCAGAGAAGGGCACATATTTCCATAAAGAACTCCTTTCAATGCAATCTTAATTGACTATCACTGGTAGCTTTTAGAATTATGCACAAGGAAGCTGTGCCAGCAGTTTTAATCCATGAAGAATAATCCCTCTAATGTAAGGATCATGCTAATAAATATGATAATTTGAAAAAGAAGAGGGTTAAAAGAAGACATCTTTTCCTCTGAAAGCATTAGAGAATTCCAGCTCCCACTGCTGATCTTAATTTTATGCGGATGGTAAGTCAGTCCTAGAGGAAGTAGTTATATTCATAAGCAGCAAAATTCTAATAAACACCTAAACCATGCAATTTCCCCATCCCTTCCTTTAATTAACTCTGCCTCCAATTTTTCATTAGTCTAATCACAGAGACAGTTCCCTTCCTTGTAGATCGCATCAATTATCCAAATCAACAAACTTCTACTTTTTAAAAGATCAATTTTTCATGCTTCAATTTGATGTCCAAATATAGATTGAAATTTATATTTTTTAAGATCTAAAGCCAATGCCACCCATCGGCAAATAACTATGCCTTTGTATTAATATACAGCATTTATTTAAGAAAATTTATATGGCTACCCAAGTCATTCTCAGTGACTCCCACTGGTATGCTTTGTTCCGTTACAATCCTTCCAGAAAGCATGCTAGAAGCCAAACAGCCAAACTTTTCATGTTTAAAAGTAAAGGTTCCCCTCGCACATATGTGCTAGTCGTTCCCGATTCTAGGAGACGGTGCTCATCTCCGTTTCAAAGCCAGAGAGCCAGCGCTGTCCGAAGACGTCTCCGTGGTCATGTGGCCGGCATGACTAAACACCAAAGGTGCACGGAACGCTGTTACCTTCCCACCAAAGGTGGTCCCTATTTTTCTAGTTGCATTTTTTATGTGCTTTTGAACTGCTAGGTTGGCAGAAGCTGGGACAAGTAACGGGAGCTCACCCCATTACACGGCACTAGGGATTCGAACTGCTGAACTGCCGACCTTTCAATCGACAAGCTCAGCGTCTTACCCACTAAGCCACCGCGTCCCTTTCATGTTTAGGAACATAAATAATACACAAAGCTGATCAACGTGTCCTTATATAACTTGACATGTTTCTTTCAATAATGTCAGTTTTGGAAAATCTACCTCCTTCCCCAAAATTGAACATTTCAAGCCCACCTCTCCATAATGCTGTTTTCCGCCACCATCAGAAAAAGATCCAAAAAAGATTGGCTACTTTGTTTTTAAAAAGGCTCTAGTGATCCCTCATTCTAATATCCCAGCTAAGGATCATTTCTGTGAGTGGAAGAACTCTTTATGCACATCAACTGCTCAGAGACTGATGGGGTTTCACCCATTCCTCCCTCAAAAAGAAAGTCTTTCCAGAAAGATAAATGAGCTGTGGATTAAAGATCTGAGGAAAACATTGAGAATGAGATCCCCAACCACTTGCAAAGCTGTGGTAAATAATTTCCGCAGATCAAGACAGACTCAGTGACACTAATGCATTTCACACAGAACATCAAGATGGAAATGGCTCCAACACAGTTTAAAGCTTTGATTGTCCCACTGTGATACAATGGAAGCTATCCAAGAGCGCAAAGAAGCTACTGTAGTTAGATTCTGGCTTGCTCGCTTGCTTGCCAGAGAAATCTAAAGGCACCTTTCCAGTCTAGACAGGATCTGGATATAGTTCAAAGAAAAAGAATTTGGAAAACAGAAAACCAGTTCTATCACATCTCCCAAAGTGAATTGTATTCAATAGGAAATTAAAATGGTGCCCTAAATATTGTACTGAATCCAGGGGAGAAAAAAATCACAATTCAAGTAATTATGGATGGGATGAGATGGGAAGGGAAGGGAAAGGAAACCCTACGGATCTGTCAGGAAGAAACTTGTCAAAATTTGAGTGAAATGATCATTGACTCCAGAACTCCTATTAACTGAACAAAACTCCTACAATACAGTTGGCAATCTGTGGCTCAAAATCCCCCTTTTTTCCATACCCTTTGTAGGCCATCCAGAGGTGGGTTTCAGCAGGTTCTGACCAGTTCTGGAGAACCAGTAGTGGAAATTTTGAGTAGTTCGGAGAACTGGTAGTAAAAATTCTGACTGGCCCCACCCCCATCTATTATCTGCTTCCCAAGTCCCAGGTCATCAGGAGGAAATGGGGATTTTGCAGTAACCTTCCCCTAGATTGGGGTGAGAATGGAGATTTTACAATATCCTTCCCCAGCCATGCCCACCAAGCCACACCCACCAAGCCATGCCACACCCACCAAGCCACACCCACAGAACCGGTACTAAAAAATGTTGAAACCCACTACTGAGTCCATCCCATAATTTAGTAGGACCAGTGCTGGAAATCGGCATTAAGACAGTAGGCAGTCTTTGGGGACAGGGGACATTTTTCGAATTTTGACAATACCCGGCATATACTGCACCCTATCAAGACGAGGGGTATGGCTCAAGATAAAGGGAAAGACCAAGAATATTGAAAAAGTTTGGGCTGGCTGAAGCCGATGAGATCTTCTAAGTGAAAAATTTAAAAGGTGGAAATGGCAAGCAATATATAGAGAGAGACAGAAGAAGCACAGATGCTGTGCGATGATTGTAAGATATAGAGAAGTTTAGCAAACAGTTTTGACAAGAACTAGATTTTTTTTTTCTTACATCATGCCTTCAATTATTTTGTCTGATTAAATCTTATTCCCTTTTTGCATTCTGTATAGAATACCTCACTGGTAGAACTTTTCTCTCTTTGCCTTAGGAAGATGGAAGAAATCAAAATAAAATTTGCATCATGCAAAATTGAATTTTTCATAATCGAGGCTACTGTATACAAATATGAACTCATTTGCTTACTTGGCATCATAATTTTAAAAATCAGTTACAGTGACTTACTTAAACACACCCATATCCTCCATAGTCCTTAACCACCAAAGTAGTGAACTGAACTGTGACCTCAAAATTTGGCTGCATGTTACCCATAGATTGAATGCTGCAAATATTCCTCATAATCCAATTATCCACAGACTGGTTCTATTTCTAATCCAGGCTTTTGCTGCTTGCACACCTGTTTTGAAGTGTGCTCCTGGTAAAAGAGCTTGCTGTTAGATCGTCACACTGTTAACAAGATCTACTTCTGTCCTACTATCGCAGCACCTTTGAGAGTGTCCTGACATATGGCATGGTATGGGAGCAGCTCTGTAGCGGACAAAAAAGCTCTACAGAGAATCATTAAAACTGCCCAGAATATCATCGGACTCCAGCTACCAGCCCTGGACGACATCTTCGAATCTCACTGTTTGAGGAAGTTGCATAACATTCTCAGAGACTCTTCCCATCCTGCTTACCATCTTTTTGGACTGTTGCCTTCTGGCAGAAGATACAGAACAATTAAAACTCGGACCACACGTTTTCTGAATTGTTTTTATCCCAGAGCTATAATTGCACTCAACAATGAACTAAAGGGCCATCATCGGTGAGCTGTTGGACAGCATTACTTGGTCTGTTGTGTGGATGTTTGGCTGGTTTAGGGGCGGGGAATTTGTGGTGGGTGGGAGTGTGTTTGGGGATTGTTAGGTGTGTTGGACCTGGTCTTTGGGTGTTAAGTGAATTTTGTTGTATGGGTATACTGTGTATACACGTACAATGACAATAAAGTTATTAAATTAAATTAACTCGTAACTCAACTTGCAGGATAGGCACATTGTATCCTTATTTTTTCATAATCTGTTGGCTCCTACCAATCTTCAAAGCATCTGAGGAACCAATGTTCCCGTCTCATGTATTGGTATGCCTTCTTGACCCTTTTCTTGCTTTTTTCACCAAATAGTGTCCTCAGGACCACAGTGAGCCAGCTTTTTAAACCATAAAAACCAAAAACACAATGATCTATTTTATTTCCCTTCTGCTTAATTAATATTGAATTGCAAAAGTGGTGAATATCTGTAGCTCGGGTATAGGGTGAGGGTTTGTTCTCAGCGCTTGTGGGTTGGTTTCCAAACATTTCGTTCCATCACAAGACCCATCGCAAGACTCACTGATGACTCACAGCTGACCCATCACAAGACCCCCACTTCACACACCCACAACTGAAGTCCTTATAAACAGAGAAACACCAACACTGACATCCCCTGAACTCCGCTGAAGATGTTACCTAGCATGGTAACAAAACGTTTGGAAACCAGGGTGGATAAAAATCAATGTTTTTTTTTAAAAAAAATCAAAAAAATCAGATTTTTTTTATTTAAATCGGATTTTTTTTTATTTAAATCGGATTTTTTTTATTTTTATTGAATTTATTTTAATAAAAAACTTTTGGGGTAAAAATCTATCGTAAGACAGTTTTCTATTTAAGATACATAAATAATTTAGTTTATTCAGCATGAAATGGAGCTTAGTTATGTAGCATGAGGCTGTATATTCTGCAACACTGGGACTATCGGTGAGTCAACAGTGGGTCAAAGGAGTAGCAGAGATGACAGTTGCTCTTTAAAAATTATGATTTAAATCGAGTTGATTTAAATCAAGCCTTTTCACTAGTGATTTAAATCATGATTTAAATCATGATTTAAATCGACTCGATTTAAATCAAATCCACCCTGTTGGAAACCAACTCACAAGCTCGGAGAATGAACCTTCACCTTCATAATATTGAATTATTGTATGGCTAAGTGCTGAGAGGTTTTCGATACTGATTGAAAAGCTGTTAGAGAGGCGGCAAGATCACAGAAACGTAGAATGCATAAAGCCCAAAAATATTCTTTTTAAAAGGCTACTACGATTTAGGAAAAGCTTGAGAGAAAGGAGATGCGATAGAAGACTGATGGGAGATGGAAGTTGCGCCAGGAATGCCAAATAAAATTTAAGAGCAAAGATTCAGAGGCATTAATATACAGACACAAAGGGGGAAAACAAAAATATTTGGAGCCTGCTGTACCTTTTTGGATTTATTTCGAAGGCTGTAGCCTCTGTACCAGTCTGTCAAGGAAGAAGAAAACATACACAAAAATGATTTTACAATCATCAATTATTTTCAGAATTTAGTACAATGATTCTGCAAACATTATGCTTGTTAAACGTGGAACCAATTTCAACAACATTCAGTTAACATTTCTTGCTATTTAAATTACAGTTAAAATTCAACAAGATTTAAGCTGCAATTGACACACGTTTGAATACAATTACTTAAAAGGTCATATATGGAGTTTTGTTCTTTCTGCAATTGTTTATAAAAGGACTACATCCCTAATGATTCAGATGTTGGCTGGGGATTATGGTGGCAGTCATTCAATCTACCCAGAAGGATACCAGTTTGGAGAACACTAATAACATGCTTGCAGTCTCAAAGATCCAATTCACTAGCCAAGATAACAAAAATACCTAAAATGAGAACCTCTTAATTAGGAGTCTACTGAAACAGAACAGAGATTGTTGATCGTTAATCTCTCCCGAGATTAGCGAGATTAGAACAAACCCAAACAATTTGTGATTAAAATAGCATATGGGTTCTTTTTAACCACATTTAAAATAGTTAAAACTATGTTTAAAGATAAAAGCACGGAAACAATTGTGAACATTTCTTCAAATTAAAAAAAAAATGCAATACAGGTACTCCTCAATTTACAACTACAACTGAGAACCAACTTTTTTTGCGGTTAAGTTAGAATTTTCTTAAGTGAGTTTTGCCCCCATTTTACGACCTTTCTTGCCACAGTTGATAAGTGAACCACTGCAGTTGTTAAATTAGCATCACGTTAAGCATCATGTTAAGTGGACCTAGCTTCCCCATTGACTTTGCTTGTCAGAAGATATCAAAAGGAGATCCCATGACCTTGGGACACAGCAATGGTCATAAATATGAGTTGCCAGGCATCTGAATTTTGATCACATGATCATAGGGGTGCTGCAAAGGTCGTTAAGTGTGAAAAATGGTCGTAAGTCACATTTTTCAGTGCCATTGTAGCTTTGAACAGTCACCAAAAGAATGGTGGCAAGTCGAGGACTACTGGGACCAATCAATACTATAAACTAGGACAGGGGTGGGCAAATATGGCCCCTTTATGACCTGTGGACTTCAACTCCCAGAATTCCTGAGCCAGCTTGGCTGTCTCAGGAATTCTGGGGGTTGAAGTCCACAGGTTGTAAAAGGGCCACAGTTGCCCACCTCTCAACTAGGAGCGTCCAAAGTTGGAAGGGAAGGAAAATTAATATAAGAAAGGAGCCGTTGAGATACCATAAAGCTACTCCCATGAGTAGCTAGCCAGAGAGAAGCACATTTTTTTGGAGGAAGGAGCACAATATATAAAATTTGTGCTACACTCCCTAATATAATCTGCTGATGGCTTGAGTATGCTTTTATTTATATATATATATTTTTAGAAAAATGAAATCAGAGTATGAAATGGTCCTGTACTACACTGCTGTTTCTGGGACTGGGGGGGTGGGGGTGGGGCGAGATCTCAATATGGAATATCCAACTTAATTCAAGAAGTCATGCAAAACTAGAAACAAGGCAAGTGGTGTCTCCCAGATGGATGCTGTCATAGCTGTGAACAGTCGTCATTGAGAAATAAACAAGCCAGATGCCAGCTCCGGCCCTTTTCAGCCTGGAACAAACTGTACCAGTTTCAGCTCATTTGATAAATTCTGCCATGGACCACAATAGCCATTGTGACACACACACAAACACACACGCACACAGGCTCCAAGCATCTCATGGCCAGATATAGAAAACCCTCCAAATCAGAAAGCCCAGGAATTCAACTAAGCAAGTTAGATATAAAACAGATGTGATAACAAGAGATGCTATCAGAAGTTCTTATTTAGGTCTCCAGCTGGTCAGATGTGCCTGTTCCATAAGTGCTCCAAAGACTCCATTACATTCTTCTGGTATGATTCTCATTTGTTCTCAGATATTCAGCATCCAATGTTTTGTTTAGTTGCCTCTTTGTTGGAGCCATTAGCTTTTCTCTTAAGCCTTTCCTTTCCTTTCCTTTCCTTTCCTTTCCTTTCCTTTCCTTTCCTTTCCTTTCCTTTCCTTTCCTTTCCTTTCCTTTCCTTTCCTTTCCTCTCCTCTCCTCCCTTCCCTTCTCTTCCCCTCTTCTTCCTTTCCTTTCCTTCTTTCCTTTCCTTTCCTTCTCTTCCCCTCTTCTTCCTTTCCTTTCCTTTCCTTCCCTTTCCTTCTCTCCCCTCTTCTTCCTTTCTTCTTTCCTTTCCTTCTTTCCTTTCCTTTCCTTTCCTTCTTTCCTTTCCTTCTCTTCCCCTCTTCTTCCTTTCCTTTCCTTTCCTCTCCTCTCCTCTCCTTTCCTTCCCTTCCCTTCTCTTCCCCTCTTCTTCCTTTCCTTTCCTTCTTTCCTTTCCTTTCCTTCTCTTCCCTCTTCTTCCTTTCTTCCTTTCCTTTCCTTTCCTTCCCTTTCCTTCTCTTCCCCTCTTCTTCCTTTCCTTCTTTCCTTTCCTTCTTTCCTTTCCTTTCCTTTCCTTCTTTCCTTTCCTTCTCTTCCCCTCTTCTTCCTTTCCTTTCCTTTCCTTTCCTTCCCTTCCCTTCTCTTCCCCTCTTCTTCCTTTCCTTCTTTCCTTTCCTTTCCTTTCCTTTCCTTTCCTTTCCTTTCCTTTCCTTCCCTTTCCTTCTCTTCCCCTCTTCTTCCTTTCCTTTCCTTTCCTTTCCTTCCTTCCTTCTTTCCTTTCCTTTCCTTCTCTTCCCCTCTTCCTTTCCTTTCCTTCCCTTCCCTTCCCTTCTCTTCCCCTCTTCTTCCTTTCCTTCTTTCCTTTCCTTTCCTTTCCTTTCCTTTCCTTTCCTTTCCTTTCCTTTCCTTTCCTTTCCTCTCTCCTCTCCTCTCCCCTCCACCCTCCCTTCTTATCTTCAAAACCTCCACTGAGTTGTCGATATTATAAATCTGGCTGCATCAGGATTCTTAGAAAAAAGTGTATCCTATAAGTGGATCCTATTAGGATCCTATCCTATCCTAATATACATTTCCCAAAAAAGCAATTGCAGACAGGCAGATATAAATGATAACCTCACACCAAGGCTTCCAAAGTTGTATCAATGAAGATAAGGATCTATGAAATTTGGGAATGTTCAAACATCATAAATGATCAGTGGAGACCAGTTTTCCTGTATTTAAAGCAGAAGTCAGCCATTAACTGCCTGGTCTTCACACTTTGCATTGCAACAGCCATCAGCTAAATAAGGAAACACATTCTTGAATTGGTCTCTGAACTTTGGCCTTATTCATTTGAATGAATGACTCAGTCCATCCACAAGATTTCCAGTTGGATAAAAGTAGATGAAGAAAGTGGAAACTTTAAAGATAACTCCTCAGATTGTTCCATATCCCATGAATACTCAAATTTGAATTTAGCACACCTAGCTAGTTGCACTGATTTTCCACCAGTTTACTGGAAAGGCTTTATAGTAGGGATCTCCAACCTTGGCAACTTTAAGCCTGGAGGAATTCTGAGAGTTGAAGTCCGCCAGGCTTAAAGTTGCCAAGGTTGGAGACCCCTGCTTTAGAGGAAGGTCTTCCAGCTCTTCTTCTCCAACAGATCCATCAAAAAAATTCAGGTTTATATGGGAGTATATTTCTTTACTCAAAAGAGTTGAATCCCATATGTTGAAAGATAGGTAGATGTATATAATCCCGATACTAGCTGCAGCCAAAGATCAGTTTTCTTTGCAGGAAAGAGAAACAAGGAGAGGTCTCGGGCAACTGCTGTTCCAATGGAAGACTCTGAGTTGAGGGGAAGGGATGACTTCCTAACAATAGATTTAACATGCCAAAGAACCAGAGGATGAACTGATCTACCATATGAAAAAAGAGAGATAAGGTTAAAAAGAGCCTAGTGGCACAATGGACTAAACTGCTGCTGTTCAAGTAGCACTTAGCTGCCAGCTGCCTGCAATTACTGCGAGTTCAAATCTCACCAGGCTCAAGGTTGACTCAGCCTTATAAGTCCTACTTTAATAACATTTCAAAGCGGGCTCCCCATAAAATCTAATTTAACATTTATTCCACTCTATCCATTTCCTCCACTCCCCTAAATGTATCACTTAAAAATCCCTTTTCTTAAACTAATCAGTCTGTAGCTAGCTTATTCACCCACTGTCTTACAAATTTACCATACACAACAATTCTTGATATCTTTAATTCACTGCCCACACTACTTAAAAATATATATATATATATATTCCATTATATCTAAATAAAAAAAGAAAAGACAATAACTTTAAATTTATAGTCCATATAATATCTTCTTGAAGTCTTTCCACTGGATTGTTAAAACCAACATCCATAATAGGGTGACATAGCTTGCGGATGCAACAGTTTATTCAAGATCTCCAATCATATCTGCCCCCATCAGTAGTAAACATCTTCTTATATATATAAAAGTAAAAACAACCACCCGAGTGACATTATAATTGTATTCCATATAATAATAATTGTGGGTTTCATCAGGATTATTAATTTCCATCATCGTATTGGGTAACAACCCGATCTTCTGCATGTCCCAATGTGATTCTCTTGCCTTATAATTCAAGATAATTATAATATATTTATCAACACAAAAAGAAGTTTCAAAATAGATAATTCAAAACCATCAATTTGAGGCTCTTTCCATGTCCCAAAATTACGGCAATGCAGAGATCTGCCACTATCCTCAGGATGATATTGACCAATATGTCGCCTCCTCTATGTTTTCACATAATCATTCATATTTTAAAATCACTGGCTTCACTGTTGCTTGGGTTAGAAATTTCTATTTTTGTACAACCTATTTCTTTTTTTGTTTTCTTTTTGTGGGTTTGACCTCCATCCTAATTTTTTGTGTCTCGCATTTCTTTTTTATCCCTTGTATATCCTCTAATTGGTTTCCATGCTTGTCCTTGCCTTGATAAGTCATCACATTAAAATCAGATGGCACTTCTCTCAAATTTGTAGATAATCCAGCTGGGGTATCCGATAAATCCAGAGGCAATTTATCTGGTACAGTCTCTGTCTTTAGTTCCAGCTCCTTCTGCTTATCCTGTATTATATCTGAAGACGTTAAATTCATTTTCAACCTATTTTGATAAAATTCTTCCGCCCTTTCAACAGTATTTAACTGGTATCTTTCTCCTTGATATCTCAGTATAATACCAACTGGGACGTCCCACCGGAATTGAATATTTCTCCTTTTTAACTCAGACACCAGAAAGCCAAATTTCTTCCTTTCCATTAGTATCTTAGGTGGGAGTTCCTTGTAAATCCAAATCTTTCTTCCATACAATTGCAAATTAGAATTGAAGGAATTTTGCACAATTTTATTCCTAATTTCTTTATCTGAAAAATAGATTACCACATCTCTAGGCAATTGCCTTTGCTTGGCAGTCCAAGAGTTTATTCGATAAGCTCTGTCAATCCTACAAAACACTTCCTCAGGTTGAATCTTTAAAATCCCAGCTAGAAATTCAGAAGATATTTTCCTTAAGTCATCTCTGTTATTTTCCTGCAGACCTCTAAGTCTTATTGCATATTCTGTGAAATTATATTGTATCTTTAGAACCTCTTTTTGAATCCTCTGTTCCAGATATTCTACATTACCAGACTTTTGGTCAGCATCCATTTTAAATTTTTCTTCTGAACTATAATCCTGAATATTTAACAAATCATTTTCAATTTTTTGAATTCTATTGTCCAATTTATCTTGAATTTCATCCATTTTTGACTCTAGTAAATTAGTATTTGTATCCAACCGAATCATGAATTCTGGCAATTTTAAAATTTTTTGCTGCAAAAAGTCAAACTTGGATTTCACCAATTCCTTAGTTTCCTGCTTAAATTTTTCAAGTTGCTGATTCACAATCTCATCCCTTCTTTCAATCTCCTCTAAGAGAAATTCTATTATATTAAAATCAGGTTTCTGGGACTGAAGAGTTAAAACATATTGCTTTAAATTCTTAGTGGGGGAAACCCCCCCACCTATTTGTTTGTCTGACTTCACAAGCCTCAGTGCCATGTTTCCGCCTAAGCAGGCTTTGTTAGAAGAAGAAAAAAAAAAAAAACAAGACAAAAGACTTCCAGCCAGCAACACTCAAGCCTCCAGGGAAAAAAGAGAAAAACAAAAACAGGAGCGGAGTTTTGTCTACAAATGTAGCCAGTGGTATTTATTCCGCTACATTGTAATAATAAAAAACGGAAGAACTTTCCCTCTCAAACTCTTCTCCAGCCGCGGCAGACGCCATTTTAAAAAGAAACTTTTTTCCTCTTTCTCTTCCTCTATTCTCTTAAGTAATTTTTAAAAGATAAGTAAAATACTTGCGCTTCAGTATTACAGGTCCAGCTCACATTTTCTTTGAGTAATCTGTCAAATTCGCAAGCTTGCTTTTGACGCCTGGCTCTGCATTAGCAGAGGTCTCCCAAAGCCCGGAGCAACGGCTGGGGATATGGGGCATCTCATCCGCTCCATCCCAAAAGTAAAAGAAAAACTTTTGGGACTCTGCAGAGAGTTCTACCCACCCCTGCCGGCTCTATCTCCGTTTCCTCATGGGAACGGAGTTTTTTCGAGCCGCCGTTCCGTTGTGAAGGCGGCTCTGACAGGCAGTGGAAGCTGACGATCCCAAAGGAACGTCTGGCGGCGGCCAGCAGCAAACAGGAAGTTCTAATGCTTTGAAAAGCCTCTGCCGATCAGGCAACTCAGCTGGGATCGTCAGAGAGGCTTTTCAAAGCATTTTTTTTACCATCTCTTCGGCCAAGAGATCGCAGAAAAAAATGCTTTGAAAAGCCTCTGACGATCCCAGCTGAGCCGCGCAATCATCAGATGCTTTTTTTTTTTTTTTTTTTTAAAAAAACATTTTTTTTTTTTTAAAAGTAAAAAAAAAAAAGCCTCTGATGATCGTGCGGCTCAGCTGGGCATGGGGGGAGGGCAGGGATTTTTGCTACTGGTTCTCTGAACCACCCGCCACCATCGTTACCGGATCGGGGGATCCGGTCCGAACCGGGAGCATTTCACCCCTGCACTGGAGCACCTGTACATTTCTACTGAGCAAAACTTTAAAACAACATGGTCAAGCTAGAGAAGATGCAGAAAGGAGCAGCTGGGCTATATGGCAACTGACTGGCCATTGGTGGAAAATAATATCGATCTTCACAGCTTCTTATATTTGAAATTCCTGCTTCAGATCTTAAGAGTGCTCTCTCTGGAACGGATACAACAATAATCGGTATCACCGGGTTTCATTACCTGAGTTTTATTTGCTTTGTCTCTTTCCATTTTGTTGATCCATACTTTCAAATATAGAACTCGGTGTCTCCCACTGGATCTAGGAGCCCTTCCCATTCCCTCTTGGCAACCCAGAGCCTGCTTACCTTCATACATCTCCAGGATGTGAACGGTATCCCCAACCTGTAAAGAGAGCTCCACATCCTGGACTGCTTTGTAATTGTAGATGGCTGAAAAACAAAAGCAACAGATGGGGAAGGAAAGACGTTAACGTAAAGTGGCTAATTGCATTTAACGCTAACATCTTCAACTCCCACTCTTAAGTAACTTCTGGGTGACTCACTCAAGTCCACCATCAACAAGGTGGGCAAGATAAACCTTCCCTTCAACTTCCAAGGTATTTAGGAGTCATGTTTTGCATTCCCATTCATAATGAATGAAAGAACACAAAAATGGAATGGACATGCTTTCCGTTGGTCTTACCACCCACCTCATTTTCTTATTGGACTAAATTGCCTAGCCATAGGCTAGCTGTTAATCTAGTGGCACAAGAGCCTTGGTAGCACAGTGGTCTAAAGCACCCTGTTATTAAGACCAGCTGCCTGCAATTACTGCAGGTTCGAATCTCGCCAAGGCTCAAGGTTGACTCAGCCTTCCATCCTTTCTAAGGTAGGTAAAATGAGGACCCGGTTTGTGGGGGCAATAAGCTGACTTTGTATAAATATACAAAAGGATGAAGGCTGTTGCTTAACGCATTGTAAGCCGCCCTGAGTCTCCGGAGAAGGGCGGCATATAAATCAAATTTTAAAATAAAATGGTTCGAATGTAGTATTGCAGGCAAACTCTGCCCATGGCCCGGAGTTTGATCCTAACAAGATAGGATCTTAGCCACCGAAGGGTTAGAGCTAAGGCACTTACAGTAGTGGCCAAAATTGTGGAAATCTTTTGGGAGAAGTGTATTTTTGAGGTTTGATGGCTAATAACACCATTTTTTTTTTTTTTGGAGTTTCAAGATAATCCTATTCCACTGCTGGAATGGCCTGGGAATAGCCCAGACCTTCACCCAATGGAAAATCTATGGAGCCGACTAAAGAAACTTGCTAGTCACAAGCGACCCAGCAAATAAAACCCAGTTAATAGAAGCCATCATTCAATCTTGGTTTCACATTATAACAGCTGCAGAACTAAAAGACTTGGTTCACTCCATGGGAAGACGTTGTAAGGCCATAATTCATGCTAAAGGCTACCCAACTATTAACTGACATAATAATTTTTGTATATCTCATTTTTTCTATGGTGATAATTTTTGTATATCTTGTTTATTCTCTGTGTTTCAGTTTTCTTCTTTATACTGTAACTGCTATTCTAATAGCAAATCCTTCATAAAAGTTATTGCATTACATTCTTGATTAAATTATCTTTCCATTGATTTATAATTTTATGGTACTACTCCCCCCAAAAAGTGGTGTTATTGGCTAGTTTTAGAAAATACACTTTTCCCAAAAGGTTTCCACAATTTTGGCCACTCCTGTATGATGTGCATCAGCTAAAGGGTTAAACTAAATATGGGAGATATTGAACTACCTCAATATGGGAGAATCAATGCGAGTGAGCAGTTAAGAACTCTTGGAGGAAAGAGAAATAAAAAACTGGCATTCAATGGAGCTCTTGATAGACAAAAGAGCTTGCAATTCCCTTCTTCTCACCAACTCTTCAATCTGCAAAATTGCTCCATCCCATTTCTCAGCTTCTCAGTTCTATATGAATCAAGAAAGAATAATGCTAACTGAACTCACACGGTGAATGCAGTCAAAGACACTCTCGTTAAAAACGATATCTAACCAACCCCAAGAGAGGCATTTAAAACAACTGATTTGTGCTGAAGATCAAGGGCCAAAGAGCCTAGTGCTCTGCCAGTCTTCTGAACTACAATTCCCATTAGCATGGCCCATAACCGGAAACGGTAAGAATTGTCTCCCAAAACCTGAGACATAGAACACAGAATATTATAGAACATAGAATATCAGAGGTGGAAGGGATCTTAGAGGTCCCACTCAAGCAGGAGACCATTACACACAGGTGGCTGTTTAGTCTCTTCTTAAAAGCTTCCAGTGATGGAGCTGAAGGCAAGCTGCTCCACTGTTGATTGTTCTCACTGTCAGGAAATGTGGGATCTCTCTTTGATTAGTTTCCATCTGTTGTTTCTTTTCTTTCTTTCTTTTTTTTTTATTGAATTTGTATACCGCCCTACTCCCGAAGGACTCAGGGCGGTGAACAGCCATAGAATAAAACATATAAATACAAAATTTAAAATAGAATAAAACAAATTAAATAATTTGGCTGAACAAAATTTAAAACCCCAATAATTTAAAACCAAATTTTAAATTTCCATTTAAAAAGGGGAAAAACTTAAGTCAGGCCAGCTTGATGAAATAAGAAAGTCTTGAGCGCGCAACGGAAGGTACGCAGATCCGGGATCCTCCCTATCTCCGGGGGGAGCTCGTTCCAGATCGTAGGTGCCCCCACAGAGAAGGCTCTCCCCCTGGGGGCCGCCAGTTGACACTGTTTGGCCGACGGCACTCGGAGGAGCCCCTCTCTATGGGAGCGTACTGGTCGGTGGGAGGCTATTGGTGGTAGCAGGCAGTCCTGTAACTAACCAGGTCCTAAGCCATGGAGCGCTCTAAAGGTGATAACCAAAACCTTGAAGCGCACTCGGAAGACCACCGGGAGCCAGTGCAGCTCGCGCAGGAGAGGCGTTACATGGGAGCGCCACGTCGCTCCCATCACCACCCGCGTGGCCGCACTCTGCGCCAGTTGGAGCCTCCGAGTGCTCCTCAAGGGGAGCCCCATGTAGAGAGCGTTACAATAGTCCAGACGGGAGGTGACGAGGGCATGAGTGACCATGCGTAAGGAGTCCCGATCTAGAAAGGGACGCAACTGGCGGATCAGGTGAACCCGATGAAAAATCCTCCCGGTCACGGCCATCAAGTGCTCTTCTAAAGACAGCTGTGAATCCAGGAGGACGCCCAAGTTGCAAGCCCTTTCCGTGGGGGCCAATGATTCGCCCCCAATAGTCACCGTTGGCACCAGCTGACTATATTGGGACGTCAGAAACCACAGCCACTCTGTCTTGGATGGGTTGAGCCTGAGCCTGTTTCTTGACTTGCCTTCGGTGCTGTGGAAAATAGGTTGATCCCTCTTCTATGTGGCAGCCCTTCAAGTATTGGAACATTGCTATCATGTATCCCCTGGCCCTTCTTTTCACTAGACCAGCCGTACCCAATCCTGAAACCATTCTTCATATATTTTAGTCTCCAGGCCCCTGATCATCTTTGTTGCTCTTCTCTGCACTTTTTTTAAAGTCTCAACATCTTTTTTTATAGGGTGCTGACCAAAACTGGATGCAGTACTCTAGGTGTGGTTTTACTAAGACTTTGTAAAACAGTACTAGTACTTCACACAATCTTAATCATAATCATAAGTTTATTTGTCAAGCATATATAAGGTAACAGGTAAAAGTATAAACATAATTTGAATACATGAAAAGAGTAAGTAAAAAGGAGTATTAGGACAAGGACGGTAGGCACGCTGGTGCTCTTATGCACGCCCCTTACAGACCTCTTAGGAATGGGGTGAGGTCAACAGTAGACAGTTTAAGGTTAAAGTTTTGGGGGTTTGGGGAAGAAACCACAGAGTCAGGTAGTGCATTCCAGGCGTTGACCACTCTGTTGCTGAAGTCACATTTTCTGCAATCGAGTTTGGAGCGGTTTACCTTGAGTTTGTATCTATTATTTGCTCGTGTATTGTTGTGATTGAAGCTGAAGTAGCCGTTGACAGGAAGTACATTGTGGCAGATAATTTTATGTACTATGCTTAGGTCAGACTGAAGTTGGCATAGTTCTAAGTTGTCTAAGCCCAAAATTTGGAGTCTGGTGGCATACATAAGGTATTTTATTGCGGTTAGAGCAGTGGTTCTCAACCTGTGGGTCGCGACCCCTTTGGGGGTCGAATGACCCTTTCACAAGGGTCACCTAAGACCATCGGAAAACACATATTTTCAATGGTTTTAGGAATAATTTTATGGTTGGGGGTCACCACAACATGAGGAACTATATTAAAGGGTCGCGGCATTAGGAAGGTTGAGAACCACTGAGTTAGAGGAATGGAGGACTCTTCTTGTAAAACGATTCTTGATTCTATCCTCTGTTAATGTTAACACGACATCTATGAAATACTTTTCCTTCTCTGTGTGTATGTGAAGACGTAAGCTTATAGGAACTTAAACCAGGAAACACACTGGATTCATCCATAATTAGGTATATTACTTCCTGGGCTATTGCCAAGGCAAACAAAATGGTCATAGTTTACCACACAGGAAATAATAAACTTCCAACGTTCCCTTTCAACTCTAGCGACTATAAATAATACTGCAATAAATGGCAACTTGAAAGTTTACTGGATATTTTGAGAACTGGCCGCTGGGATGAATAGACATCTATTTTAAGTCTTCTTCTCCTTCGCCTCTCCTGAAACCCCAGCTTTTAAACAAAGAGTTTTCTAGCTCTCTTCTTACAGTTGGGATTAATATTGTCAGTGTGAAAAGAACCATGCAGGTGGTATTTTCCTTATCCATCATCAGCTGAGCATATGCTTGGGGCAGATTCACATGAGAACGGCAAACAAGGGGGTCAACAATAACCCCGTGAGGAGGGGAGAGAGTTTTAAAAAGTCAGCTGTGCCAAGAGATAATAGCTCCCCCACACATTTCAAGGAAACTCCTTATCAAGGGAAATGTCTGTTGAAACATTAAACAATTGCATATTGCAAAGAGACACAAAGTTATGTCCCTTGGAACAGCAGAATTTATTTTTATTTATTTATTTTTTAAATTTTTATACCGCCCCCCCTCTCCCGAAGGAATCGGGGCGGTGAACAGCCAAAATTAAAAAAAACACACAATATAAACATTAAAATACTATAAAACAAAATTGAATTTATCTTTGGCTTCCCCCAATTTAAAAACCCCTTACCCATAAAATTCACCAATTAAAAGATTTTTCACCCAGCCCAGCTTGCTGAAATAAAAAAGTCTTCAGAGCCCGGAGGAAGGTCCGGAGGTCCGGAATCAGTCATATCCCTGGGGGTAGCTCATTCCAGAGGGCGGGTGCCCCCACAGAGAAGGCTCTTCCCCGGGGGGGGGGTCACCAACCGACATTGCCTGACCGACGGC